GATTATATTATAAAGAATAATTTACAATATATAAAGTTTTTTTTTAATTATTAATTTCACATAGATTAAACAGCAACAATACATCAACAAATAATAATTTGTATCTTAAAATTTTTTTTTATATATAAAAAATAGATTAAAAATGGAAAGATCATCATCTCCTATAAATCCATCGAACTCTCATGATGATGAGTATCAATTTTATCAATACCAGCAACAACAACAACAACAGATGAATTATACACAATTCCCACCACAACAACAAATCTCGCCACTACCACCACAAACAAATCTCGACACCACTACCACCACAACAAATCTCGACACCACCACCACCACCACAACAACAATATAACAACAATGGTTTACCAACTTCACAACCCTTACAAATAAAGAAAATGAATAAGCGATTTATGAATATAAAAAATAATCAATCTTTACAACAACAACAATATAATACATACCCACAACCAAATCAACAACCATCTCTTCAACAATATAATAACAATGGATATAATAATAGTGGTCATAATAACACAGTTAAATTCAATCCACAACAATATAATCCCCAACACCCACCACAAGTACACCAACAAAATTTCCCACCACAACAAAGTTTTCCACCACAACAAGGTTTTCCACTACAACAAAATTTTCCTCATAGTAGGCATTCTACAAATAGTATAAACTATCCACCACCACAACACCAACAACAGCAATACTCAGATTTCCAGAATGAAATGACATTTGAACAGTTTCAACAATATCAACAATTTTTATTACTTCAACAACAAATACAACAAAAAAACCATTTTCCTCAAAATGGTCAACCTATGTATCAACCACAGCCATATCCAAATCCTAATATTGGCCAGCATATGAACCCAAATATTAACCCCAGTATTGTCCCAAATCAATCATATCCACCTCAACACTATTCTCCACCACCTCAATATTACAACCAACCACCATCACCCCAAAATTCTTCTCCTCCACAATATTACCATCAAAATGGCAGCATTACTCCAAATGTTTACCAACCATCTCCACAACAAATACAACAACACCAAATACAACAACAAATACAACAACAAAATTATTTTAAACAACAACAGCAACATGTTCAAATACAGCAACAGCAAATACAACATCAAATGCAACAACAAAATATTGTGTACCAAAATCATCAATCTCAACAAACCCCAAATCACCAGCAACTCCCTCCATCGCATTATCCTCAATTTCATCAACAACAAAATGTAAATATTCAACAAGAACAAAACTATAACAGCAATAGTGACAATATTCCACCAAATGTAAATAAAGAGAATGTAGAAAATGTAAATATTTCGTGTTCAATGACTCATGAACCATGTAACATATGCACAAGAGGAATTCCAAATATCATCCAGGCTCAAACATGGGCAAACATTATGCGAGTTGTGTTTTATTGTTTGAAAATGTCATTTCCAAATAAGGCATTTTTTAATCTTAAACATGATGTATATGGATATATGTCTCACCATTGGGATGTTATATGTTACGAAAAAAAGAGTAGGTATTATTTATAATATTTTTTTTTAAAAAGATTGGATATTAAACATTTGTTTTATTTAAAATAGAAACCGACAATTGGCACAAACAAATCCAAGATATTTTATCACACAGCAAAGAGTTATTTGAATCTGGTATGGAGCAGTATCAACAAAATGGATTTTGGAGATTAAAAGATTTAACAGATCCTTGGACTATAAAAAAATTATATTCAACTAGGGGCGGCAAAAGAACTCAAAAAGAAAAACCAAAGGTAGAGATTAATAATAATAATAATAATAATAATAATAATAATAATAATAATAATAATAATAATAATAATAATAATAATAATAATAATAATAATAATAATAACAATAACAATACCAATAATAATATCAATAGTAATAATAATAATAGTAGTAATAATATTAATACAAACAATATTACTAATAATATAGCTAGTTCTAATAATAGTAATATTAATGGTTTAAATGTAACTCAAAGTATAAGTAATATTATAAATAACAGTAGTAATAGTATTTCAAGTAGTGCTAGTAGTAGTTTTAATAGTAATTATACTAATAATAATAATAATAATAATAATAGTAATAATAGTAACAATACTTGTAATAATAATAACATTAGTGAAGTCTCAACTATTACAAATATTAGTAGTAATAGTATTTTTAATAGTGTAGTTAACACTCTAAATAACTCTTCAAATATAATAAATTCTCCTAGACCAGATTATAATAACATAGTTAATTCCAGTAATAGTATAAACTCTAGTGGTAGTAGTAGTTTTAGTAATAGTGGTAACAATTTATTTAATAGTACTACTACAGGCAACAATAGCAATAATGTCAATAACAGTTCGAAAAGTGTTTCAAACTCGCCAATTTTACATTTGGGAAATCCTATTGTTACATCAATTCAATTATCAGCAGAAAAGAAGAGATTTAGTTTACCAAATATACATGAGCACTTAGGCGAACAATCACCAAGAGTAACCGAAGTAGCCAATTTATTTTCCATTTCTTCTATTACCGACCAAGAAGAGACCTTTTTAAATGAAAGAAGTAAGCGTTCAAGAAACAATTCAACTGCAGGTATGTATTAAAATAAATATCATAAAATATATAGTAATTAAAAATATTAACTTTTTTTTTTTTTAGACCTCGATGATTTTGATAGATTAAATAGCTCAGAAAATAAAATCGAATATGCAGTAATAGAAAAAAGAAAAGATTCGGTAGATTCTCTCAGTGAACATATTAAATTAGAATTAAATACAAACTCATCTAATGATAATAGTCCAAGAAACAGATCGCCATTATTAAATTCAAATAAATTAAAGATTGATCAGGATAAATGGGATACACTAGTTAAAGGTTTCATGGGATTCGATACATCAAAAGTAAAGGAACCATTATCCCCATCAATGCCTTTATCCCCAGTTTCTATGCCTTCGCCTCATTCACCAAATCTAGCACATTTATCGGCTCATTTTAAAAAAAGAAGTTTTAGCGACTCAGTTTGCACAAATCCTAATCCAAATAGTAGCAGCAGTAATCAAGATAGTGGTAAACCTCTATCATCATCATCACCTAAACATCAAAATCAACAGCAATTAACCCAACAACAATATTTCCAACAAATGTTACAACATCAACAGTATCAACAACAACAGTTATCATTACTACAAGAAAAGCAAGAAAAAACTTCAGATGATCCAAAAAATAGTAATAACAATGATAATAATAATAAAGCAAATATATCAAACTTAGTTTAGTTAATAAATTAATTTTATTCTATACACTAGTTTTATAGTTTTTATTTGTAAAAAAAAATTAATAAAAAACAGGATTATTATAAATTTGTAACATTTTATTTTAAAATATTTTATTCTAATTTTCATTTTCAAAGTTTTTTAATTTGTTTCCTATATTGATCATAAATAGCTTGTTTTTCTTTTTCTTATATAAAACATATAACACTGCAATTAATGAGATTGCTACAAATGCACCACATGCAATAACAATACCAGCTATTTGGGTTTTTGATAAACCATTATTAATTGTACACCTTGAACCTAATGAGGATGATGTGGCATAGTCACTATCTACTAAAACAGAAAAATCGGGGTCTATTATGGATGTTGATTCAAAGTAAGGAATTGATATACCTATATATGTTTGAACCTGATTGGGTGAGTCTATTGTATTTAACGACATATCCAACAAGGTGTTGCTAAGCGGTACAATATTTCCATTATCTATTATGGCTCTTTTTATAAATCTTCCATAAAAAGACTTGTTTTCTATTTGTATCTTTAAGAAGTCAGAATTTGAGCTTTGTGATTCACTAAATTCTTTTGAAGAACATAGATCTTTATCTTTAGAAGATTCAAATGATGTGTACATTATTAGTTCCAAGCTATTAAATCTGCTTTCGAATGGGTAGTTTTCGACTTGTACGGTATATTTAATTGATGATGGGTACATTATTAAATTTTGCTTTGCAAAGTTAATTATTGTTTGATTTTCAAACCACTTGATGGTTGTTGAAATAGTTGCATTTGTTTCTACATTAGAATTTAATAATATTGAAATATTAGTTTTATATAGGCCTGTATCTGAATCCACTTGTGAGTAGTACCAACTATTAAATATATATGTTTTAATTGGTCTTTTTTCAATATTGAATTCTCTTATACCATATAGTGAAATCAATGATTTGTAAAATGCTTCTGTTTGAACCTCATCATTATTGGTAATTGGAATAACTATAGTTGGGTCAGTTGTATTAAACTGTGGTTTTGGTACTATAATTACTTTTGATAAGCAATCCTCACCAACCCATGGTGAATAGCAAATGCATCCTAAATCATTGCTACAATATCCGTGATCTTTACCACCGCATAATGGAGAACCAAAGCATTTGTTAGGGTTTTCAGGTGGAGTTGGGGTGGGTAGGGAATAGTTAAAAAATATAGGATTAACAGTTAACCAATTTGACTCTTTGTTTGAATTAAGTATTGCTTTAATTTGAAATGGATCTTTTAAACCTCTTATAATTGGGAAAACTATAACTGATGAACCTATGATTTTATTTGGTGTGGTATAAAATAGTTCTCCATTGGGCAATAAGATTTTAATGAGTTTGGTATCTTTTAAAACTCTACCATATACTAATAAATCACCTGGTGAAAAATATTTTTCATGACTGGTTAAAATTGGTTCGAATGAATAGCTTGTTGATATTGAATAGGGCATTTGTTTGTAAAGCAGGTCTTGTGTGGAGAGACCCATAAATAAACCACCTTTATTTACAAATCCATAAACAGAGGCAAAAATTTTATTGGGATAGCCATAACCGATTGGTAGCTCTATATTACATGAATACATCATTGGTCCTGATTGTGTTGGAATTATATTTGATTCGCATTCTAATGGCTTATAATTTTTACTAATTAAATAAACTATAGGTTTTTGCTTTGGTAACATTCCACTGTTTACATCATCTGCAGTAAAAGTAAAAGTAACATTTCTAGAGGTACTTCCTACATCTACGGTGGATCTATCAATATTAAATGATAATAGTACGGGGAGTGAGGGCTCTACAGTTGGGACAGGACATACGAATGTAGCAGTTAAAAAGGATTGATTATCTAAGCGAGTACGTAAAGGGTTCTTTGTTGCAATATTATCCCCTTGCTTTGAATATATAGACTCTTTATTATTTTCATCAACTAGGTACATATAAAAAATTTTGTAATCTTGTGAAACGCATGGTGTTGATAGTTCCTGTGTTATATTGAAATTGGGGCCTAGGTTACTACCATTGTTATTTATGTTTAAAGTATATATTGAATTATCTGAGAGACCCATAATTTTTATTAGCCCATATTTGACTCCATTTGAAAAGCTTTCCAAGTAGACACTCCACACAATAGAGTTTTTTAAAACATAGGTAAAAAAAAAGTTAATGATTGGACCCTCATTATTAAAGTTTGTTGAAGTTACTGTTAATGGGGCTTCAAATGCACCATTTTTAAAAATAGTATTTTGAGAAAATATTAATGCATAATTTAAATTTCCCATAATTGTATTTCTTGGTACTATAAATTTGCCATAGAATAGCTGTAGAACTTCATTAAAATGAATGGGATAAATTCCATTTTTGCTGTTTGGATCACTGTCTAATGTAACTTCATCATCAATCCTAAAGGCCATTGGTGTATCTTTTTTTAAAGTGGGTGATGAAAAAAATATAATATTCATATTATCTTCAGATGTTACATTTAAATTATTGTTTAAAAATCTTAAATCATTAATGATTATATTTTTAACTAATTTTTTGATGGAAAAAATAAAATAAGAAAATTTAATATAATATAAATAAATATTCAATTATTTATAGAAATTTTTTACTTACTGTTTTGATATGGGTTTGGAATTTCTAAAAATATAGGAATTCCATTTTCATCAATATATAATAAGCTATCCTGAGTATAGTTTTTAATATTGTTGCCGGCATTGGTAACTGTAATAAATATATTGTTAGCAGCATCAAAAATCAATTCATAGGTACCATTCTTGGTAGTACCTTCGACTAAAAGTTCATTTCCACTATGTTCCACCCCGAAACTTGAACTTATTTTTTCTACGCCTAAATTATCAACATATTTCATTCTTATTAGGTAATTTGTGCCGCCTACATAAACCATTTCAAAAAAAACAATATCTGAGTAAATTGTTTCTATAACTAAATAAAAATTATAATTAATATGTGAATATATTATTTATTTTGTTTAAAGTGTAGATTAAAATTTAGTTACCTAAACCTGATCCTTCAATTATTCCAATAGTTTCTTTACCATGAGGATATTCGCTTATAGCTAGATTTCTTGTATTTTCATCCAGTGGTATAGTTATTGAATAAACAAAATTTTTTGTTGATCCAGAGACAAACCCAAATGGCCATTTAGTTTGAAAGGAGGAGGAATATCTAAAGTTGAATGTATTTTCTTTTAGTGTAAATAAATTGTTTTGGAAACTTATTGTAAAGAAATCGTCAAATTCTCTAGAGTAGGTCCAAAATGGTATTGTTAAGTAGGTATATTCTAAAAATGATTGATGAAAATTAATATTTATTTTATATTTATTATTTTAATACATAAATTATGAATATTTACCTATGATATTTTTTTCAATTACTCTTGGGACCAAGTCTAGCATAGTGTTTAAAGAGAAATTAAATACTTGGTTTGAGAATCCTTGATATAGGAGAGGAGCAATATAAGTATATCTATCTTCTTTTAATTTAATTTTTTTTGGTACATAGTAGGTAGTTTGACTTTGGAGCAAGAAAAAGGATACATTATAAGGAATACTTGATGAGAAATATAAAATAGGGGTTTGGGTAAAGTCATTATATATGAAATTATTGATTGATGGGTATATAAAATAATCTAATAATGTTGGAATGATATTGGGTGGGTAATATGGTGGTACAGTTATTGGTATTGAAAAATCACTAAATAAAATATCAAAATTGGTTTCCTTTGCTGAAAATTTATAAAAAGGAGTAACCTGAACTTCAAACTGTTCCCCAGTTAGTCTAACTGATGAAAGGGGGGGTGATGTGGTGATCGAGGTCAATGAGTTGTTTAGACCAATAAATAGAATGTTTACATAAACATTATTATCTCTATCTAATATTGGTTTTGTTACTTTTACGGAAACTTTATCTTTATTGATATCTATAGTATAATATATATGATATTGGTAATAGTTTAAAATAAAATTTTTTTAAAATAAATTTTAATTTTTTATTTTTTTTTTTTTATTTTTTTTTTTTTATTTTTTTTTTTTTTTAAATACACTTACAATCACAAAATAAATCTATTTTCATTGATACTGTATCTGAATTATTGAAAATTGTAGTCAATATAATTGATTGCGATGGGTTGGATTTATCAAATGGTATTGCTACAAATAATTTGTTTTGTTGAATTGAAGCTTTAAAAATGGAACCATTAGAATCGATGCTATAGTAACTTTCATTAATATCTTTTATTTTATTTATTAAAAAAAAATCTAGTTTATAATATAAAGCTAAGTCATTATAGTGTGCTTTATATTGATTGCCAGGTAATGGATATATTTGAAACACATCGTTAGTTTTTAAATATGTTATTTGGGAATTTATTGTAAAAATAAAAAATAAATAAGTAATTAAAAATATTAATTTTTTGTTCATTTTTTTTTATTATAACAATTAATATTTTTATTTATTTATTTTAATTATAAATTTCTAAATTTAATAATACTATTATTTTTTTTTACAAAAAAAATATAAAAAAAAAAAAGAAAAAAGAAAAAAAGTTAAAAAAAATATGTTTTTTAATATTCTGTTATATAATATCAGATGATATTTAAAGATACTTAATGATATTTATTATAAATATTTAAAAATTTATTAATTTATAATAAAAATATTAAATATCTATAAATATCAATGTAAAATATTTTTTATTTTTTTTTATTTGAATTTCACCAAACCATTTCAAAATTTTTTTTTTTTTTTTTAATTTTTTTTTGATTTTTTAATTTTTACACTTGAATAAATTTTTTTTTTTTTTTTTTTTTTTTTGTATTTTTAAAATGGATTCCAAAAAAAACATTATTTTCTTTAAAAATACCAAAGATTCAAAAATTAATATCAAGCTTCAAGAATGGTTAAAATCAACATTAGATAAAAACGAAGAAAGAGCATGCGAATTTTTTGGATCTAATTACGATCAATTATTATTAGAGCCTCTATCAGTTCAAATAGAAAAAATATTAAATAAATTAAATCAGGTCCGAATTTATTTTGATATTTTCTTAAACAATTTACAAAATGACAGGGTTATCAATAAACTTGATCAGTTAAATCAAGATTTGTTAAAGCTTAGCGAAGATCTCATAGACTCGAAATCAAATTGTTTAAAGAACATAAATCAACAAGAGATCACATCAATTATACAACAAAAGCATTCATTAAGTGTTGGTCTTGCAAGAGTAGGTGGCTCCATTAGTTTGTTTGGTCTTGCTTCATTATCAAGTGACACTGATCCAAAAGCTGTTAAATCAAGCTATATATCTTATCATAAAATATTTTGGATTGCAAGAAATTTAGATATATCAATTCGTAACTTATATAGCCTATTTGAAGATAATCTCAATATAGTTTTAAATAAACTTAGCATCATTTATGAACACCCTATGGATTTAACCAATATCAAAGATGTCTATGATTCCATTTCAAAGTTTTCAAATAATTTAGAGATCGAAGTAGTTCCTTTAGGTGAACCTCCATCAACAAAAGACGTAAAAAAGAATGCCTCATTAAACAAATTAAAATTTCCAAATATAGAAGCACCAAATTTCTTTCAAATTCCAATCTTCCCAATACAATCTTCAAACAACAATAATGGAAACACCAATATTAATAAACAAAGCTAAAATTGTATTATAAAAAAAAACTACAAAAGATTTTAAAGACATAATTAAAAGATTTTAAAGACATAATTAAAAAAAAAAAAAAAAAAAACTATAAAAGATTTTAAATAATAAATTATAATAATATTATTTCATACATTGAGAAAATAAATTAATAAAAACCATTTTTTTGTTTTATTTTATTTTTTTAATTTTAATTTTAAATTATTTATTTAAATATTTATTTAATTTTTTTTTTTTAGTTTTAAATAATTATTTACTTCCACAATATAAATTATTTATAGATTAAATAATTTAAAAATATTTTAAAAATATTTTATTTTAAATCTTACAAATCTAAAATATTTTTTTATATTTAAGTTTTAAAATATTTTTTTTTTTTTTTTTTTTTTAAATTTATAAAAAAATATTAAATATATTTTTTTTTTTTTTTTTTATATTTATATATTTTATTTTAGTTTAGAGAGAAAATTTGAATTTTCATAAATTTTTCTTGGTTCCCATCACTTCCTTTTTTTATTTTTTTTATTTTATTTTATAATTTAATTTTTTTTATTTTTTTTTTTTTTTATAAAATTTTTATTTTTTTGAAGAGGTTTTTCGTTTTGTGTGTGTTTTAATTTAATTGTTTTTTTTTAAAAATATAATCAACTTGTTTTATTAATTTAGTGTATAAACACACAACATTATTATTTTTTACATATAAATTATAATATATTCAATAGTAATAATAATTATTTTAATAATAATTAATAATTAATAATAATAATAATAATGGAAGGTATTAAAGTATCATTTGAAAATGAACCATATAGAGACCCTGATTTTATTATAAATCATAAAGCACCATTTAATGCAGAACCAAAACCAGATGTCTTGGTTCAATCATTTATTACTCCAACTGAAAAGTTTTATGTTAGAAATCATGCACCAGTACCAGATATTTGCCCAACAGCATACACATTAAAGATTGATGGTTTAGTAGGTCAACCATTAACATTATCATTAAATGATATTAAAACTAAATTTGAAAAAGTTACAATTACTGCTCATTTACAAGTAAAGTATAACAACTATTATATTAATAAATAAATTAAATTTCAGAGTATTTACCACCAAATTATTTAACCATTTCATAGTGTGCAGGTAATAGAAGAACAGCAATGAGTGAATATAAAAAAGTTAAAGGTGTTGGATGGGGTATTGCAAGTTTATCAAATGCTACCTGGGGTGGTTGTAGATTAAGAGATGTTTTATTACATGCAAAAATATTTTCAAAAGAATCAGGTGCAAACCATGCAGTATTTTGGGGTTTAGATTTTGGATGTCCAGAAGATAATGGAAAACCATATGGTAGTTCAATTACTGTCGAAAAAGCAATGTATGTTTAGCACTTTATTATTTAATTTAAATGCATAAAAGTTTAAAGAAATATTAATATATCATTTTTTAATAGGGATATTGATGGTGATGTTTTATTAGCATATGAAATGAATGGTGAAACTATAAATAGAGATCATGGTTTCCCATTAAGAGTTGTTGCACCAGGTATTATTGGAGCAAGAAGTGTTAAATGGTTAGATAAAATTACAATTAGTCCACACGAATCTGAAAGTTTCTTCCAAAGAAGAGATTATAAAATCTTCCATAATGGTGTCGATTGGAACAATGTAGAAAAGTATTGGGATAAAACTCCATCCCTTCAAGAACTCTCAATTCAAAGTGCTATCTGTGTACCAGCACCAAACTCTGCACTTTATTTACCATTTACAATTACAGGTTATGCTACCAGTGGCGGTGGTAGAAAGATTGAAAGAGTTGATGTTTCATTAGACGGTGGTGAAACTTGGGACTATGCAGAATTATTAGGTGAGGATAAAGGTGTTTGTACAAAATACTGGGGTTGGACTCTCTTTAGATATACAATTACCAAATTACCACAATTAGAGGGCAAAGACTCTACCAAAATTAAATTAGTTTGTCGTGCTTGGGATCTTTCAAGTAATACCCAACCAAAGGATGTTAAAGATATTTGGAATTTAAGAGGTGTAATGAATAACTGTTGGCATACAGTTGATGTTACAATTTTAAATCAAAATAAAAAATCAAACCTTTAAATAAACAAATAACCAAATAACCAATATTTATATATATATAATACATATCATACATTAATAAGCAATCAATATATTTAATTTAATAAATATAATTATACTTTAAAAAACAATAATAAAAAAGTTTAAATATCTTATTTTATTTTAATATTTTATATTTTATTTTTATTTTATTTATGATGACAATATAGTTTTATTGTTGTTTTGATTTTTTCCATCTTTGAGCAGCTTCCAATAATTTTGATGTGGTTGATTGAGTTTGTTCTTCTGGGAAAATATATTCAAAGTATTCTTCGGTAATACCATCTTGGTTTGTTCTTTTTTTGATAATTCTTTGAGGTATTTTCTTTAAAACTTGGTCCAATGATTCTTGATCACCAAAGTTTTGTTCAAACTCTTTCCAGTTCTCTAAAAGTATTAATCTTTCTTCTTTGTCAGAGTTTTGTAATGATTTGTGAGCTTCTTGGTAGAATGGTCTTGTTAGTGATGCGACACCACCATTTGATGAATGAATAAATTTGACGAAACCAAGCCATACTTTAACATGGTTTGTTTTTTCCAATAAACGTCTATAAAGTTTTTCTGCATTCTTGTATTGTTGTTGTTCAATTTCAAAATCGATATAATCCTTCCAAATGACCTCAGGTCTGTCGAGGTTTGGTTGTTGTACTGCAATTTCAAATATAGCTCTGGCTCTATCGATTTCACCCAATTCGGTTTCTAATTGTGCAAATTTAGACCATGCTTCGCAGTTATCTGGCATAAGTTCCAAATATTTTCCATAGATGCTACGTACATTTTCAAAATTACCCAATTCAATTTCCAAATGGATATAACTATCAAATATTTTACTCTTTGGATGACGACCAATTGCTTGACCATAGATTTTACGTGCTATATCTAAATTTAATTGACGAATTTCAAAACTAGAGTACATTATCCATATCTTTGAAAATGAAAACACTTCATGAGGTATCGATTTAATACATTCTTTATAAACTTGTCTTGTTCTATCAATATCTTTTGAAATTAACTCTTCGAATAATGCATAATTGATCCATAAATAAATATAACGCTTCCAATGTTTCTTTTCTTTGGTTGGGGGTAAATTACCGATTGATCTTTCATAAATTTCTCTTGTCTTTGTAATTTCACCATTAATTTCTTCCATTTTTAAATAATCAAACCAAATATCATAATTTTTTGGATTTTTTTTTAATTCCTATAATAAATGTATTTAAATTAGTAAGATGATATAAAATAATATTTTATATGTATAAATATAAATATATATATATATATATATATATTTGTATATGTAAATTTTACTTACTTCTTCATATTGGAATCTTTTTTTACCTATAACAACATCTTCAATACCAATTCTATCACCTTGTTGTTTTTCGAAATTTGTAAATGTTTCAAACAATTCTTTAGCTTTATTTTTTGGTACATGATCAATGGCATATTTATAAATAATTCTGGCTCTTTCAACCTCTTTATACTTTTCTTCAAACTTTGCAAATGCTATAAATAACTGTTCATCATTTGCATCTTCACCTAAAAATTCAATTGCTCTTTTAAATATATTTCTTGCATTTTCTATATTTCCTAATTTTTCTTCAAATTTAGAATATTTAATCCAAGTTTTAATATATGGGTGTACTAAAATATCTATATAATAATGATTTTGAAAAAAGTTAATGTTTTTCAATTTTTTTTTTTTTTTATTACTATTTTAAATAACAATGTTTTACTTACATCTTTCGAAAATATCTCTTGCTTTATCAGCTAAATTTAATCTGAGTTCAAATTTAATAAAACTGTTCCATGCTTGTGGCTCTGGTTTCCATTGCATCCAACGTTCGAAAATTGCACGAGCTGCAGGATAATTACCAAGCATATCTTCCATAAAAGTGAATTTAAACCAAAGTTGTGAAACTCTTGGTAATAAACTAACAGCTCTATCCCAAACATTTCTTGCTAAATTAATATTTTTATTTCTCATTTCCATTTCGGCATATTTGATCCAGAGTACAATTTCACGATAGTTCATATCCAATGCACGTTCAAAAATTGATCTTGCTCTAGTTAAATCCTTTTGTGATTCTTCCCATGCTGCATACTTTAAATAAACTGCTGCAGTCTTTAAATTTCTATTAACTGATGTTTCAAATTGTTGTCTTTTTCTTAATCTATAATCTTCTAACTCTTCAACATCTGTAATGGTTTGTTTTGGTGCTGATTTTGGTAATGCTTGTTGGGATTCATTTGCAACCCTTAAAATTTGCTCAGCAGTAATCTGTACTGGTGCTGCTGATTTATTTTTAACTTTTGATTGTCCTGAAAAACTCATTATTAATTATTATTTATTATATTTCTTTATTTCTATTTATTCTATATTTGTTTGCCTTTATAGTATTTATTGATTGATTCTAAAATTCAATCTAATAAAGAACAAAAATAAATAATTTTAATTAAAAATGAAAAAAAAAAAAATTAAAAAACTAAAAAAAAAATAAAAAAATTTTTATTTTCGAAAAAATTCACAAAATAAAAAAAAAAAAAAAAAAAAAAACCCACACCCAATTAATCTTTTCTAACAATAAAACAAACCTTGGCGGGAATGTGATGAACAAATGGATTTGAGCAGGCAATAACATTTTGATTGATCCCAGCTCATCATAGCTATCGATATCACTAATTGATTTTGATTTTAAAAGGTGTTAACCAAATCAATATTTATAAAAGAAAAAAATTTTAATTAAATGGTGTGGTGGTAAGATATTTATTTTTTATTTTTATACAAAAAAATAAATAAATAATAAAATACTTTATTTAAAATTTAATTGAAATGCCAATATTCCGTTCCTTCTTTTAAATTTAATGAATTTAAATTATTTTCAAATTCTCCGTTTGAACGATCCAAAGCTACACAAATTACTAATGGGGGTTTAGCTTGGGAGAAATGAATTATTGGTACTGAGTAAGGAGTATAGGCGGCGTTGTACTTTTGACCAATTTTATTTTTATCGACATCACAAAATGCTGTTACTTTTTTCTTACTTGAATCTGATAGTAATGTGAAAAACTTTTTACCATCTTTACCAGCACCCCAAATTGTAAAAGAACTCCATTTTGAAAGTACACGTCGTTCTAAATATTCGATTCTAACCTTCATTAACATATGTTTGTGAATTTGTGAACTTAAATTGTTTTCGTGGTATCTGTAAACTAATAATGGTTCATTCTTGATAATTTTTAATTTCTTATTTCCATTACATTGTTCATCTTCATTTTCTGTAGCATCATCCTGTTCTGTTTTTTCTTTTTCTTGATTACTTGAAATATTTACTATTGATTCGATTTTTGCTTTTCTTAATTTACCACCTTTATCTAAATGTCTATTAAAAAATATTAAATCCTCTGGTATGGCTTTTGCACCTGAAGATGAAATATCTTTTATTAATTTCTTTTGTGATTCTTTATATTTCTCTATATGTTTATCTTGATTCTTGTGTTTATACTGTAAACAATTATCATTACTGCCCATAATATAAAACTTTTTATTATCAGTTTCATTGTTATTATTATTTATATTGTTACTGTTATTGTTATTATCATTAATATTTTCATTTAATTTTAATGCTTCGATATATTCACCATTTTTTAAAAACAAAGTTCTATGATAAAACCAAGTTGGCTGAATAATTGAAACCTCTCTATATTGATGTAAAAACAATTGCTCGTCTGATAACCTATTACACCAATCAGTGTAACGTGCTGATGAACCCTCTGGAATTCTAATAAAGTTGGAACCAACTATACAATCCAAATCTTTTTTACACTCTTGATATTGTGATTCAACCCTTTCTCTAAACATTACATCATCTGCATCCAATATACATAAATATTCACCATGACTATATTTAATTGCTTGATTTCTAGCATATCCAACACCGCCCGATAACAATGTTACTATTTCCTTTTCTTCTTCATCTTTAGTTGTTACCTCTTCTTTAGTGGAAATATTATACTTCTTTTTAAACTCTTCAATAATTTCGATATACTCTTTCATATTGTGATGGTGTGTTTCTGATCCTTTTCCACTACTTAAAACTAAACAAATATTAAAATACTTGAATACTGGTAACCACTTTAAAACCACTTCAATTGATGTATCCTATTTAAAAATACAATGGTTGGTATCTAGCTTTTTAAGCTAATAAATAGTATATAAATATATCTATATATTTATATTACTTACAGTGCTGGCATCATCAAATATTGATAACTCCAAAGGTCCTCTATAGGTTTGTAAAACAATTGAAAACAATGTTTCATCTAAAAACTTTGATGCATTTTTCATACAAACTGCAAAAGAAACCATTGGCAAAGTGTAATCTCTTTCTTTTACTAACAATCCCCCACCACCAATACTGCCATCATCCAAACATATTGGTAATGTTGTTGTAATATTTTCTTTTTCGATTTGATTTAATAACTCGTGAACTGTTGAACCAAATTCAATGACTTGGTCGCAACCGTATTTAAACTTTACAATTTTATTATTATTACTATTATTATTATTATTTATTTTTTCATTTTCCATTTTTATTTTTTTTTTTAAAAAAAACTTTTTTTAATTTATTTTATGATTTTTAATTTTTGTTTTTTTTTTTTTTAAAATTTTTTTTTTTTTTTTTTTTTTAAAGATTTAATTTGTAAAGAAAATAAGAAAAGTAAAATAAAAACTATTTAAAAACAATTTTAAAACAAATAAAATCATAACAATTAAAACCAAATGAAAATAAAATAATTATGGGAAAAAAACCTTAATAATAAATACTTTGCAGGAATACAAAATTATAAATTTTTTTAAAATTTTCGTTTTTTTTTTTATTTCATTTTTTTTTTAATTTTTTTAATTTTTTTTAAAATTTTCTTTTTTTTTTTTTTTTTTTTTTTTTTTTTTTTTTATTTAAGTGCAAATTGAAGAGTTTTAATTTTATTGTGTACGTTTCATCAACAATTAAAAACAAATAATAATAATACTTTATTAATAATTATCCTATTTATATACTATATACATAACATATTTATATAATATATAATAATAATTATTAAACTTTTTTAACAAAAAAAAAAAAAAAGACATCACAACTTATTTATTAACTTAGTTTTTTTTTATATCTTTTATTTTTATATATTTTATATATTATATAAATTATATATCTCTACTGCTTTTTTTTTTAAATAAAACTAAAAAAAAAACAAAATTAAATTTATATATGTTTATAACTATAATCAATAATAATAATTCAATAGTGATAAGAAAAAAGAAATTTAAAATTTTAAAATAAATCAACTCTAATTAATAATACCGAAACAATCAATTTGTATGTACATTAGGGTTCAATATTGATCAATCAAAATAAAAGATTATTTATATTAACAAAATTTTATTTTTTTATTTTTTCAATTAACACAGAAAAATGGGTCCAAAATCAAAACAAAGAAAAGACAATTATTGGGATAGTGATCAAGCCGATAAAGATCGTGAAGATGCTTTAAAATTAAATAACGGATCAGATGATTCAGAAGAAGATATCCCAAAGAAAACCACTTCAAAATTTGCACCAATGTCAGATGAATCAGAATCAGAATCAGAAGAATCATCAGAAGAATCATCTGAAGAAGAAAAACCAACCAAAAAACCAAATAAACCAGCTGCTAAACAACAAAAGAAAGCTGCCCCAGCTAAAGGTAAAAAGGTTGTTGAATCATCATCAGAAGAAAGTGAATCTGAAGAAGAATCTGAAGAAGAATCATCAGAAGAAGAATCATCAGAGGAAGAAAAACCAACTAAAAAACCAAACAAACCAGCTGCCAAACAACAAAAGAAAGCTGCCCCAGCTAAAGGTAAAAAGGTCGTTGAATCATCATCAGAAGAAAGTGAATCTGAAGACGAATCATCTGAAGAAGAATCATCTGAAGAAGAAAAACCAGTTAAAAAACAACCAGCAAAACCAGCACCAGCAACCAATAAAAAGAATAACAGTAAAGCAGCAGCAAAACCAGCACCAGCTCAATCAAAGAAACAAGCAGCTAACAATAATAAAAAAGAAGAACCAGAAAAACTCAGTGGATTTTTATTAAAACAAAGACAAGAAGAAGAAAGAAAAGAAAGAGAAAAGGAAGAAAAGAGAATTAAAGAAGAGGAAGCTAAAAGAATCGCTGCAGAAAAGAAAGAAGCTGAAGAAGAAAAATCAAGAGCCAAAGCAGCTGAAAATGCCAAAAAGAGAGCTGAAAAGAAAGAAAAGCAACAAGAAGAATCAAAAGAACAAGAAAGAATTGCTAGATTAGCCAAATTAGGTATTAATGTTAACAGCATTGGAGCCAATGAACCAAAGAAACAACCAGCCAAAAACAATAAGAAACAACCAAAAGTTGATGAATTAACCAAGAAAGTTGAAGAGATCAAAATCGAAGAACCAAAACCAGATGTTGTTGAAATTGCTGACAGTTGGGATAATGATGATTATGAAACTATTGATGAAATTCAAAAGAAGAGAGAAGAAGAAATTTTACGTAAGCAACAAGAAGAAGAAGCTCAAAGACTTGCCGCTAAAGCAGCCAAGAAGAAAGCTAAAGCTGAAGCTCTTACCCAACAACTCCAAACCGGTCAAACCGATCCAACTTCAACCGTTGAAAACAAATCATATCGTTCACCAATTATTTGCATTTTAGGTCACGTCGATACTGGTAAAACTTCACTTTTAGATAGAATTCGTAACACAAATGTTCAAGGTGGTGAAGCTCGTGGTATTACCCAACAAATTGGTGCCTCTTTCATCCCAGTCGATGCTATTAAAGAACAAACCAAAACATTTGCAGAAAAACTCAAAATGGACTTCAAACTTCCAGGTCTTTTACTTATCGATACACCAGGTCATGAATCTTTCAATAATCTTCGTTCAAGAGGTAGTGGTCTTTGCGATTTAGCTATTTTAGTTATTGATATTATGCATGGTCTCGAAGCTCAAACTATTGAATCTATCAATCTCCTCCGTATGAGAAAGACTCCATTCATTGTTGCCTTAAATAAAGTTGATCGTATTTACGATTGGAAACCATGTGTCAACACTGATTTCAAAGAATCATACAAACTTCAAACAAGAGTTGCTGCCCAAGATTTTGATTCAAAAGTTAAAGAAACCATTGCCGCTTTAGCTGGTCAAGAGTTAAATGCTGAACTTTACTGGCGTAACAAAGATCACAAGAAATATGTATCTTTAGTCCCAACCTCTGCTCACACTGGTGAAGGTCTTTCAGATTTAATGTTAGTCGTCATTCAATTAATGCAAAAACTTATGCTCGACAAAGTAGAATTCTCTAGTCAACTCCAATGCACTCTTTTAGAAGTTAAAGTTATCGAAGGTTATGGTACAACCATTGATGTCGTTTTAGTTAATGGTACCTTAAATGAAGGTGATAAAATTGTTGTCAGTGGTTTCAATGGTCCAATCGAAACCAATATTCGTTCTTTATTAACACCACCACCACTTCGTGAATCACGTGTCAAATCACAATTCATCCAACATAAATCTATTCGTGCTGCTATGGGTATTAAAATCGTCGCACCAGGTCTTGAAAAAGCTGTTCCAGGTACTTCATTACATGTTGTTGGACCAAATGATGATATTGAAAAAATTAAAGCTGAAGCTAAGAAAGAAGTTGACTCTGTTCTTAATGATGTCGAAACTAGCGGTATTGGTGTTTCAGTCCAAGCCTCAACTCTTGGTTCACTCGAAGCCTTCTTAAATTTCCTTAAAAAGATTAAGGTCCCAGTTGCTAATGTTGCTATTGGTCCAGTTCACAAAAAACACGTTATGAACACTGCTATCATGTTAGAAAAAGATCCAAAATACGCTATCCTTTTAGCCTTTGACGTAAAGATTGAAGATTCTGCCGTTCAAGCCGCCAACGAAATGAAAATTCAAATCCTTTCTGATGAAACCATTTATTTATTCGAAGAGAAATTAAATAAACATTTCGGTGCTATCAAAGAGAAATTAAGAGCTGAAACTGCTGGTATCTGTGTCTGGCCATGTATTTTAGAAGTTGTTCAAGTTTTCCGTAATACTAATCCAATTATTTGTGGTGTTAAAGTTAGAGAAGGTACTCTTCGTATTGGTACTCCAATTTGTGTACCAGAATCAAATAATGCTGATGTCGGTACTGTCACTTCAATTAAATTAAACGAAAAAGATGTTCAATTGGCCAAGAAAGATGATGTTGTTTCAATTGCTATTGACGACAATAATACCAAAACAACTTTATACAGACACTTTGATGATAAGAAACAATGGATGTCAAAGATTACTCGTGAATCATTAGATGCATTAAAAGAAGCTTGGGCTGGAGATCTTTCAAAACAAGATATTCAACTCTTAAAATTCATGAAACAAATTTATAAAATTCAATAAAACAACTCTATAAATAAATAAATATCATATTAAAAACAAAAAAATAAAACAAACTCAATAATAATTATATTAATTAATAAATTATAAATAACTATTTTATATTCTTTTTTTTTTTTTAAAAAATTTTATATATTTTATTTAAACTTATTTCTTTTTTTTTTTTTTTTTTTTTTTAAAAAGGTTACTTTAATTATTTAAATACATTAATTTTAATGATTGTTGATGAATCATCATAATTTGGAGTTGAGGTGATTGGAGAGTTAATTGTATTGTTGGTAAATTTTATATAGTTATTGTAACAATTTTTTATTTTAAAACAATTTGAACACCCCAATACGGTGGACTCCATTAATGTAAAATAAATGCAATCACCACCTCCATCGCTTGTGACCAATTCTATTCTGTCAAAATCGGTCATTTTCCAAAATAGGAAGGTTTCTAAACTTTGGATTAATATTTTATTTTTTTGAAATGTGGATAATTGGACACTAAATAGTTGATTTGCTTTGTAAAAGTTGTTGATATGAGGACTAATGATTTTGGTATCTATTAGTTTTAATAGTGGTTTAAATGTTGAGGTATTATTACTATTATTATCATTACTTTTTTTAATTGTATATTCTAATGATGTTAGATTACTCTTAAAATATAGTTCTGGTTGGGAAAATGATTGAAATTCAATTTTATTGTTAATAAAATTATGTTTTTTTAATATGGAGTTTTGTGAAATGTTATGCTTTGAATAATAAATTCCAATGATTAACAATAATATAATTACAAGAGAAAATAATATTATTGATAATAAAATTAATTTTTTTTTTTTTTTATCATTTTTTTTTGAAATTAAATTATTGGAGCCAATGTTTTCTATTTGATTATTATTTGATTTTAATATTTCTTTATTATTATTAATATTTTCTAAATCAATTTCATCTTTACCCATTTTATAAACTTCTTTTAGACTTGATATTATATATAATTAGTAACTAATTAAAAAAAAAAAATGAAAGGATAAAAATAAAAAAGAAACAAATAATAAAGAACATAATTGTTATTTTTATTTTTATCATTATCATAATTAAAATAATTATTTAAATTAATTTTTTTTAATTTTTTTTAATTTATATTTTTAGGGGTAATGAAATTTTTTTTTTTATTTTTTTCTATTTTGGGGACTTGGTTAAAATGTATTTTTACAATGTGGGTTAAACATTAAAAAATAAATATATCTATGAAGTTACTGGTAACAATCATAAGAAGAATATTAAATTTATAAATAAAAAAATAAATACAAACACCAGAGCGTGTTAAAATAAATAAACAAAGATGATACTATTCCAAATTTTTCTATGTACGATGTTGCAGATTACTATCAAGGTAAAAACGACTTTGATGGAAATAAAAATATTCAAGATTTGTTTGACATTAATTTATTGGACTTAAACATCCCCTTTTTAAAGAAAAGAAAAGATATTTCAGGAGAAAATGAAGAATCTGATAGCGATGAAGAATCGGATAGTGATGAAGAGTCAGATAGTGATGTAGAATCAGATAGTAAAGAAGAATCAGATAGTGATGAAGAATCAGACAGTGATGAAGAATTTAAATAATTTTAAAAAAAAATTTTAATTAAAAATTTATTAAAAATAAAATTAAATATATTTTTAAAAATTTAAATTAAAGAGGGGTAATTTTTAAATAAATAAATATATTGAGTTTTTTATTTTTCCCAATTTGGGTTTTTTATTAAAAATACATATAAAGAAAGAATTATTAGCACAGTTATCCTATTTAACAGGTTAAATAAATATTTTTTTTAAAACCTATGATATTTATACAAAAATTAAAATTAAAAAAAATAAAACCAATAAAAAAGAGAATGTATATTTCAGCTTTAAAGAATTTGAAAATTGATTTTCATCTTCAAACAAACCGGAGGTACCTGAATCACATAGAACTGTGTAAAAGCTATCGATTTCGGAGGTGGTTATTACACTGCAGGCATTACACTCGTTTTGCACATAATGAATTTCTTTACCAGTACAATTTGGATTGGAATAAAATTTGGAAATATATTTATTTTCAGCTTGATTTACTAAAAGATAGTATTGTTTGTTTATACATTCATCATAATAAACTGAACATTTGTTTAAATTAAATTCTTTTATTGATGTGGTTTTTAAATAACAACTGTTTTTACAATCTCTTCCCAATATTATTGGTTTATATATTACCTCTATTGACGAGTTTGAATACTCAACTGAAGAGCCAGAAGAGTCCATTGATGAATCAATGTATGAATTTGTTGATGACATATCTATTAATGAGTCTATAGATGAATCCATAGATGAGTCAGTGGATGAATCTATTTCTGATGATGAAGAGGATGATGAAGAGGATGATGATGAAGAGGATGATGATGAAGATGAATAATAAGAAAATGAAGATGATGGAGATGATAAAGATGAAGATGAATCTGGTTCTGATGATGAAGATGAGGAAGATGATGAAGTTATAATTTCTATACTTGATGAATCATTAGGTGAAGGTGATAATGTAATTATTGGAGGAATGGTTTCTTGTGAAATAGAGTATGAAGAGTCTGATGAATCAGAGTGAGAAGAAGATAATGATTCATTATTATAAACATTGCAGTCTAAAGAAAAATAGGTATCCTTTTGCCCCTTTCCAAATAATTTTATTTGGTTACATTTAAAACATTCGATGTTTTGATTAATAGATAATTTTTTACAATTATTTTCATTATAAATTGATATTTTAAATTTATTTTTTTGTGGTTTTTTACTAATTTTTATTGATTTAAAGGGATAATGACAAGGGTCATTAAAAACTGTACATTTATCAATATTTATATTTATTAAATGAGATGTGGAATTGTTGCATTTATTTACACAGTCTCTTTTTAAAATTAAAGATTCTTGGCACCTAATAAAAACTATAAAAAATTGAAAAAATAAAAATAAAGATATGAATAATATCTTCATTATGTTTAAAATAGTAATTTTACAAGTAATAATACAATAAATAATAATACAATAAAAAAAAAAAAATTATAAAATTATAAAAAAAAAATTAGATTTAAAAAAAAAATTTAAAAAATAGCTTTAGATATTTTTTTTATAAAAAAAAAAAAAAATATATTTAAATTTTGGTATTTATAAATTCTAAAACATGAACTGTGGATGTTTTTTAAATTGAAAAAAAAAAAAAAGATATTATTTTTATTTTATAAATACAAAAAATAGTTTTTTAAATAATTTAATTCGACATAATAATTTATAATAAAGCAGCAGCGATTGAACCTAAAGCGAGAGCAGCTGAGGCAACAATAGTTGATGATGATGATGAAGTACTTTCACTGGCTGGTTCTGATGCTGATGAAGCAGCTGGGCATTCAACTGAGAAGTAACCTAATGACATATCATTAACAGTAAGTTGGTAACATTTACTACATTCGACTTCTTGGGTTGAAATTGGTGTGGAACCTTCAGTTTCACAACCAGAGTTGAAAAGATCAACTTTAAATTTGGAATCTGCTAAAGCTGTAACTTTAGCTTGACCTTTAACAATTGGTTGGCAAATATCGGTATAGGTTTGGCAAGATCCGACACCAATTTCAACAGTTTTACCATTAGCAGCTGGGCAGTTTGATGGATCAGAGGTTGGGAGTGCAGCATCTACAAGAGCAGCTTTGTCTGGTGAACAATATCTGACAAGTTTAATAGCATCTTCGGATCTAACAACAAATAAAACGGCAAGGAAAACTAATAAAGTGGCAATGAATCTCATTTTTTTTTATTTAATTATTTTTATTATTTTTATTATAAAATATTTATAATGACAAATGATTTTTTTTTTTTTTTTATCTTTCAGAAACTCTAAATTATAAAATAAAAAAAAAATAAAAAAAAAAATAAAAAAAAATAAAAAAAATAAAAATTTTAAAATATCTAAAAAATCAGTTAAAAACTGTGGGTTTTTTCTAAACTTCGAATAATTATTATTTTTTATAAAAAGGTAATAATAAAATAGTTATTATTATTTTATTTTATTTTATAATTAATATTATTATAAAAATAAATAAAAATAAAAAAAATAAAAAAAATAAAGTTTTTTTTATTATTTAAATATAGATTTTTTATTATTATTTTTTTATTAAATGTTAATAAAAATTAAATAAATAATTTCTTTTTTAGCTGGCATATCTGCAACTTGAAACATAGGTATTAAACTTTTGAATGATTGCACAATCAGAACATTCTTGATCAATGGTCTCTATTCTATTTAATACAGTGCATCTAAAATCGGTAAAAATTGAAACCTCTTGAGTATTACTTCCAATTACCCAAATTGTTGATTTAGTGCATGGATTCATAATTGGTGTGCAAACACGTGGTGTAGCTTGAACACAAATTTTTTGATAACCTAAATGAATTGAAATTATTAATAATTTGATAAATTTTATTATTATATTATTATCCATAGTATTATTATTATTATTATTATTATTATTACTATTACTATTACTTACTTTGACAATTTTCGTCGCAATATAAACAAATTGCAAATAAATAACCACCACTGCTACCTGAGCCAGTATCATGGGCAGGGTGGTTTGCAGTTGAATATGAGCCAGTGACACTAGCAGTACTGCTAGTAGAGGCTCCGGTATAACTACCACTAAGATAATCTTCAAAATTATCGTTGTTACCACCCGAACCACTTAACCCACTACCACTACTACTAATACCACTGCTGCTCGAAATGGCAGCATTACCACTTGTTGATGAACTATGGGTATTTAAATCTTTTTCATTACCATTAAAATTATATCCACTTGTGTATCTATTATATTTTAAATTTTGATTTTCTTCTTTTTTATTTATTTTGTTTGATGTTGATATATTACAAAAAATTAATAATATTAAAAAACTAAATAAAAATAAATTTTTTATTATAAAATTCATTTGTTGTTTGATCATTTAATTAAAATGAACATAATTTTAAAATAAAAAAAATAAAAAAAAAAAATTTGTGTTTTGTAAAAAAATAAAAAGAAAAAAAGAAAATTCGACATTTGGGCATAAAAATATTTAAAAAAAAAATAAAAAATGAAAAAAATAAAAAATTTCTGAAAATTCGAGTTTTTGAGGCAAATAAACCTCAATACCATAGATTTATTAATGATTTTAAAAAGACACAAATATCATTATTGTTTAAATTGATCACAGAATGAAGGAAACAGATAATGTATAAAAAAAAAAAAAAAAACTTGTCCAAATCAAAAATTTGATTATTACTATTTTTATTTAAATTAAATTTAATTTAATTACTTAAAGTACAAAAATAATAAATGAATATATATCCTTACTTTATTTTTTTTTTTAATATTTATTTTAAAGATCTTCGAATGTACTACCAATAAAAATATTTGCATGACTATCACTGTTATGACTAAAGGATTCATTGGCACTATTGTGATTTGAACTCTCTTCCTCTTCTTCACCATTTTGGAGGTACTCTTCCTCACCATTTTGGAGGTACTCCTCTTCTTCACTTTCACCAACATGATATTGCTCTTGTTGTTTAATATATTGCCCTTCTTCACTTTGATATTGCTCTTTTTCATGGTCAGCTTCGTGTTCGTGATGATTTTCATCATATTCGAGCTGTTCCTCTTCTTCTCGATCATAATATTTATCGCTATTATCTATATTGTTATCTATATTATTATTGCTATTATGATTATTGTATTGTGATTCATTAAAATTTAAATTTTTAAAAACACTATTATTATTTAAATCTGATGATGAAAAGTCACTTGTATGATTTATATCTATTTTGCTAAGATACTGATAACCACTATTACTACCATTGGTTTTGTTAATATTATTATGGTTTGTGGTGTTGTTGTTGTAAAATGATTGATATGTTGTTTTTAGAAATGGTGATTTTGGAGAAAATTGATCAAATCTAAAACTTGGGTGATTTTTTCTTGGTGAGTCTTGGACAATGTGATGAACCTTTGATAATCTTTCTTTCATATCATTATTTTCTTTAATTAACGATTTGATATATTCTTCGAGATTTTGTTTAGATTTAAAGAGATTTTCGATGTCTATTTGCATTTCACCAATTATTTTTTCATTTTCTTGTAGATTGTGTTGTAATTTTTGATTATCAAACTCGACTTGATTTAGTTGTTGATTTGCCATATTGTAATCTTCTTTAAGATGGGTATATTCTCTGTTTAAGCTGTCCCATTCAACTTTATCAACCAATAATCTACCACGCTTTTCATTTTCAAATTGATCAATTTCTTTTTGTTTTTGAGCTACTAATAAATCCAATCTTGATTTATCAAATGAAAGTTCATTTATTTTCTTTCTAGATTCAGATTCCAATTGATTCAAATTCAATAGTTGATGGTGATGGTCTTGTTTTTCTTTTTCATATGTTTCTTTTAATGATTTATACCTTGAACTCTCGTCTTCTAAAAGTCTTTCTAATGAGTGGAATTCGAGTTTTAATTTTACAATTTGATTTAGTAGTTGTTCTGCTTTTTCTTGGTTGCTAATATCTATTTTCATTTGTTGAATGTTGCTTTGAATCTTTTCAATCTCCTGCTCCCCCTTTTTTATCAATACCTCTTTTTCATCCAACTCCATTTCCTTTTGTCTATACTGGTTTTTCATTGAACTTATCTCGATTTCTAAATCTTTTAGTGTTGTCAAATCTACGGCTTTTTCTAAGATTTCCTGTTGGTATTCCTTTAGTTTTTCTAATAGCTGGGTATTCATTGAGTCCTTTTCTTTGATTTCGTCCTGATATTTTGAATTTAATAAATTTAAATTTTTAAACTCTCCATCTCTGAGCTCAGATAAATTCTGAAACTCTTTTAGCAATCTTTCAAAATCATTACGCTCCTTTAATAATAGCTTTGATTGGATTTTTTCCTGCTCTAACTCATCAAGTAAATTAACTAATTGTTGGATTAATGATGATTTACTATTACCGTTGTTATGTGACGAGTTGGCTGTTAACGGTGTATCAATTGCTGATTGATCATTATTAAAAAGTTTTGATGGTGTTTTATTGCTATTTGTGTTTATCTCTTCTTTATTTAATTGATTAATTTCAAATTCCATTTTTTTTTGAAAACTATTTAACTGCTCATATAGTTTTGATGATGAGTTTGGAGGTTGTGGTTGTGTTTGTGTTTGTGATTGATATGTTATTGGTGTTACAATATTGTCGTGATAGTTGTTATTGTTATTATTTGTTGAGGTTTGGGGCGTATAGGGAGATTTTGATGAATGAGTACTTGTTGTAGTACTTGTTGTAAATTTTGTTGATGGTCCAAAGCTACCTGAATAATCTGATTTTTTTGAACCCTTTAAAATGTTAAACTCGTCTTCTAAATCACTAACCTCATTCTTTAATAAATCTAACTCTTTTTCAAAGTCACCAGTCCCAACAACTTTATAATCAACTTTTTTCAGTGGTGTTGAGCTAAATGAAACATGTTGAGGTTGTTTATTTCCTGTATTTGTTGTAACTCTATTATATTCATAAAAATTCTGAAATTGTGATGGTGATTGTGAATGTGAATGTGTTTGGTTAGAATTGTATTGTTGTTGTTGGTCAAAACTGGTTTGGCTGCACTTTGGGCAATAATTTGTATTTGATGAGGGTGTATTATTACTGTTATTAATATTACTTGAATTATTATTACTACTGCTATTCAAATTTGAATCGTGCTAAAAAATAACAAAAAAATTAAAAAAATAAAAAAAAATAGACCATAAGTATTTTATATAGTTTAAAATGTTATTTATTGTAAGACTCTGTATAGTTACAATTAAACAAGTACAATTTGCAGGTACTAATCTCCATCTTCTTGGTTTTGATGCTGATGCTGATGCTGAAGATACTGATTTTTTTGGAGTTAAAGGTGAGTCTGAAAATTGTGAAGCATTTGGATCCATCTCATACTCAGATTCACTTGGTATTTCTTCAAGTATGAGTCCTTGTGTCTGTGGCTGTGGTTTGATTGCACTAAAATCAGTCATTGGTGTACTAAATCCATTATATTTTGGTGTATTAATAGTGGATGATGTATTAGATGTATTTTTATTTGGAGTATTTATTGCTGATGTATTTTGAGGTGTTAAATAATTTGTACTTTTATAAGCATTTGTGTTGGTTGTTGTGGTTGTGTTGGTTGTTGTGGTCGAACCGGTGCTCGAAGATAATGGTGGTGTAGCTGGAATTTTAGGTTTAATTTGAGATGGTGGTTTTAGTCCACTTGTTTTTGGTGTTGAACTATATGGTGAGGGCGATTGCTTAATTGGTGTTTCTTCTAAATCATTTATATGTAATTGTTGTTTTGATCTATCATTTTCTCTTGTTGGTGATTTAATATTTGGTAGCATATTATTATTTTATATTTTATTTTATTTTATTTATTTTATTTTATTTATTTTATTTTATTTACTATTATACAAAAACTCTATTCAAATTAGCATTATATATTTTATAAATTGTTTATTTATTTTTAAAGCTATTATTACTCTACTATTAAAATTTTATATTGTGATGTTGACAATAATTATTAAATAATAAACCTTTTTTATTCCTATATTTGCTGTTTGTGTTCAAAATTGATTATATTAAAAAAAAAATGAAAAATTAAAAAAAATTAAAAAATAAAAAAAAAATAAAAATTTTTAAATATTTGAAAAAATATAAAAAAATATAAAAAAAAAACTAGTGTAATGATTATAACAAAACAATATTTATGTCTTTAAAGATTGTGATTTTATTAATTGATAATTAATTATAATAAAAGAAAAAAAATTAAAAAAAAAATAAAATAAAAATAAAATAAAAAAAAGTTTACTAAATTCGATTTTTTTACTATAATTGTATTATTTTTTTAAACCATTTAATTTTCAAATTAAAAATTGATATAACTATTAAAACAATTAAATATAACTAAAACACCCAAATTCCAATAATTAAAAATGACGAACTATATACGCTTTCATATGAACTATTTTTTTTTATTTTTCTTAAATAAAAAAATCTTTTTTTTTTTTTTTTTCCATTTTTTTATTTTTTTTTTATTTTTTTAATTAATTTTTTTTTTTCAATAACAATATAAAAAAATTAAATTTTAAAAAAAAAACCTTTTTTTTTAAAATATTATATCTCCTTATTTATTTATTTATTTAAATTTTAGATATAAAGAAAAATTAGATTTTTTTTTATTAATATAATAATAGAATAAAAAAAAAGGTTAGTCAAAATGTCTGATCTCGATGCTTATCTAGGGTCATTTGGGTTTCCAGCTGATCAAATCAAAACAGTGATTTGTTTATTAGCATCATACCCATTCGCATATTTATTAAGAAAGTTACCAAATGCAAATTTAAAACACATGTTAAATATATTTTTGGGTATTGCCTATTGCACATGGTCATTAGGTCAATGGAGTTGGGTACACTCATTCATTTCATCATTAATTTCATACGGTTTATTAATGGTATTACCAAGACGTTATTCACAATTAGTAGTATTTGCATTTTGTTTAGGCTATTTATCAGTATCCCACATCTATCGTATTTGGACAGATTATATGGGTTGGACTTTAGATTTCACCGGACCACAAATGATTTTAACTCTCAAACTCACTAGTTTTGCATGGAATCTTTCCGATGGCTCAAAACCAGATAACGAACTCTCTTCTGATCAAAAGAGAAGATCAATTAAAAAACTCCCAAATCTTTTAGAATTCTTTGGTTTCGTTTATTTCTTCCCAACATTTTTAGCAGGTCCAACCATCGAAATTACTGACTACCTCGACTATACCTCTGGCAAAATGTTCAAAGACGAAAAACTTAAAGGTAAAATTCCAAACTCTTTCCTTCCATCAATGAAAACATTAGGTTATGGTTTATTCGTTTTCCCATTCGTTATTCTCTCAGGTTATTTCCCAGTTTTAGATTTAGCTGACCCATCCTTTGGTTTCGAACCATTATATTTAAGGTATATTTTATTTAAAATTATTTTTTTTTAAAAAAAAAAGCTACAATATTAATATTTCTTTTTAAATTATTATAGAATTATTAAAATTCATATTCATGTTGCATTAACAAGATTTAGATATTATTTCGGTTGGTATATGTCAGAAGGTTCTGCTGTTTTAAGTGGTATTGGTTTCAATGGTTACACTAAAGAGGGTAAAATTCGTTGGGATCGTATTACCAATGTTTATCCATTAACTGTCGAATTTGCATCAAATATTAGAGATATTTCAAATTGTTGGAATATAGGTACTAGCGATTGGTTAAAGAGATATGTATATCTTCGTCTTACCCCACCAGGTTCTAAACCAACTTTCTTTGCCACTCTTGCCACATACGCTGTCTCTGCTTTCTGGCACGGTTTCTATCCAGGTTATTATATCTTCTTTGCCGCTTCAACTTTCCTCACTGAAGTTGCTAAAGATATGCGTCGTAAAATCCGTCCATACTTTGTCAAAGGTGCTGATGAAAAACCAATTCAACCACAAAAGAAAATCTATGATATCCTTGGTACATGTCTTTGCGAATGGTTCCTCTCTTTCTTTGGTGCCTCTTTCCTCTTTTTAAATTCCGAACGTTCAATTCAATTATGGAGATCTTTCTCTTATGCCCCAATTATACTTTTATTATCAACCTTTGTTTTATTAAGATTTGTAATCCCAACCCCAAGATCAAACAAACCAAAAGTAATTGAAAAGAAACAAAATTAAAATAATATATTCAATAAAAAATAAATAAAAAAAAATAAAACTATATAAATAAAATAATTTATATAATCAAAAATAAAATAAATCTAAAAAAAAAAAATTCTCATATTTTTATTAATTTTATTTATTGATCTTCAAAATACCAAGTTAAAATTCAGATTAATTCCAATTTTAAAAACAAAATTTTAAAAAAAAAATAAAAAACCGAAAGCCACAGGGCTTTTATTTTACTTTTGTTTTTTTTTTTATTTTTTTTTTTTTTTTTAAAATTTTTTTTCATTTTTTTAAAATAAAAGTTTTTTTAAAAAATTTTTTCGTATTAGTTGATTTACACACAGAAAAGAACAAAATGGTATGAATATATATAAAAAAAAAAACAATATATTTTTTAATAATATATCATCAAAACAATATAATAAAAATAATCAATTAAAATAATTAATAACAATGAATAATATATCAATAAATAATAATATTTAAAATAAAATAAAAAAAATAATAATACTCATAATGAAATAAATAAACAAATAATTAATATTTTCAAATTATTTTTTTTAGGGTTTCGTCAAAGTTGTTAAAACTAAAGCTTACTACAGCAGATATCAAGTCCAATTCAGACGTCGTCGTGAAGGTAAAACTGATTACCAACAAAGACACAGATTAATCACCCAAGACAAAAACAAATACAACTCACCAAAATACAGATTAGTTGCTCGTATTACCAACAAAGACGTTGTTGCCCAAATTGTCTACTCTAAAATCGTTGGTGATTTCGTTTTAGCCTCAGCCTACGCTCACGAATTACCACGTTATGGTGTCAAAGTCGGTTTAACCAACTATGCCTCATGTTATGCTACCGGTTTATTATTAGCCCGTAGATTATTAGCCAAATTAAAATTAGCTGATACCTACAAAGGTCAAGAAAAAGTTGACGGTAAAATTTTCTTAGTCAAACCAGTCGACGACAAAGCCAGACCATTCAAAGCTAACTTAGATGTTGGTCTTGCTCGTACCTCAACCGGTTCAAAAGTCTTCGCTGTCTTAAAAGGTGCTGTTGATGGTGGTTTATACGTTCCACACTCTGAATCCAGATTTGCTGGTTACAACGCTGAATCAAAGAAACTCAACGCTGAAGTTTTAAGAAGCTACATCTTTGGTCAACACGTTGCCAAATACATGTCACTCTTACAAGCTGATGACGAAGAAGCCTACAAAAAACTCTTCTCACGTTACATCAAAGCCGGCGTTGCCTCAAAAGATATCGAAGAAATCTACAAAAAAGCCCACGCTGCCATCCGTGCTGATCCATCACCAGCTGCCAAGAAAGACCGTAAATACGAAGCCAAAAACAACAAACTCGTCCAAAGAACCCTCAGACAAAGACGTGCCCGTATTTCACAAAAGAAAGCTTCACTCAGAGCCAAAAACCTTTAAATTATTTTTTGTTCAGTTCCTTACAGTTAATAAAATTTAATTTTTTTTAAAAAAAACCCAAAATATTCAATTATGTCTCACATTTTTTTTTTTTTTAAAATGATTTAATTAAATATAATTTTATTTAATTAAATAATAAGTTTATTTGTTTTAAAAATTAACTGAAAGAATAGATAATGTTGCTGGTTGATTTTGGCCTACTAAAATATAACCAAAAACATATGAGGCATGTGCATTAATTGATTGTTGGTATGATGGAAGAGATAATACACCACTTGGAGATTTGACCATATTCCAAAGTGATTGTGGGTCACGTAAATTTAAATTAGCAGTACCAATGTTGATTTGTTTGAGGTTATAGTTTGAATTATTTGAAATAGTAATGTCATATTGAGTATACCATTTTCCAGCATTGCCATCATACCATATGTTTACTACTTTAGATGACAAAGTAATTTCGGTATAGCTACTACGTGGGGTACAGCCTGGAACATTGTTGAATGTACGACAAATGTCACTATTAGAGCAAACACCATTACCACATGGATAGGTTGCAGCTGAAAAAGATATTGTTAATAAAGCAAATAATAAAACAATGATATATTTCATTTTTTTTTTTTTTAAATTTTTGAATGAGTGTATTTAAAGATTAATTGTTATTGTTTTTTGTAAATGATATTTAAAATTTAAAAATAAATGTGAATTTATAGTTTTTTTTTTTATTATTTAATAAATCAAAAATAATTTAAAAAAAAAATAATTATATTCTTTTTAAAAGTTTTTAAAGTTTTAAAATAATTATTTATTAGTATTTTTTTAACTTCCAAATTAAGAGAAGAACATTTAAAAAGAAACTCAAGGGTTAGAGATATTATAAAAGAATTATTAAAAAAAAAGATTTAAAAAAGAAAAGGTTTTTAAAAAAAAACAATATAATTATATTGAATATATGGGAAACTACCATTTAGCCTTATCGCATTTTTTAAAATTCTTTAAAAAAAATCATATAAAGTTAATATTAAGATGCTAATACTTTTAGTTTATTTATTAATAACATTGTTTTTTTTTATTTTTATTTTTTATATTTATTTTTATTTTTATTTTTTTTAATAAAGATATTTTGAAATATAATTATACCATCTTGTGTAATTAAAAATTATTACGTAAAATTTTTTTTAATTTATTTTATAATAAAAAAAAAAAAAAAAAAATTTTATTTATTTTCTATTGGTTAAAAAAAAAAATAATAAAAAAGAATAAAAATTTATTTTTAAAAAAAATATAGTTATTTAAAAGAAAAGCTTAATCGAGTATTTAGCCAATAGATTTTTTTGTTTTAAAAGTTGTTTTGATAAAAAAAATCATAGGTTTGATTGTTTTATAAAAATATAGTTTGGTTTCGGGTTTTAAAATTATTTTTATATTATTTTTTTTTGATTTTAAAGAACCAAACTCATATTTTTATTAGTTTTAAAATGAATAAATTATTCATTAGTTTAATCAAAGGGTATACACATTAAGAATACCTTAGAGCAGTTAAATCATTGGGTTAGATATCGGGGTTTCAGTTCATTAAAAGATCTTGGGGTTCGAACCTTTTAGAAAAAAAATCTCAATTCTTTTTTTATTGAAAATTATAAAAAAAGTTAGCTTTTTTTTTTTTTTTTTTTTTTTTTATAATTATATAAAAAATATAAATTTCTTGGACTACCAAAATATTTAAATATATTCAAAATAAAATATTCTTCAATAATTGAAAAATGAGGAATAATTAATTGTTAATATTTTTAAAAACTATTTTTTTTTTTTAATTAATATGAATTTTTTATAAAAACCTTTTTTTTTGTATTAAAAAGGAATGTATTATCTATCATTCCCAAAATATTTTTTTAATTTTTTAAAATATTTTTAATATAAAAAAAACAAATTTAATCTTTAGATAATTTATTTATCTTTTTTTTTTTTAAATATTAATTATTTATTTTAAAGTTTTTTTTTTTTAAAAAAAAAAATGGAGATAAAAGTTTTTTTATTTTTTATTTTTTTCATTATCATTATATTTATTAAATTTAAAATTAAAATGAATAATAATAATATTAAAAATAATAAAAATATCAATTATAGTATACCAATAGTTGATTTTTCAAATTTAGGAACTAATCAGGGTAAAATTAAAATATCAAAAGAAATAAATGATGCTTGTAGAGCAAGTGGGTTTTTTTATATAGTAAATCATGGTATTGAACAATCAGTATTGGATGAATTGTTGGAATATACACAGAAATTCTTTTCATTGCCGTATGATGTCAAAATGAAATGGAGAGTGGGAGGAGTTTCTAGAGGATTGTATGGATACTTTGGAATTGGTAAACAAGTTATTGTTGGAAAAGATTATAAAGAAGGTTATTATTTGGATATTGAAAAAGAATGCGATGGCCATTCATTATACCCGACAAAAGATGAGGAGGAAATGTATGGTTTGGTAGGTTTTAAAAATTTTATTGAAAAATACATAGCAATAGTTTTAAAATTATCAGATACAGTATTTGAATTAATTGCACAGAGTTTAAATTTACCTATTGATTATTTTAAAAATAAGTATACTTTTGACCCAGCTACATTTCTATCACTACTTAAATATCCATCAAATGCTAAAATAGAAGGCGATGACCAATTAGAAGATGAAAAGAAGTTTGGTATCGGTAGACACACTGATTGGCCTCTATTAACTTTTTTAACACAAAGTCAAATTGAAGGTTTGCAGGTATTAGTAGGAGATACATTTATTGACGCACCCCCAATCAAAGGTTCATTTGTATGTAATGTTGGTGACTTATTCGAAATCATTACAAGAGGTTACTTTGTATCAAGTTTTCATAGAGCAATTTATAATAAATCCACAAATGACCGTTATTCTTTTCCACTATTTGTTGGATCAGAATTAGATGTTCCGCTTGAGGTAATTGATGGTTTCAATATGTTTCCGTTAAAAAAGAATCCAAATAGACCTCATGATCAATGTGACCAATTTTATAGTTTTAGGGGTTCTTATAGACAATATTATGAATATAGATTAAAAAATACTTTTAATGATTATTTAAATAAAGATTAGTTTTTTTTAACAACTCCTCAAAACTTCATTCAATAAAAGACATTTATTTGTCAGTTTTTTTCTGTGTTTTAAACTTGTTCCCCCCTCAAGTTGGGATTCATGAAAGGGATTTATCGCCAGGAAGATAAAATATTTAAAAAATTTTAGCATCTGTAGGTTTCGATCCTACGACCTCAAGGTTATGGGCCTTGCATTCTACCCCTGAATTAAGATGCTATATTGATATATGCATTCAAAATATTACTACTTAGGGTTTTTTCTTTTTGCCTTGAAAGATGAACCAAAAAAAAAGTCCCAATCCAAGAAAGAAACTATCATCCTAAACAATATGGTTAGAAAGATGATAATAAAACCCAAATATAAAGATTTTTGGTCTCAACTCTTACCAAAATCTAGAATAAAAATAAAGAAAAACGATCAAAATATCAAACAAAGAATATATACATACCTAGTGAACATATTATAACAATATATTAATTTATATACCATTCCAATAAAACAATAATTACCATTTGTTCAAATCAGAAAAATCACAATGGAAAGGGAAGTCGTATTATCTGGAGATATTTGCTGAAAGCATTGCTTAAGATCTTCGAATCACAATGCTGTTTCTGCCCAGAAAAAGAATCATCAGAACACATTTTTCAAGTGTCCATGGGTCAATAAATCGATACAAAAAATAATAAACCTATTTTTAAAAGATACTCTGTACGACCCTTTTGTATGGGACGAACCTAGAAAGATATAGAACCTTATAGATTAATTACAAATTACATACGCCTTGAACCACTTTTTTTTTTTATATAAAAAAAAATAAAAAATTGCATATAAAAAAAAAAAAGTGGTTCGAGGTGATAAAAATTAAACAACCAAAACTATATAACCAAAGTGGCAAGAATCACCTGAACAGAAAATTTTCAAATGCCCATCGATTTATAAAACAGTCAAGAAATAATAAACAAAATTCTATAAGAAACCCAAAACGACCCAATTAAATAAAATAGGTATTTACCAAACTAAAAAAACCATTTTTATCAAATTTAATAGCAGAAGAAATAAGAAACCTTGTAAACTTCACCTAAAAACAAACCTCATCAGATATCTTTAAAGTGAAAATACCAACACAGATAATTAAAAAAACAAAAAAAATAAAAATTTTATTTCAAAATTAAATGAGAAAAATTAAATAACTGAAAATAAAAAAAAATAAAATTCCTGTTAACCTTTGGTTAACTATTAAAACAAAAACAAAATAATTAATTAAAGGGCTAGCCTTTGCTAATACTGTCAAATTGAATGGTTGCGACAAAAAACTCAACTAAGATATTTAATAAAAAAATTCTGTGTAGGAAAAGTTTTTCCACAAGACTTTAATGATTTACAAAAAAATTATGTCATTTATATAAAAAAGTTAAATAGAAACAAATAAGATATCGATTGAATAAATAAATTTTAAAAAAATAATATTTGGGGAAAAAAAAATTTAATTTTAGTTTTTAAAAATTCAATATAAAATATCAATTTTTTTTATTTTATTTTTCCCAAAATCTTTTTTCTTAAAAAATTATTAAATACAATTATTATTTCCCATAACAATTTTTTTAAAATAAAACCATACATAATTTAAAACCAAAATAAACTTTTTACTTTCAAGTAAAGGCCATGTTTATTTACACCATACAGACTCCAGTATCTAATATCATTCAGAACTAGGTTTAGTGTGAGCCCTGGCTTATCTAAAACTTTAAAAAAATTAAATAATCTAAGTAAACACCTGATACCTTTACTTTTTATTTTTTTTTTCCTTTAATAATCAAGTTTTTTTTTGAGTGAAGTTTCTTCGCAATATTTTTTGAGATCGCTATTTAATCTGTAATTTTCACTTTAAAAAAAAATAAAAAAAAATAATCTGTAATTTAATTGTTTTGCTTTATTATAACAACATCATATTATTAAACAAATAGGGTAAAAAATGATGGTTTTGTATGAATACTTCATTTTATTTATAGAATTAAAATTAAAATTTATGAAATTTAAAAAGAAAAAAGAAAAAAAAAATAAAAAAAAAAATAAACTGTTTAAAATCATTGAGTAATACAGAATACAATTCGTATGCAACATCAACTGTTTTTTTTTTGGTACTCCAACATTTCAATAGCAACATCATCAAACTTAATAGATAAATCATAGTGATTAAAAATTATCGTTATTGTTTATCGTTTTTTGGATCATCTGGAACAAATTTATTCAAAAACACAATTTAGTATTCAATACTATTTTATCAATTGTAAAAAAATTAGATACTAAATTATTTCATGAAGAACTATATTCAATAAAAAGGAAAATGGTATACAAAAAATAAACATATTGTTTATAAAAAATAAAATTTTATTATATTTCTAATTAAATTATGACACAGTAATAATTTGTGGAAATGGTAAACATCTGAATCCTTTTTACTATTGTTTCTATATTTGTTATTTGCTAAAGCTAATTATTGTTGTGATACTATCGTTACTAATATATTGAATTTTTTGATTTTATGGTCTATTATTAATATTAATTTTTTTTTATTTTTTTTTTTTTTATTTTTTTTTTTATAAAAAAATTATTATTAATTAAAAGTTTTTTTTCAAGCTTTAGGGTTGATATAAATTTTCATGATGATGATGATGATGATGATGATGATGATGATGATGATGATGATGATGATGATGATGATGATGATGATGAGGAAATAAAAAAAAAAGGTGTGTAATAAAATAATTAAAAAATAAAATTATAATGATTTTTTTATAATTAAATTTAATCTAAAAGTCCACTTAAAGTAAAGTATAATAACTATATTTTTTTATTTTAATATTCATTCCTTAAGAAACTTTCATTGTTCAATTTTAATAATTCAAATAATATTATTTAATTAATTATAAAAAATAAATAAATCAAAAATTAAATAAAAAAAAAAGAAATAATTAAGTAAATATATATAAGAAAAACAAAGTATAACAAATAAACAACTTATAAATGATTAAGTATATATTATTTGTTTGATAATTATTTATTTTTATAAAATATCAATATCAATATTGCCAGTATTTCAGATATTTTATTTTCTTAGTTTCTAAAGCTAAAAAAAATAAAGGGCAAATTTTTTGTTAAAGGTTTGAAAAAAAAAAAAAAAAATACCCCATAATTTTTTTTTTATAATTTTTAACACAAAGATTTTTTTTTTTTCAAATAATTTTATTTTTTTTTAATAAAATTTTTTTTGGGCAGATCACAAAAGGATTTTTTTTTTTTTTTTAAAATTTTTTTTTTTTAAAATTTTTTTTTTTTTTATAAAAATTTTGATAGAAATGTTATGAATCACACACTATAAATTTAAAAAATTTTTCTTTTTATTTTTATTTTTGTTTTTGTTATATCACAAACAAATAATTGTATATTTAATTATTAGAATTTATATTTATTATTTATTTATTTATTTATAACCAAAGTAGTTACATCTACATTACTAATCTATTTTATTATTATTTGCTTAAGTCACGCACAAGCTTCTTTCTAATGTACCCAGACAATTATGGTGCAGTAACCAAATGGTAATCGGTAGACTTTGTCTTCACTAGAAAATGCTATAAAACTCATAAGGGAATATCCTAAACTCGGTTTCTACACTCCCAGTAAAGACTACCATGTTATTATTTGTTCAATGAAGTGTCCAGAGGAATTCAAAGAGGCAGCAGACGAATTTCTTAAAACTTCATTTAACCAAAAATACTTTGAATACGGGTCCTGCATCTCCAAGAACATCCCGTTGCCATCGTTGCAGAGCTAAATAACTAGAAATACGTATTCAAAAACACACCATTGCCATCGTTGCAGAACTATTCCATCTGATGAATAGGGTTAAAGTAAATAGTGAGAGGTCATCGTTGATAAATGTGATAACTGTGAATGTTATTCTTGGAATTTGAGAACAATTAATAAAAATTCTCAAGTTTCTTGAATTATATTCACATTTATCACATCTATCAACGATTACTCTGTCACCATTTATTTTAACGGTTGTTTTTGTATACGTGGCCTTCCAGTATATCTTTGTATTTTTTGTTAATAAAAATTTAAATAAAAAATTTAATTATAAAAAAATTTCATTGTTTTTTTTTTATTCATTTTTTTTTTAATCGTAACCAAAGATTTTTGTATTCATTAATATTATTAACAATTCTATGTTTTTTTTATTCTCTTTTTTAATTTTGTTTTATTTGAAGAAATAAATTAATTTTAATAAATAACTTTACAAATACAAAAATATAATAATATAGGAAATTAAAAAGAAGAATAGTAAGCCTAATACTAACTTGCTTTATCAACTCCAAATCACTATCAATTGAAGATTTTAAATTGTTAACCATAAATTAAAATATAATAAATATAATAATTATTTAAATTTAGTTTTATAACTATATTCTTCGTATAAAAATAATTTTATTTTTTTTTATTTGTTTGTTTGTTTGTTTGTTTATTTGTTTGTTTGTTTGTTTTATTTTTGGATCATGTTAATTTTTTTGAGAGTTTTTTAAAGTTTTTTTTTTAAGAAATCAAGTGTGGCCCAAATTATATAAAGTAAAAAATTATTTAAAATAAAAAAAAAAAAAAAATTTTTATTATTAATTTATTATTTTTTATATTTTTTTGTTTTTAATAAAATTATTGATTATTTAAACTATTAAAATTTATTGATTGTTAATATGGCTTTTAAATAGAGAATTTACATGATATAAAATCATTTTCATTAAATAAAAAATATCATTGTGGAATTATAAATAATAATTTTATTAAAATTAAATATTATTATTTGAGATTTTTTATTCCCCAAAAAATATCTTGAAATTTATTATTCATTTTTTAACAAAATGAACCTCAAATTAACAATATCTTTTTATTTTTTAAAAAAAAATTTTAAAAATAAAATTACCCATAAATTTTTTTTCAAAATTAATTATAACACTTTTTAAATTTTTTTAAAAATAAACTAACAAGAATTCCTTACAGCATTTTATCTCTCTTTGAATTCGGTTAGTATCGAAAGATATTGGGGTTCGAATCCCCGTTGAAGAAACCTTAAAACTTGAATTCTGTCAATTTTACTAAAATATATTTTTTATTTTTTTAACATATTTAATATTTAATGCCAGAAAGAATTGATTACAGCCTACCTCTCAGGGTTCGATCCTCTTTTACGCGGGATCAAAAAATGAATTGATGTGGCCAAACTTTTGAACAGTGTTGTACATACAAGTATAAAATACACCAAAAATCAAAACACAATAAATAAATAAATACTGATGAATTAATATCATTAAATATATTGGTCATTTTTAAAAAAATAATTACAAATATTTATTTAATAAAAATTATAAACTTTATTTAATTTTCAATAACCAATTGAAGCTACTTTTAGGCTTGGTATTGTTTTACTTTTAATGATAAAACCAAATTTATAGCATTGATTTGAATTTATTGTGTTTTGATAATAAGGTAGTGTTAAACCACCATTATTAATAATTATATTCCATATTGAGTCATCACTATAGAGTGAATCACGAATTGACAATGTTTCATTAGGAACAATAAAAATATTTCGAAGGTCTTTAGCACCATTGTTTATTATTATGTACTCTACACTCATAAATGTATCACCACCACGGCTACCATCCTCCCATGTTCCCATTAAAGCAGATGTAATTTTAACTTCACTTTTATTTTCTTCCACACAACTGCAACCATCATCTTCTTGTATCGTAACTTGACCCTCTCTGCAATAATTAAAACCACAGTAATAACCTGAAACTATAGAAACTATTAATAAAAAGATAAATAAAAGAGATTTCATTTTTGAAAGTATATAAAATAATAATATAATAAAATATTTTTTATGATAAATAGTGTTTTTAATTTTTAAATACAAAATAAAAAATTGGTTTTAATTAATTTAATATTTTTAATTTTTAAAGAAAAAAAAAATATAACCATAATTATTCTTATATGCGATATATTGGTTTTTAAATCATTATCTTTTTTGGTTTTTTGGGTGAGTGCGAGTGTGTTTAAAAAATTCTAAAAAAGAAGGTTTAAAAATATTGTGTATCTGTATAATGTGTAGTAATAAATAAATATAAAAGTTAAAGAATAAATTTAATGTTTTTTTTTATAATTTTTTTTATTTTATTTTTTTTTTCATTTTTTTTTTGTTTTAATATATCTTTTTTTTTTTTTTGTTTTAAAAAGAAAAAAAATTTAAATTATTTATGTGTATATATAAAGTGGTGTAGTTATTATTTGTTATTGATTAAATTATTTTTTGATTTTTTTTTTTTTATAAATAAAAATTATTAAATTATTATTTAATTAACAACTAATGGGTTTTGTTTCTTTTTACCTTTTTGTTGATGTTGTTGTTTTTTTTGTTGGTGTTGTTGTTGTGATTGTTGTTGTTGGTGTTGTTGGCCGTGATGTTGTTGGTTGTGATGTTGTTGACCATGGTGATAGTGGTGGTGACCGTGGTGTTGTTGGTGACCCATTTGTAAGTGTTCATTATCACCTTTCTTTCTGTAGGAAGTACCAAATTTAACATCATAAATACGTTCGTTTTGTTCAACGAAATCGACTAAAGATTCTGAATAATGTAAAGCGAGGTATTGGAATTTAGTTTGTTCGGCACGGAAGGTAATTGATTCGGTTGAGTGTTCCATTGAAGCTGAAATTTCGTGATTAACCATCATTTTAGCGACAATTGAGTGAACGTGAGCCTTTGGTAATTGGAAACGATCAGCTAATTCGGCGATGAGAATTGAATCATATGAAGTTGAATAGGTAAATAAGAAAGTTTTTAATGAGACCTCTTGAATGATACGAGTAAGTTTTTCACGAACTAATTCTGGTTCTGGAATGGAGCTCCAGAAACGAAGAGTGTTGACGTGTTCAACACATTGTTGCCAGTCACCAGCGGAAAGGGCTTTACTAGCTTGGTAGATGATATCTTTGCTGGTTTCTGATGGAGCAATGAAAATTTGACGGTCAACACTATCCATGTGACGTTGATAGAATTTACAAGTTTTGAATTTATTGTCAAATGGACGATAAGCATTTTGTGGAACAGCAATTAACATACCAGAGATTAAATTAACAGTTTCGATTAAATCGATTGGGATCCACATATGAGCTGGAAGCATACGAGTAGTTTCTTCGAGTTCACGGACGGTATCTTTTTCAACGGTTTTACTTTGAACTGAAAGACCTTGAGCTAAAAGATCTTTACGGAGACCAGAGAATTCAACAACACATTGTTGGGCTTCAGCAATATGACCACTACGGAAAGCGCAAAGACCTAATTGGACCATAGCACGATTGAAAAGAATTTGAGTTGAAACATCCATAAGAGTTGGGTTATCTTGGAGATGGCTCATAAGCATTAAATCACGAGCTTCGTGGAATTTATTATTGATGGCACTGAAATAGATATTACAAAGAATAGTTCTAGCATTGAGACGTTCATCACCAAATTTGTAAATGAATGATGAGAGTTTGCTCATTAATTGAGTTTGTTCATCTAATGACATTGTGTTTGGAACAATGGTATTCTTGAGGTTGCTTGATTTATAATAAATGTGTTCAATACGACGAATAGCAATTTTAGCAGCAGATTCGGTATTTTTGGCTTGTTCGTAGTATTGTTGAAGTTCAGAACCTAAATCTAAAATAACTTGTTCATCTTGAAGACGGTCTAAATATTCTTTGGTTGGATAATTGATAGATTGAAGACTCTTTGAGAATTCATCGTCTAACATTTCAAATAAAGCTAAAAGATTACCATGAACAACAACTTGACCTTTTTGGACTTCTGGTTCTTGGTGTTCGAGTGCTAAAACAAAGTTTGGATTCTTTCTAAGGATTTCTAAAAGTTTTTTAATACCTTCAGCAACTTTGGTCCAGGTTGGAATGGCAAGAGCAACTTTTACACTAGCAGTATCAAATTGAGCAGCAATTAATTGGTAAAGAACAACAAAGGTTTCTTTTTCGCCTTGAATTAAAGAATAAAGATATTCGAGTTGTTGAATTTGTTTAACTGGATCAGTCTTTAATTTACCTCTAGCAGCAATAACTTCTTTAACTTTTTTCATAACTTGTTCTTGAGTTAATTTTTCTTCAGTTTGTGGAACGGCAGCAGCAGCAGCAGCAGTACCAGTAGCAGCAGCGGCTGGTGAGGCAGTTGATGGTGAGACAACAGTTGGTGCAACCTTTCTTGTTGCGGTTGCTGGCTTGGCAACTGGTTTACCAGTATCCTTTTTAACTAACCATTTATTAACAGTGTTGTCATCGTCAGAATCATCTGAAGATGATGAATCAGAATCACTATCGAATTCACTATCAGATTCTTCAGATTCTGATGAATCAGCAGCAGCTGTTTTCTTAAAGAATGATGATTTTTTAGTTGAAGCTGGAGTTGGTTTAACTGGTTTCTTCTTTGGTTTTTCATCTTCACTGTCACTTTCTTCTGATTCTGTTTCACTTTCCTCTTCGGATTCTTCTTCTGATTCATCGTCTTCACTATTATTACCTTTAGTGTCAGCAGAGTCGTTGGCTAAAGCTGGATTATCGTGATATGGTTTTAATTCTTTGCTGTAAAGATCACATGTTTTTTTTAATTTTTGTTTAATACTATTATAAGCTTTATTATTATTTGCATGTAATTTCTTTTTTTGTTCTGCTGATAAATCTCTGTGACTAACTTGAATTAAAAATAATACTTTAACAAATGATGGTGGGAAACCATCTTTTTCAATAATTCTAATATTTTTGTTGTTTGTAATTAATTTTGTAATAATATCAAATTCTATAAAGAAAAAAAAAGAAAACAATTTTAAAAAAAATTAGTATTATAAATTTTTTATATTTATTTGTAATAATGTTATATATATAATATATTTAATAATAACATACCTGATGAAACTGTAACCCAATCGTTGGTTTTAAGAGCATTTTTAACTTTTCTTAAAATTTCGTCATATTGGCTCCAAAGTTTATCTTTTGCTGATAATACAATTCTTTTTTCCTCAACTTCGTCTTCTGATGATGAAACATAACGAGTTGTTTTCTTTTGTGTTGGAACATCTGAATCTGATGAACTTTCACCTTCTGATTCAGATGATGAACCTTGTCTAAAAAAACGTGACATCTTTTATTTGTTTATATAAACCCAAATATTAAATTAATGTAAATGTGTCTTTAAATTTGATAGTTTAATCGCTTGACTTGACTTTTGCTTTCAATCAATCTAATTGTATATAATAGAATTATATTATCTCTTCTTGTTTTCAATTTGAATTTCTTCTGATTGAATTACGATTTGATTTTTTTCTTTTAATTGGTTTTTTTTCTGAATAAATCTGAAAAAAAGTTTATTAAATAAATCTAAAAAAAAAGCAAATTAAGTTTTTTTTTAGTTAACAATTAAAAAGAAAATATTTTATTGAACAAAAATAATCTATCTATATATAATTTGAAAAAAAAAAAAAAAAAAAAAATATTTTTTTTAAAAAAATTGGAAAAAAAAAAAAAATTTTTAAAATTTTAAAAAATATTTTTTAATTTTTTTTTTTTTTTTTAAAAAATTACACGAGGTTCAGACTGAAGAAACCGAGAAAAAAAAAATAATTTTAAAATAAAAAAAATAAATAAAAAAATAAAATAAAAAAAAAAACATATCCATATTTATTCATTGTTTAAATTATTTATATTATTTATGATAATAATATTTATATTATTTATATTATTGTTTTGTTTCAACCATTAATTTATTCCTTCCTTTTGAAAAAAATACATTTATTCAAATTTAAATGGTTATTTTATTTGAACAAAAATAAGAAAAGAAGAGAGGAAAATAAAGTAATTATTTTACTATTTTAGAAAAAAAAAAAAGTGGTATATTATTTTAAATAAAAAATAAAAAAATAATTATTTTTTTTATTTTTTTTATTTTTTTATTTTTTTAATTTCATTTTTTTGAAAATTATTTTTTAATAAATATTTAAATTAATAATTTTCCAAAAAAAATAATAATAATATATTTTATAAACTATAAAAATATTATATAGTATCAAATAATTTTTTTTTTATCTCTAACCCATAAAATAAATAACAACTAGATAAATAATGAAAGATAATAATGAAGGTGAAGATTGTATTGTAAATATAGGAGTTGAAGTCATCATAAATGAAAAATCAAATGTATCATTTAGAAGTTTAAAAGAGTCATTCGAGTTATTTATAAAGGAAACAAATAAACAGCAAGAAGTTATTAAATCATTATTATCACTTAAATCATTGGAGAGAACAATAACATATTTGGATCACCCCGAAAAAAATATAGTAGAGTATTACAAAGTTATATTATTGGGTATAACATCAAACAATTTATCAAATAAAATTCTCAGTTTTCAAAATAGTAGTAACGAGGTCAGTGATTGTCAGCTTCAAGATATTGATAAATTAAATGTTTCAACAATAAATTATCAAATATTTTTATATAAATTATCTCATGACTCACCACAAAGCGAATTAATTGATGAACAGGAATCATTCTCTCCATACCAGCAGTTATTGTTACCAAATAAATCATTCGAAACTCTATGGGAAAAGTAATTACATATAGATATTCAGTTTAAATAATTGTAATATTAATATAGGTTTTTTTTTTTTAATTTAGTTTAATTTATGAAGAAGGTTTAAAGTCAAATTTATTATCATATATGTCAACAATAGTTTTATTTTCAAAATTTAAAATAGATTCAAATATATGTTCAAATAATAAGGTTATATTTTTATATGGACCACCAGGTACAGGCAAAACATCGTTAGCAAAAGCATTGGCACAAAAAATATCAATTCTATACAAGGATAAATTTAGCTATACACAACTTATTGAAATTAACACACATAGTTTATTTAGTAAATGGTTTTCAGAGAGTGGCAAATTGGTAATGAGGATGTTTGAAAATATAAAAGAAATTTTAGAAGATCAAAATTGTTTTGTAATGATTTTAATTGACGAGGTTGAAAGTTTAGCAGCAGCAAGAAATGCATCAATTAACAGTGGTACAGAGCCAACAGACTCAATAAGGGTGGTCAATGCATTTTTAACACAATTGGATCAATTAAAAAACTTTTCAAATGTTTTAGTAGTTGCAACATCAAATATTACCAAAGCTGTTGACTTGGCATTTATTGACAGAGCCGATATAAAGCAATACATTGGTCCACCTTCAGTAAAGGCAAGAGAATATATTTTCCAAACCATCTACAACGAATTATTTTTAAAGGGTGTTTTAAAAGATAACGAATTTAATAATTTAGATGATAATCAATTAGATAGAATAGCAAAAATAACAGAAAATTATAGTGGTAGATCTTTGAGAAAATTACCAACAATAGCCATATCATCACATATATCTTTTACAAGTTTACCAATTTCTTCAAAAAAATTTACAAATATTTTATTAAATTATATAAATACAACAAATATTTCAAATAATAAATTATTAAATTAAAATATTATAAATTAATAGTTATCGACTTCTTTTTTTTTCTTTTTTCTTTTTCTTTTTAAAAATCTTCTAAAAAAAATATTTATTTAAAATTTGATTTATTTCTTTTTTTTTGTTTGATTGTTTTTTTTTATTTATCTAATTTTACCGGTTGATAATTTTTCTGAAACTAATGGTTCTGATTGATTAATTAAAAGTGGAGTTTTATTATAAGAGATGACATGATCGACACAGGTTAAATCGTAATGAAGGAATTCTTTTTGATAGTCGATTGATGGTTTTGGTTGGATTGACATACCTTTACCAGCAATTTTAGAGCCAGCTACAACAGCATCTGGATTCTTTGGAACTAAGAATGAGAGACTGTCTTTAGCACCTTTGCCATCATCAGCAACAATGATCATAGCTTCAGAGAGAACACCCTTAAATTTGCTTGGTTTAAGATTACAAACAACTGCTAATTTCTTGTTGAGTAATTCTGATTTTTCGAAATTGTTCTTAATACCTGAAACTACAGTTTTATTAACATCACCACCTAAATTAACCTTGATAATGTAAAGATGTTCAGCAGATGGATGGTCGTTAACTTCAGTGATGGTACCAATCTTTAAATCAATTGGGAATTCTGGACCAAGACCACTGAATTGGGTTCTCCATTTCTTGAGATCAGCAGCATCAATCTTTTTAACTAATGGTTCGATTTGTTTTGAAAGTTCATGACCACCTGGAATAGCATGTAAGTCAAATTTGGTTGAGTATTTGGTTGGTTCTACATTGAGTTGTTGATGAATTCTGTCAGTGAGTGATGGGATATATGGTTCAAAGAGAGTAGCTAAAAGTTTGATAAGATTTGTTAAAACTGCTAAAACGAGGGCTGAACGTTCTTTATCACCTTCCCATGGTTTGTTTTCTTGCATGTAAGAGTTACCTAATTTTGAAATGGCCATGGTAATTTTAAGACCTTCTTTAAGTGAGATCTCTTCAAGACTCTTAAAGTATTGATCGAGATTTTGATTGACTTCATTGATAAATTTATGGTCAGCTTCATTTAATTTGGTGTTATCAATAGTTGGTACAGTGCCTTGATATGTAGTTGAGATCATTTTAAGAACACGGTTAACTAAATTACCAAAGTTATTTAATAATTCATTGTTCTTAGCGTTGAAGTCATCCCATGAGAAGACGGAATCTGAGGATTCTGGACGGTTGCTTAATAAATAGAATCTCCAAACTTCTGATGGAATACCAGTGTTCTTAGCACCATCACCAAAAACACCAGTACCTCTTGATTTTGAGAATTTACCAGTTTCATAGTTGAGATATTCAGTGGTGCTGAGGTTGTTAAGAAGGGTGTATGAGTCTTTGGTACCAATTTGGGAGGCTGGGAAAATAACAGTGTGGAATGGAACATTATCTTTACCCATGAATTGAACAAGTTTAACATCTTCTGGATTCTTCCACCATTTTTCCCAATCTTTGGTGTATTCGGCAGTGATAGAGATATAACCAATTGGTGCATCAAACCAAACATAGAAAACTTTTTCTTTGAATTCTTCTAATGGTACTGGTGTACCCCATTTTAAGTCTCTGGTAATACAACGTGGCTTTAATTCGCCATCAACCCATGTCTTTGTGATTTGGATAGAGTTTTCACTCCAGTTACCATCGGCACTATTTCTCTTTACAAATTCTTGGACACTTGATTGTAATTGTGGTAAGTCAATAAAGATATGTTTGGTGGATTTAATGATTGGTGGTTTTGAACACATTTTACAACGTGGGTTGATTAAATCGGTTGGATTTAAAAGTTTGGTACATTTATCACATTGATCACCACGAGCATCTTCATATTGGCAATGTGGGCAAATACCTTCGACATAACGATCAGCTAAAAACATTTTACAAGTTTGTTCACAATATAATTGTTCGATTTCTTGAGTTAATGTGTAACCATTATCGTTTAATTTCTTAAAAATATCTTGTGCAATTTCGGTTTGGCTGTTGGTACTGGGTTCTACCAAATTTATCAAATGAAATATTGAACCATTCGTAAATTTCTTTATGAATTTTATGATATTTGTCACAAATTTCTTTTGGTGTGCATTTTTCTTGTAATGCTTTAGTTTCTGTTGCTGTACCATATTCATCAGTCCCCCAAATATAAATAACATTGTAATTTTTTAAACGGCAATATCTATAGTTGTTGTAAAAAAAAAAAAAAAAAAAAAAAAAAAATTAGTGTGTGTGGTTTTTTAAATATTATAAATAAAAAAATAAAAAATAAAGTAATCTAAATTGATTATCTTTTTTTTTTTTTTTTTTAAATTTTTGGATTTTAAAATTGATTGTTTTTATAATTACCTGGCATAAACATCAGCAGATAAAGTACTACCAACTAAATTACCAAGATGTGGAACATTGTTGACATATGGTAAAGCTGATGTAATTAAAATATTTCTTTCACCTGTTTTTGGGTGAACTGGATCTTTTGCTGGAGCACTCATTTTCCTATGAGTAAAAACAATATAATTTATATATAAAAATAAATGAAAATGAAAATGAAAAAAATAAAAAAAAAATTTAAAAAAAACAAAAAAAAAAAAAAAAAAATAAAAAAAAAAAGTTTTTTATTTTTTTTATAAAATAAAAATTTAAAAAAAAATATTAAAATTTAAATAAATTGTAAATTAATATTTCTTAATTAAATAGCACTTTTTTTTTTTTTTCAAAACATATTAAATTATTTAAATAATTTAATGATAATAAAATTAATATAAAATTAAAAGAAATTACCTTGTTTATATTTGGGGATGCGTTTGGTTTATAAATATATAAAATAACTTACACAAAGTATATCTATGTAATATCCATATTTGTTTATTTATTTACAATTAATAAAAAAAGTTTAAAATTTAAAATTTTAAAAAAAAAAAAAAAAAAAAAGTTTTTTTTTATTTTTTTTTTTTTATAATTTTTTGTATTTTGGTTTTTTTTTATTTTTTTTATTTTTTTTAAAAAAGCTTAATTTTAATTGTTTTTTTCATAATAGATTGTTTAAAGATTTCTATTTTCATTAAATAACTTCCATTGTATTTTATTTAATAGTATAATAATAGTTGATTTTATATTTAAATAGTATTAAAAAGAGATTTATATAATCACTGTATATTATTTATATAAATAACCATAAAACAACACTTTAATAAAACAATAATAATATTAAAATTTAAAAATCATTTTATTGGTTTTTAAATAAATATAAATAAAAAAATAAAAAATAAAAAAAGTATTAACGGAATGGGGCATACAGTACCGCCCCCACCATCAAATATTATTCATAATTGTGTTTCAATTGACGAAATGGATCCATCAAAAGAGACTATTCTTTTTGAGTATATACCAGGGATATTATATACCAAGCAGGTTTTAAATGGTTCAACTATTGATATAGGGTCAGATTCAGGTGTAATTATGATAGTGATGCTCAATGGTGATGTTTTTTTTTATCCCTCAAATGTTACTTTATTAGATCAATTACCAGATATATTCCTAAATTCACCAAACACAAATAATAATGGCAACAATGGAGCTACAGCAAACATGGGTTCAAATAATAATAACAAATCAAATAATAGTAGTAAAAAGAATAATTTAAAGTCAAAATACAACATACCTTTAAATTTATCACCAGATCACAAAGTATTTAATTTTGATTTCAAACAATTTGACCCAAGTGAAAGTTTTATATACAACTCTGAAAGTTCGGGATCATCATCAGCAAATAGTTCAGATAGCGAGGACGATATAGAATTAGTCAATAATTTTAATATTAATAATATAAACTTTAATTTCAATAAATCCAAAAAGAAAAATTACCAAAAATCAACTTCAAACGGTAAAATTTTAGAGGATTATGAAGATGTTATAAATAATAATAATAATTATAATAGTGACCCCGATAATATACCAGCTCCTCATGAATTTTTAGATTTTAATCCTATTAGATATAGAAGACCCAGAAAAATTTTAGTTAGCCACGATAAAAGGTTATTAATGATTATAGGTTGCTTTATTAAGGGTGTTAGCTGTTTAACAATGTGGGTATCTTTAATAATATTGGCATTTTTTACGAATTTATTATTAATACTTTTTTATTTTTTTTTTAATAAATAGCTATAGAATTGTGGAAGAGGGACCAAATTATTTTCAACTTATATTTTATGATTCAAGTTTTACATATGTAGATGCCTGTTTTTCATCAGATTCAACAATGATGACAGCAATTTTAGCCAGATACCCAAATTTTATATTTGCTTTACAAATTCCAGGTTTACAACCAAAACAAATTACTAATAATATCAGTAACAATAACAATAGCAACAATAATAATAACAATAATAATAATTATAATAATAATTACAATAATAATTACAATAATAATTACAATAATAATTACAACAATAATAATAACAATAATAATAATAATGCTGCTTATAACATGCTTATAAATTCAAAGATAAGTTATATTAAAACAACAGAATATCAAGAAAAAAGAATTAGTTTTGAAGCTAGAAAAATTGGACCACTTGCGATTGTTGGACCTGTAAAAAATTATAAAGGAGAACCCTATCATATGACACATATTGCATCAAATCCCAAAATGTCTGATGAAAAATTAAAACCATTCGAGTTTGTTACATGGAATGATGATAGTTTAGGCGAATGTTGTTTTTGGAATATTTATAAAACTCCAAATGACAATAATAGTTTAAATAAGTCATTACACCAGCCATCACAGAGTAATCAACCATCACCATCACAACCAGTATCACAGCCTCAACAACCAGCACCACAATCTCAGCAACCTCAACAACCTCAACAACCTCAGCAATCTCAGCCTCAACAACCCCAATCACAACAACCTCAACCACAGCAACAAAATTCACCATTAAAAAATATACCACAATTAAAATTTGAATGGATGACCAAGTTTATAAATCCAATCGTTCCAGATAAAAGTTTAATAGATAAAGAGGGTTTTGCAAAATCTTTTATTATAAATATGGAATTTTCACCAAATGGCGATTTAGTAATGGCAATAGTTAGAAGAGAGAATCATGACCAAAAGAATAGGTTATCAAATGGTATAGGTTTTCAATGTATCCCATCAACATTGGACTTATTAAACAGTAGTAGTATTAAGAATTTTGATGGCACACCAAATACAAACACAAATATAAATAATATAGGAACAGAAAACCAAAATTATTTTAAAAATAAAACAAATCAACAAAAAGGGACAATTGGAGGTGAAGTTTCAAGTCAATGGTTTCAGCTATCAGAATCAAATGATAAGAGTATAATTATAACATCAAAATGGACAGATTCATTATTTTTTGGAGGCCAAGACCAATATTTACCAGCAGTATTGATAAAAGAAAAAGGTATTTATGAGTTGGTTTCAAATAATTATTGTGCTCAATTTACCAATTCTTCAGAGGAGTTTATTAAAACTTGTGTTAACTTTATTCAAATGGGAAAATATCACAGATTATGGATCAGTACATATGGAATTTTATACTCAATTACTATGACTCCTAAAAATGATAAATATATTGATTGGATTCCAACTGTTTTCAATAGTATTAGCAACCAATCAAATATTCTTTCATCAAAATACTATAAAGTTTCACAAATGATTGGTTATAATCTAATAGACTTTACAAAAGGTAATTAATCATTTTAAAAATATATTTAAACTAGAATTTTATTAACTTTTGATATTTAAATATTTAGCCCAAGAAAATAGTTCAAAGAATCCAAATAAAAAGAAATCAACATCTATATCAGAGGAAAGACAACAGGTTATAAATAATATCAATAATTATCTTACCAATACTAATAATACTAATAATACCAATACTACAAACAATACAGATACCAATAATAATAATAATAGTAATAATAGTACTAATAATAATATTAATAATGATATTAATAATAATAATATTAATAATAATAACAATAATAATAATAATACTAATACCAATAATAATAATAATACTAATACTAATACTAATAATAATAATAATAATAATAATAATAATAATAATAATAATAATAACAATACTAATAATAATATAATTAATGAAAATTTGGGTATAGGGGAGGCAGAGGTTTATAGTTGTTTACATTTATATAAGTGTTGGAGTTGTAAATTAACTTTAATTAAACCTTTAATTTGTGGATATTGTAAAACAGTTGCATATTGCTCAAAAGAATGTCAAAAAGATCATTGGCTGGTTCACAAAGAACAATGTATACCCCCAACTTTACCAATGATACAACACCATAATCAACTCCACCAACAGCTTCAACAACAAAGTTTACAACAACATAATTTACAACAAAAAACTTTACAACTTTTAAATTTTCATCAACAAAACAATAAATTATAATAATAAACCAATATATAATATATTAATTAATAAAATAGTTTAGTTATAATATATTAATTACTAAAAAAGTTTTTTTATTATTCTATAAACCTAAAAGTTTTATTTTATTCTATTTCACCAAATAGGGTTTTTATTATTTTTTAAATACTATTTTTTTAACTTTTTTTTTATAATTAATGTTTGATTATTTTGATTGCTTATTTATTGCTTCTAATTCCTTTTCCGGGTCAAAATCAATATTGTTTACAAACCTAGGAACAGTTCTTACAGACTCTAATAGCTCTTGATTGGTGTATACAGGTCTTTCAAATTCCATCCACGCAGGTGCAGAGTATTCAGGTTTCCATGGGCATACAGATCTTAAAAATCTAAAGTATGGGAAGATTTCACCAGTTTTTGGGTGTACACGAGTGTACCAAAGAATTGAGGTGTTGTGGATTTGGTCTCTTGGGTCTTTGGATGATTGTAGTTGATGGAAACGAATTTGACTTAAACGCTCTAAACGTACTCTAAATGCCCACATAATTTCACCATGTGCAACAATAACAACACGTTTATTAGCACATTCTCTTCTTAAAGTGATAAAAGTATGTTCTACTCTTTGGCAAACTGTTGTATTATAAATAAAAAAAAATATTAGTATATAATTTATTTGAAATAAAAATAATTTAATAATTACCTCCTGCAATTGATTCCCCATTGGGTGGAGCCCAGAAAAAGCTATCTCTTTTTCTCATTTCCAAGTCATGGCTAAATCTTTCGTTCTTTTCAGTCCAAGAAATATTATCCATTTTACCTTTATCACGTTCACGTAATTGAATTTCTGTTAACCAATTTGCGTCTTTTAAACCCAATAAAGCTGCAGTTTCCATAGCTCTTACATACTCTGAGGTGTAATAACGGTCAAAAACTTCAGCAATATTTTCACGTACCCATTTTCCTGCTATTTTTGCTTGTAATACTCCCTTATCAGTTAAACGATAGACAGATGAGTGCTTTTTCTTGAATTCGTCAGTGTATGCAGAAAGATCACCTCTTTTAGATCTAGCTTGGGCTTCATTTCCTTCACTTTGACCATGACGTACCAAAACAAGCTCATATGGCCAATCAAATGAAATAAATTGTGAACCCAAAAATCCTTCTCTTAAAGCTTGTGAACCCAAACGCTTTTCCAACAATTCAAAAATTCTACCCTCCTTCTTTCTAATCTTTCTCTTTTTCTTTTTCATATTGGTCCCAATTAGTTGATTTTGCAATCTAGTAATTTCTTCATTCTTTGCTTTGGCTGGCATATCTTCACTATCGCTAAGATCGCTTGAACCACTATCTGAAGTTGAAATAAGTTTTCTACCACTAAAATACTCTGAACCCTCTTCAAAATTTGGATTTGCATCAATAACAACACCGCCCATCATTGGTGACATAATTGGGTTCTTTCTGGCTTCTTCATGGTTTCCTGTTGAAGTGGTTGTTGAAGTTGACTTATTCATTAGTGGCGATTGTTCATATTCTGTACCTTTAGTATCTTCTTTTTGAATCTCAACATCATCTTCGGTAGTATCATTATCATCGGCTGGTGTTGGATTATCTTCATCTAAATCTAATAATCTTTTTTTTGTTTTTTGTGTCTCTGGTAAATATTCATCATTATTTCCATTTCCATTACTACTATTATTATTATTATTATTATTATTAATATTATTATTTGATGACATTTTATTTTTTTATTAAAAAAAAATTTAAAAGAAATCGAATAATAAGATTAATATATATTAAGTTGTATTATATAATTATAAGGAATATAATTGGAGAGTGGTGGTTGTTTAAATGTAAAAATTATTTATTTTTTAAAAAAATTGTAATAATTGAAAAAATAAAAATAAAAAAATAAAAAAAATTAATTTAATTTAATTATAAATTTAATTTTTTTTATTTTTTTCAAAAAATTTGATTATTGAAATAATTATAATAAAATTTTTTTTTTCATTCCTAAATTATAATATATATAAAAGTCAAAAAAAAAAATCATTGTTCTTTAATATAATAAAAAAAAAATTTATATATAAAACAAATTCATATATAATCATATATAAAACAAATTCATATATAATCAATTAATAAATGGCAAAAAATTTAATAGTGAAAAAATTATTATACTAATCAAACAATTAAGATCTTTTAGTTTTTAAAGATTATGATAAATTTTTACGATACATGAAATTTGTATTAAATCTAAAATTATATAGATAAAATTGTAATTTTTTTGTTTTTATTTTTTTAATTTTTTTTATTTAAAAAAAAATTTTTATTATTTTTATTTTAAAAAAACATCTCAAAATAATGACCAAAAAAAACAAAACTAAAACTAAAAACAAAACTAATAATATAAATAGAAATAATAACAATAAAAATAATAAAAATAATATTATAAATATTAATAATAATGATACTAATAATGGCAATTATAATTTAATAGAAAAAAAACAAAATCCCCAATATCATAGAAACTCTACATTATATACATACACACCAAAATCAGTTTTAAAAAGAATTGAAAAACAGTTTATACAGCCTAAATTTTATGAACCCAAAACAATTGGTGACCATTTCGCTTATTATACAGTAATAGGGTTAAAGAAATTTTCAGAAATAATGTTCACAAATAAACATATAAATTTTGCTATTGTTTTGGAGTCAATTGCGTCAGTACCAGGACTGTGTGGCGGGGTTATACTTCATTTAAGAGCATTAAGAACTATGGAAAGTTGCAGTTGGATCAAAACTTTAATGGATGAGGCAGAAAATGAAAGAATTCATTTAATGGTATTTATTGAATTAACTAAAGCAACACTGTTTGAAAGAATATTAGTTACAATGGCACAGTTTATAGTATGGTTTTTGTATTTTATAGGCTATATAATCAGTCCAAAAACAATGCATAGAATAGTTTCGTATGTACAATCAACAACAAATTATTAAAAATGTTTTACTAATAGTTTTTTTTTTAGATATCTTGAATATGAAGCAGTTAAAACATATACCAACTTTATTAAAGATATTGATTTAGGTTTAATAGAAAATGTTCCAGCATCAAAGTTAGCAATCGAATATTGGGGATTAGATAATGATGCAACACTAAGAGATATGATTTTGGTAATAAGGCAGGACGAAGTAGACCATAATATAGTTAATCATCAAATATCAAAAAAAATTTTAAAAAATAATAATGATCCTGTAATTTTAGAAAATAAATTTAATAAAATATCTTTTACAGATAATTTAATTATAAATAATAATAATAATAATAATAATTATTATAATAATAATAGTAATAATAGCAATTATAATAATTGTAATAATTTTAAAGATATTAATATGAAAAAAAGCATTAATAATATTATTAAAATGGATTCAATAAAAATCTCCCCAGATTTAACATGCTAAAAGTATTTACTTTTGCTAATGCTATTCACACATAATTTTTTTTTATTTGTTTTTATTTTTCGTTTTTTGTTTTCTTTTTTTTTTAATTTTTTTTTTTTTTTTTTTGTTCTTGTATGAATGGAATTAGAATATTTCATATTACTATAATGTTATAATCAATAAAATAGTAATTTGTTTAATTTTATACGACTTTTCAAATTTTTGTTTAAATTTAAACAAATCAAAATTATTTTTTTCAAAAAATGATTAGAAATGGTTTTTTTATTATTTTTTGTCTGGGTTCAGTGTCTTTTCTAAACTTTTGATCTGTGTTTATTATTTCGATTACCTAAATTTGGTATTATAAAAACTGATGGAATAATTTCACTTCCATGGAATAAACGTGCCGTAAAAAAAAAAAAAAAAAAAAATTAAATTAAATTAAAAATAAATTAATATAAAAGATAGTTTTTTATAAGCCACCTTGCCAACAAATTTTTATTTTTAATATAAAAAAAAAAATTAATTAAAAAAAAATTAATTTGATTTTATTTTTAAAAAAAAAACTATTTAAACCCAAAAAAAAGACTCTTCCTTTTATTTATAAATAAATAAATAAATAAATAATAATAAATAAATAAATAAATCATAATAAATAAATAAATAAATAATAAATAAACAATAATAGTTTAGTTTTTTTATTTTTTTTATTTAATCATTTTTTTTCAATCACAAAATTTAAAATAATTTGTATTACAAAATGTATAAAAATCTTATAACAAAAAATAATTTATTTTTAACAAAAAATAAATCATTTACATCTACATTGGTATCGGCATCTTTGCCACACTCTTTTATTGGGGGTCAAGTTAGAGACTTTTCAATAACTAAAAAAGAGAAAAAGCAAACTCCACAATACCATAGAAACTCAACATTATACACCCATACACCAAGAGAGGCATTGGCAAATATCGAAAAGAACTTTGTATTTCCAACACCATATGAACCAAAAACCATTGGTGACCACTTTGCAAAGAATACCGTTCAATTATTAAGAAAGGTATCAAATCTCTTTTTTAGAGAAAAGTATATTCATTATGCAATTGTCTTAGAGACTATTGCATCGGTACCGGGTTTATGTGGTGGCGCAATGTTACATTTAAGAGCATTAAGAACCATGGAAAGCAACAACTGGATCAAGGCTTTAATGGACGAGTCTGAAAACGAAAGAATTCATTTAATGAGTTTTATCGAACTTACCAAACCAACATTAATTGAAAGAACAATGGTTGCCGCTGCCCAAGCTGTATTTTGGAATTTATATTTAGTTGGTTATGCCATCAGTCCAAAAATTATGCATCGTGTAGTTGGGTAAATATAATATATTCTATATATTTTAACATATTTATTATTAAATAAACTAATTTTATTATTTTTACTTAGTTACCTTGAACATGAAGCTGTTAAAACATATACCAATTTCTTGGCTGATATAGATGCAGGTAAAGTTGAAAATATTCCAGCCTCAAAATTAGCTATTGAATATTGGGGTCTCCCAGCTGATGCCACATTAAGAGATATGATTCTTGTAATCAGGGAAGATGAAATGGATCACCGTTTAGTTAACCACGAAATTTCAAATAAAATCGCACTCGATAACAATGACCCAATTATAATAGAAAATAAACATCACCACACCATAGTAGTAAATCCAGTCGGTAAAGATATAATTGAAAAAGGCAATGGCCAAGCAGCAAAGGTCAGTGAAAAAATAGTACCAACTTCAGAAATTTAAATCAACAACAATTATTTATATATATGTCAGTTTATAATTTAAAACATAGCGTATTAAAAAAAACTAAAAAACCACAATAAATTAAAATACATTTTTCTTTTACTTTTTTTTTTTATTAATACAATATTAATTTTTAAATTAATTTTATTTGTTTTTTTTATTTTTTAATTTTTTTTTTTATTATTATTATATATAAATTGATTTAATATTTTTTTATTTTTTATATATAATTAATATTAGTTAATTATTATAGTTATAAAAGAAAAAAAAATATTAATAAATAGTTAATTATTTATTAATTATTTAAAATTTATAATTTTTTTTTTTTTTTTTTTTTTTATATTAATTATTTATTTAATCAAAAGAACCATTATCTTTTGAAATACCGGATGTTGAAGTATTTAAACTATTTGCTAGTTTTGATTGTATATTTAAATGTTGTTGAATATCTTTATCTTTGATTGATGTGGATAATAAAGTGAAATCCAATTGTTCTTTGATGATGTTCATTGACATTTTATCAATTTCTTTAGAGAGGAAACCAAAAACGTTATGCTTTAAACGACTATCTACTTTTAAGAGTGCTTCGTAAACATATTTTGAGGAGCAGGTTTCCTTGTCGATTTTTCTGTAAATTTGTTCTAAAATTTCTAAAAGAGAAAAAACAACTTGGAAGTAATCTAAATCCTTTGCTATACTGATATTAAAGATCTTTAAAAACTCGTAAACAACAGTGGTGCCAATCTTTACGATCTTTGATTTGATATGTTCATTTTCGTTGACAACAGTGTGTGATTGTTGCTTTTTTGATAATAATACTTTGACACCTTGCATGGCTGAACCCAATTCGAAATGATAATCGTACTCCTCCATCAATTGAACTAATGAACGTATATAAGCTGGTCCTTTATCAGTTGCAATTAATGGTGCTAAACTAAAACCTAAACAAAACCAACCTAACAGTCTCTTTTGAATTTCTTGTGATTTTTCAAAATCTTGTCTTTGGACCATTGTAACATTCATCCAATGCATATTATGATTTGGAAATAATTGAAATGGGGTTACTGGTGGTGATGAACATGATATATTGGATTGTGATTGTGGTGGTGATGGAGATAATCCTCCTGATTCTTGTTGATATAGTTTATTTAAATTATTACCACTGTTACTTGTATTTAATGATGAAATGGATGATGCTGATGATGATGTAGATAACCCACTTGTATTATTAGTTGCTGTAGTTGTTAATGTATTATTTGTATTTGTATTATTTGCTATATTATTATTGCTATTGTTATTACTATTATTTGTTTTTTCTTTTTCGGATATTGATAATGATGATGGTGTTGATGAAAAACCTGAATTACCATAATATGCTGCTTCATGAATTCTTCTTATATAGTCAATTACCATTGTTCTCTTTTCGACAATATTAGCTATTGATTTCTTTCTTTCTAAAGTTTCCTCCATTTTTGTAACAATAGCATCCATTTTTTAATTTTATATATATAAATTATTATTGTTGACAATAATAATTTTAATTTTCTTTTATTTTATAAATATATATAGTACAATATTATTATTTTTTTGGGGATTTTATCTTTTTTTTTTTATTAAAATACAACTAAAAAAAATACAAAAAAAAAAAAAAAATAAATAAAGGAATAAATATTTAAATATTTTTTATAATAAAGAAAAAAAAAATCATAAAAAAGAAAAAAAAAATTAAAAAAAAAAAAATTTTAAAATTTTTTTTAAAAAATAAAAAATCAAATAATTTTTTTAAAAAAAAACCATTTGAACAATCGATTAAATGTATATGTACAAAATAATGACTATAAATATATTTATGAAATATATAATGCTATGATAAATATTTGTTATTATTATAATAATTAAAATTATTTGATTTGTAATTAAAATATATAAAAAAATTAAAAAAAAAAAAAAAAAAAAAAAAAAAATTTTTAAAATATGGATTTTTTAAAAATTTAATTTTTTTTTTTAAATTTAATTAAAGCAATTTTTTTTTTTTTTTAAATTAAAAAATTTTTTTTTATATAGATAAATATTTTATAGATTCAACAATAATAATAAATATTAATATTTAATTTTTAATTTTTAATTTTTTAATAATTTTTAATAATAAATAATAATTAATTTTTTTGATATGGAAAGAACTGGAAAAATTCAAACCATAAAGGGTTTAATTGAAAATTGTGATTTAGGTATTACACATATGCATGAACATATTTTTATAAATTATTTAGATTATTTTCAAAAGCCAACAGAAAATGAATTAAAGCATTATTGTTGTATGGGTGGTGGCCATGAACACAAAACAGTGGACGATCTTGCAAACGAAAAGATTTCATTAGAGAATGTTTATTGGGTCAATTATAATTATAATAAAAACTTACATAATTTAGAACTCAATGAAATGGATGTTGCTTTAAAAGAATTAGAAATGTATAAAAGAAATGGTGGCAAAACTATTGTCGAAGTAACTACAGGTGGTATTGGTCGTGATCCAAAGAGATGCTTGGAGGTTTCAGAAAAAACTGGTTTAAATATTGTTATGGGTGCAGGTTATTATCTTGATAAATCAATAAAGAAATATGTAGAAAATAAAACAGAAAAAGAAATGGAGGATGAAATTGTTAAACAATGTTTAGAGGGTTTTGAGGGTACCAATATCAAAGCTGGTATCATTGGTGAGGTAGGCTGTTCCTATCCATTAGCTGAAACCGAAAAGAAATCATTAAGAGCATCAGCAAGAGCTCAAGCTAGAACTGGTCTTGCCATCACAGTTCATCCAGGAAGAGCACAAAGAGCTCCTCTCGAAATTCTTCAAATCTTAAAGGATGAAGGTGCTGATTTATCAAGAGTTGTAATTGGTCACATTGATCGTACCATTCATGATGTTAAAATTCTTTTAGAAACTGCTGCAACAGGCTGTGTCTTAGAGTTTGACTTATTTGGAATGGAGATATCTAATTATCCATTTGGAGGTGAAGTCGAAATGTGCTCAGATAATCAAAGAATCGAGTGGATCTACGAATTAATTAAAGCAGGCTATGGTAAAAACGTCGTTATTTCTCATGACATTTATACCAAACATCGTTTATCTAGCTTTGGTGGACATGGTTATCATCATATTTTATTCAATATAATCCCAAGAATGAAAAAATATGGTTATTCAGAACAAGATATCAATAATATTTTAATAGAAACACCAAAAAGATTATTAACAATTAAATAAATAATAATAACAAAAACAAATAAAAATAAAGATATAGAGTTTTTTTCCAAACCATTTTAAATTTTATTTTTTATTTTAATTTCCTTTTTTTAAATATAATACTATAATAATCGAAATTGCAATTACAACGGACAATGGTAGCACTATAATTATAGCTAAGATGGCCTTATCATTATGCATTCTATAGTAATCCATAAAATTAACAATACTATACACTTTGGTATTACCAATTTGTAAACATAAATTACCACTTAAATTATCGAATTGTGTACCTGATGTGACTGTAACATTACAAGTAATTAAATCATGGGTATTGTTTATGTCCCCATTTTCTGATATTTGAAGATCTAATTTGCAATTTTCTAATGGTTTTCCTTTATTTAATTGTTTGATTGAGATACTATAGGGTTCACCAAAATTTTGACCACTTATTGTAAAATTAAAATTACCACTTTTTAGAAAATAACTTGTATTTATTATAATGGGGTTATTATATTTTATAGTTGTCTCGAATTGTTCCAATCCTATAATTGTTACTGAAATATTCACACTATACACGCCATTGGGTAGAAATACCTTAAAACTATGATCATCAATAACTGTAAAATTGCAATCAATTGATTTATTTGCAATCGCTTTGATTTGTTCATATTCGTTAAATGACATCATTTTGGTTATATTTTCATTATATAAAATAATATAACCACCTGAGGTTTTATTATTGTATTCTATAGCTTTTAATTTAAAACCAGGGAGTGGGGCCTCTTCACTATAGGTCCCCAAATTGATAGAACCCAACAGAACTATTATTAATATTATATAAAATATTAAATATTTCATTTATTATTTATTTGAAGTTTTGGTTAATCATAATGGAGAGAAAAAAAAAAAAAAAAAAAAAAAAAAAAAGAATAGCAGCCCTATTTTATTTTATTTTAAAAAACTATTTTTAAAAATAAATAAATAGTTTATAATTGAAATACACACTTACACAAAAAATAAAATATGTTAATATTTTTTTTGTGTAAAAAAATATTTTAAAAAAAAAATTAAAAATAAATATATAAACTATAAATAAATATATAATTTTATTTATTTATTTTCTTGTTCTTTTGGTGTAATAGTTTTGATAACTTTTGCAGGGTTACCAGCTAAAACAACATTATCACCAAATGATTTGGTTACAACAGCACCAGCGCCTACTACAACATTGTTGCCTAAAGTTACACCTGGAATAATAATTACACCACCACCGAGCCAACAATTATCACCAAGAGTAATTGGTTTGCCAAATTCGATACCTTTATCACAACGTTCATATGGGTCCAATGGATGGGCAGCAGTTAAAAGTTGAACATTACTGGCGAGCATACAGTTCTTACCAATACGAATTGGACATACATCTAAAAATACAGCACCAAAATTTGCATAGAAATTTTCACCTACATGAATATTGTAGCCATAATCTAATCTTAAAGTTGGTTCAAGATAGATATTTTCACCAGTAGTTCCAAATAATTTTTTAACTAATTGTTTTCTTTCTTCGACATCTAAACTATTATTAAATTTGTGGATAACTTGACGTGCTTCTAATCTTTCTCTGACCAACTCTGCATCTGATGCTAAATAGAATTGACCAGCAATCATTTTTTCTTTTTCAGTGAAACTGTTATTGGCTTCCATTATTTTAAAATATATTATTACTATTACAAAATATTATTATTAATATTATAGGGGTTTGTTGGGGTAATTAGTTAATTTGAAAAAAAAAAAAAAAATAAAAAAAAAAAACAAAAAAAAAAGTTGTTTATAAAAAAAAAAAATAAGTTTTAAAATAATTAAATTAAATATTATTTAATAGGAGTATTGCATATTTATTTATTGACGAGGCAATTAAAGGGATTAGAATGACGAGGCAGTTGAAACCCAACAAAACAAAAAAAAAATAAAAAAAAATAAAAAAAAATAAAAAATTAAAAAATTAAATAAAAGAAATTTAAAATTAAAAAATTATTTATTTAATAAACTATGAAAGTAAATAATAATAACCTTCAATTTTAGTTTTTTTAATTGCACTTTATTATTAAACCAAAACCCTTTTTATTATTTTTTTTTTTTTTTTTTTTTTTTTTTCACATTTCATTTTTTTTTTTTTTTTTTTTGATTATAAATATAAATATGTGAATTTAAAAATTAAACAAATATTATTATATCTTTTTTTTTAAAAAAAAATTTTGAATGCTTATAATGAAATTATTATATTTGAATAAATAAAAAAAAAATGAAATGTGAAAAAAAAAAAAATAAAAAAATTTTTTAATTTTTTTTAATTTTTTTTTATTTTTAATTTAAATTATATTGTATTTTTATAAAAACAACTATTTTATCCTTTTTCTTTATATATCTTATAAAATGATTTATTCATTATACATATTAAATAAAGCAGGTACCCTTATATATCAAAATGTAAGTTTATATTGATACCTAGGTATTTAAAAATAATTTAGTGTTTGATTTTAATATGTTTTCTTTCTTTCTAATAATATTTTAGGATTATGGACCCACAGAAAAATTATCACATAATTCATATATTAGATTAGGTTCAACATTCCATTCACTTCATGCAATTGCAAGTAATTTATCACCAGTTAGTGGATCAAGCTCAGGTATTGAATTAATAGAAACAGATACTTTTAAATTACAATGTTTCCAAACACATACTGGTATTAAATTTTATATTATAGCAGATCCAAATCATCCAGGCTTAGAAGAAATTCTTCATGGTATTTACGAATTGTATACTGATTATGTATTAAAGAATCCTTTCTATGAAATTGAAATGCAAATTAGATGTGATTTATTCGATTACAAACTATCAAGATTATTAAAATTGACAACTGATTAAATAAATAAATAAATAAATAAATAAACACAAATAAATTAATTAAAGTACGATAATAATATTTTATGTAAATAATAATCAATAATAATCAATATAATATCACTAATAATAATAGTAATTATGATAATAATTATCATACCAATATTTTTATTAATAAAAAAAACGATGATCAAATTTGATTGTTATTTTTAAAAAAAAAAGAAATGTATATTTAAAACTTTATATTTTATTTTGTTTATCTTGGGGAATAACCAACTTTATCTAAAACATTACATTGGGAATTTAAAAGATTGGATTCGATGGTTGGAGGTGTTTGGAAATTTATATTTTGGAAATCGGTAAGATCGTATTCTGGCCAGTTGATTGAAGTTGACAAACCAGTATTTGGGTTAGCAGTATTAATAAAATTTGACCAATAGGCATTCATATCTGTAGATAGATCTTGTTCTGCTTGAGTAAAACTATAACCACCATAACGAGCTGAATTAAAAACAAATGGTAATTCGGATCCGTGACAAACATGACCAACACAATATGGATAATCTAAAGTGAAAAATTAAATTATAATTATTATTTTTATTAGTAATGATCGTAATGATAGTAATAATTAAGGTATTATTAGTAATGGTACTTTACCTGGACCCCAAGCATCAAATGATAAAACATGTGAGAATTGATAGTAGTATATTGGAGTTTGTTTATATTTCATCATTTTTTCAAGTGCATATCTAGTTGGACATACAAAAATATAATTTGTACCGAGAACTGAAAGAACTGGGCGATTATCTTGATCTTTAATGGGTGGGTAGTTTTCTTCGATGGTGTGTTCATGATCTAAAAATATTAAATCAATAGCAAGTTTATAACTAGTTGCTGAAACATTTTTTGGACTTGCTTGGTATATGAACAATAATGCCTCTTCTGAAACTGTACCAACAATCATTGGAACATCATAAAAGTCACCTTTTTCGAACAATGTTAAAGGTTGCTCTGTGATATCATCAAGACCAATAGTTGGAGTCCATGGAAGGAATGATTGAAGTGGTTTTAAAATATCAATTTTTGCTTGTGATTTAATTTGACCTTCAATAATTGAATCTGAAGTTAGACTATTTAAACAATTTAAATCGGATAATGAACAGTTTACATCCTTTGCAAAAGTGTCGCTATAATCTCTTGCATTTTCTAATGTTTTTAAACCAAGTGTAAATGGATGTGATTCCATAATGGCACCTTGGAATAAATTCCATGAATCTTTAGCTGTAAGGTGAGTAGCAATAGATGAACCACCAGCTGATTGGCCGCACAATGTTACTCTAAAAATTTAAATCATTAGCCAATTTATAAAATTTGTGTGGTGTGGGGAAATAAAATTTTTTTATACTTACTTATTTGGATCACCACCAAAATATTTAATATTATTTTGAATCCATTGTAATGCTAAACGTTGATCTTGAAAACCAAAATTACCACCAACCTCTCCACCAACTAAAAATCCCATTACACCCAAACGATAATTTAATGTTACAACTATTATTCCACTAGTATTTACCATAGTTTCTGGTGTATATAAAATGGTACTTGCTGCACCTTGTTCAAATCTTCCACCTTTATTTATTATTAGTTTTTGTTTTTGTTTCTATAATTTATAATTAATATTTATATTTACCTGGAATAAATGCCATTACTGGTCTGAGATCAGATGTACTATTTACATCTAATGGAGTGAAAACATTTAAATATAAGCAATCCTCTGAAATTGAAGTTGGGCAAGTTTCTGGTGGAAGCATACAATTTTGCAAACCTATATGTACATGCTAAATTAATACAAATATATTAATAGTTACTAACATCAATTCAATACCTACAACCACTCTTTGGTACTGTAGCATTTAAAATATTTGGTGTCCAATCATTTGCCGGAATTGGTGATTTCCATCTAAGGTTGTTTTCTACTGTTGGTGGTGTAGCAAAAGGAATACCATAGAAAGATCTATAGGTGTCATGAACAACACCTTGAACATAACCATTTGTGGTTTCAGCAATTGAATAATCGTTTTCAAATGATTCAATTGATTTAATTGAAACTAACAATATTAAAACCAAAATATACTTTATATTCATTTTTAAATTGCTATTATAATTGGCTATATTTTTTTTTTTTTTTTTTTATTATAAAAAATTTTACAATCAAAATTCAAAGCAAAAAAATCTTTTTTTTTAAATTTTATAAAAAAAAATAAAATTTAAAAAAAAAGATTTTTTTATTTATTTTGAACAGGTTTTATTTTTATAATTTCATTTATTTAATTATTTAAAAATAAAATATAATATATATAAAAAAACAATGAATGTACTTTATATAAAAATTCCCAAATTTTTACTGAAAAATCATCAGAACCTGTTAAAAGCTTTTCTGTGCCATTATCAATAAACCATTCGACTGTATTTATACCTTTTTCGTGAGCTTCCTCTTGACTGAGTATTGGTTGTGATAATTCCTAAAATTTGATGGATTTGTCCAAAGAAGTAGATGCAAAGATATTAGTGTTTTTGGAATTTTATTAAAATAGATATTAAATAATTAGTGACTTTCGAAAGTTTTGGTGTTTTCCCAATCGTCTTGATAGTTACAACATTCAATAGTGGTGTCATTAGAAGCGGTCAAAACTAAAGGTTGTTTTGGATGTATAATCTTTGTGAGCTTCAAAAGATTTTACCAATTCCATAGCCTATATATCACAGACCCTAAATGATTCAACAAAATTCAACAATTAAATCTATAGATCTATCTGAATATAAAATAGAAGGTTAAGGTGCTACTTTCTTATTAAATGCATAAAACAACAACAAAACTCTAATTCTTCTTTATAACTATCTTCAAATTTACAATTAAACCCTACAAAATTTAAATAATGTAAAAAAAAAAAAAAGAAAAAGAAAAAAATTAAATTACTTGTGGTGTTTTTTTTTTTTAGTGATGGAAATGTAATATTAATTAATATAATTGTTTTATTATTTTTAATTTTTTTTTGGTATTATATCACCCATCATTTTATTATAGAAATAGGATGATTTAGAGTGATGGTTATTATACATTAAATGTTTTATGAAATACACAAATTTATTTATTCAATAAAAATAAAAATAAAAATTAAAATAAATAAAAATTAAATTATAAAAAAAAAATCAAAAGAAATTTCTCAACATGACTTTAAAGTTTTTTATTTAAAATAAATAAATAATCAAATAAATAAATAAATAAATAAATAAAAAATTTTAATTTTTTTTTTAAAAATTTTTAATTTTTTTTTTCATATTAACTATTGACAAATAATTTTTTATGTTTAAATTAAACAGTTGGCATCATATTTCTTTGAATGATTCAGATTGCAATGGTTTACAAAATTGGTAATTTTCATTTTTAATTTAATTAAAAAAAATAAAAATTTATAAATTCATTTCCCAAACATATCAGCCACTTTTTATAATAATAATAAAAAAGTGTGTGGTGGGGTTATAATTTAATTTTTTTTAATTTTTTTTAATTTAATTAATTTTTTTATTTGGATGATGTGTTTAAAAAATAAACAGATGATCACTACTTTTATGATAGCTACAGATTAAAAATTTAATAGAATGCACAAAAAAAGGAATACCGAGTTTGAATCTAATCTATTATATTTACAAAAGGAAATTATTATAATTTTTATTATTGTTAAATTTTTTTTTTAATTATTTTTTCAAAATAAATTTTATAGCACTATTTAAATTAATTTTTTTTTTCGAATTCATTTTTTTTTAAATTCAAGCAATCAATCAAAAGTAATAGTAATCAGTTCAGCTTAATTTTTCTTTGTTGTTAAATATCATATAATCATATTATTATATATATTTTTGTAAATATTTTTATATATATATTTATTTATTTTATATTTATATATTTAATTTATTTTTACATATTTTACCCTTATATTTTAATAACCATGGGTAATATTTTTTCAAAAAGAGTAAGTATCGCCTATATAACAAACATTATAAACAATAATTAATATTTATTGTTTTATTTATATTCAGAGCACCCTTTTTGAAAAAAAGTATTCGCTATGGAATCCAATATTGGAGACCAAAATTAATAGCACAAAAAAATTCCATTATAACATTTATAAGAAAATTTTTTTCATTTTTGTTATAATCGAATTCATATTAGCATTTTTTTTATATAATGAAATTCTTTTTAATATATATATATTATTTTATTGATATTAACATTTATATTATCATTTTTAGATTCTCAATTTTAGCAAATTTATATAGATTATTATTTAAAAAAATAATAAAATATAATGAAAAAAAATTAAATAATTTATATATTGGCCTTAATAAATTAATTGATGAAAGAAAAAAAGAAACAAACTACGAGAATACAAAAAAACTTTTAGAACAATATGAAAGTTTTAAAAATAGGTATCAAATAGTATTCATTATTTAAATATTATATCTGTAGTAATGTAGTGTCTAATAATTTTTTTTTAGATATTAACAATAAAGACCAAGAGGACCAACATCAACAACCACCAGAACAACAACCAACCCCACAACAACAACCAACCCCACAACAACAACAACCAACCAAACAAACAACCGAACAACCGAACAACCGAACAACCAACCAAACAACAACCAACCAAACAACCAACCAAACAACATCAACAACAACAACCACCATTCATTTATTTTATTATTATAAAATGGTGGTTAAAAAAAATGTATTATTATTTATTTTCCGACACAAATTTACTATATTTTGAAAATTGTGGAAACTGTGTAGGAAGAATGCCAAGTGAAGTCCCCCCAAATAGTAAGTTTTATTTACTTTAATAAGTACTTTTAATTTTTTCTTTATAACTCATACTAATTTTTTTAAATAAAGTTCCTTTGTATTATATGCGGATTTATTAATTATTCAAGCGACACTGGCAGAAAAAAAAAAAAATAAAAAAAAAAATAAAAAAAAAAATATTAGAATTATAATTATAAAAAATAAAAATTATAATTATAATTCTTTTAATAGATAAACAGCAATAGAAATAATAATATTAGATAATATAAATATTAGAATATGTTACCTAGAAATCAAAAAAGAAATAGACTTGTTCAAAGAATTTATCAAATTTGTTCAAAATCCAAGGAGGTAAAGATCCAATCAACATACAAAAGACCTCACAAATAAATCAACACCAATGAATTTTTTCTTTCTAATCAACTACTTGATGAATATCAGACATTGTTCTGGCCAAGCAACTATGGTATCATTGAATGGTTTTAGATGAAGAAAAGATTTAGTTGTTCCTATCCGGCAGCATCCAAAAAATTTAAACAACTTTACACAAACTCTAATCTCAGTAAATCCGTTATGTGTGTTCAAGAGAGATAGTTTTCTCAATGACCACCCTGATTTCACTATTTTAAGATCTGCTGCTTTTATTTTATTTATATTTAAAATTTTTTTAATCAATCAAAATAAAGATAAAGATAAATTCTTTTTATAAAGTTTTTTCTATAAAAGTTTGAAATTAATTTAAAATTTCACTAAAATTCTTTAAAGTTTCTATAATTGTTTTTAAATATAAAAAAATAAACATAAAATATTTTATTTAAAAAATTAAATTCAAATTAAATAAATGGTTATAGATTTAAAAACAACCTATAGCCTTAAAGAACATCCCAAAATACCCGATACATACTATCCCTTATGTCAAAATTATAAACTAAAAAACTAAAAAAAAAGTCAAAAAGAAATTATCTTTATCTTTATTACATTTTTTATTTTCTTATGGTTGGAACTTTTTTTGAACGTATTTATCCATTCTTTTAACAAAACATATTGTTCTATATCAGTTCTTATGTTATGTTTTTGGTGTATATACATCTTTAGCAAAGTGATAATCTTAAGTATTAATTGGAGTTGTATAATCAATTGAAATATAATTTCTTTTTCTATATTTTTTGATCTCTAAACAAGTTTGACTTTGAATTCTGATTCAATACACCCACTTTCTAATTTTTCTATTTGAGAATTATATTTTTATTTATTTTTTTTTTAATTTTTTTTTAATTATAATCCGCTCTTTTTTTTAAAATTTTTTTTTTTTTTTTAAATTTTGAATTTTATTAATTATAATATTTTTATTTTCCTTTCAAAAACCTTCACAAAACCATATTGATACTAACACTAATATTATGGTGCTATTTTTCACTTGTGTTGATGCTTATTCACTCCTCTTTAATAATAAAATGACAATATTATATTTCAAAAAAAAAAAACTATTTAATAAATCATATTTTTGTTTAAAAAAAACATTATAATACCAATCATTGTTGTTTTTATTTTTTCGTACATCACCATTAATCTAAAAATATAATATAAATATAATCATTTTAAATACTAAAAACGAATATAATATTATTTTCTTTTTTATTAATAAAAACCTCAACCAATACAAAACCAAAACAAAAGGTCGAAATATTGTTTTTTTTTTTTTTTTTTTTCCAAAAAAACAATAATCAATATTAAATTATAATATACGTATTCATAATTATATTTATTTTTAAAATGTATGTATTTATTTTAGTTAAACTAAAACCTCAACAAATCCAAATCAAAAAAAAAAGGTAGAATTCTACTATTTTTTTTTTAAAAAAAACATATTATTCTACACATTTTCTAAATTAGCTCTATAAATAGACCCAAAAAATAACTAGATTGCATCTTTTACAAAGCTTTTAATCTTTCTTTTTTCTTTCTTTTTTTTTTTAAAAGCAAAGTTTTTTTTTTTTTTTTAAATTTTTAAAATTTAAATATTGCGCTTATTTACATAACTGCTGTTTTGTAATAAAATATATTTATAAATTGGCTTAACAATATTTTTTTATATTAATACAACATATTATTTATTATTAATAAAAAAATTTTGAAAAAATTTTAAAAAAAATTTAAAAAAAAAAAAGGGGGAAATAACCACACATTTACATAATATATTAATTGATTATGATTTAACTGTTTTTTTATTGATTTTTAAACACCTTTTAAATTAAAAACTTTTTTTTTTGTTTTTAAAACTTAAAAAAATAAAAACTAAAACTTTGAAATTGACTTTAAAAATGGAACTATTTGGCCCCAAACTTAGAAACCCCTTTTTTTCTAAAAATAAACTAAATTTTTTTCCCTATATATAAACCATGAAACAAAAAAAAAAAAAAATATATTTACAAATATAAAATATAAGAAAAAAATTAAATTTTGGATTTTTATAGATAAATATTATAAAAAAGAAAAGTATAATATTTCTTTTATATTTTTAGTTAAAATAAGAAAAGGATATATAAAAATAACTTTATTTTTTAGACTTTATTATTATTATTTGGATAGTAATACTATTGTTATTATTACAATATTCAGCATTATTTAATAAATTGAATAAAAAACTATCTTGGAAATGTTTCTATGCTTCTACCTGATATGAACTCGATGTTGAATTTCTATCATTACTAAATTTTTCATCTGCACTATAGCTATCATTTGATTCTGTCGCTGTATTTTTATTATTACTATTATTTTGTTGTTGTATTTGTTGTTGATAATATTCTATATTGGAATAATCTATTGAATATCTACGCAAATTATTATAATCTATTGGTTCAATTGGTTCAATATTAGTGGCAAAACATTTAAATACTTTTAATAATATAACACCATGTCCGTCGTTAAATACCAAAGGCAAACTGTAATATAAAAGAATTACTAATCTATAAAGGACAAAGAAAACTTTACTCGTTTCTTCTTTGTTATTGAAACTGGTACCAAAAATCCCTATAAGCAAAGAAAATATTCCAAACAAAATAAATAGGAAGCAGAATAAGAAGAACACATCGAACTTTATAAATAAGTGTGGATCAAGACCTTGAACGTTGCAGTTTTGACTTTTTTTTTTATAAATAACAATACCGACTATAAAAAACAACAATAACAAAATTAAAATATAAATTAATATTATAATATTTGTTGCCTTCCAAGTAACACCAAATACAAATAAGAAAACTTGTAATATATACCAAACTAACAACAGGGCTTCGATATAGTATTTATATTTCTTAATTCTACCAAATATCTTCTTTGACAATACATCGTCCCTTAAAAAAAAAACAGCTGTCAACATGTAAGATGAAATGATACAGGAAATAGCCGCCATATATAACCCTGAGTGTATAATAGTTGATGGAATTACAAAAAATTGGAGTATTTGCTTTGCCACTAATAAGAAACTACCGATTATATTTAGAGTTGGAATAGATAGTGATTTAAAATTTTTATTAGGATTCTTGAATCTATTATAAAATGATTTTACATATAATAATCCTATCAAAAAGTAAAAAAGGGAATAAATCGCAGAGAAGCTTGAACAAAACTGGTAGTTGCAAAAATCGTAATGGACAGAGGGATCACAGAAACATTTTTTACTTTCCTCACAACTTGACATTACCCTAAATTGGTTACTTGAGGTATTTTTATCCATTTTTTTTTAAATTTTTAAAACTTGAAAGTATATTTAAAATAATTTTTATTTTTAAACTTTGATTATATAATTAAATATTATGGACTATTATAAATTAAACTATTATTAAAAAAACTATGGTAAAATATTTTTAATAGATAGAAAAATAAAAAAAATATAAAAAAAAAAAAAAATTTTAAAATAATAATAAAATTGATTAAACAAATTAAAAAATGAAAATAAAAATAAAAATAAAAATAAAATTAAATAAATAACTAATAGGGGTATTGTTAAAAAATATTTTACATTTTTTAATAAAAACTTTTTTGTAATGCGTCTAATCCTGTTGAAATGAGTTTACATGCAATTAAAAATAGGATATATTGAAATGAAAAAAAATAAAATGAAGAAAAATGTGTGAGATTTGCAGATTCAAAAATTATAAATGAGATTATTTACAATAAGTTAATTAAAAAAAAAATTAATTAAATTATGAATTTAAAAAAAAAACGAGTAAATCATAGGAACTTTTCCAACTCCATATTATTTTAATATTTTTAAAAATATAAACAACAATTTCGAACTCACACACTTATATCTCACCCTTATTATAGTAAAAAAATAAAAAATTACTAAACCATATATAGATATTGCCACTAACCACATGTGTTAGTTTTTTTTTTTTTTTTTTTTTTTTTTTTTTTTTTTAAAATCCATATTAAATTTTCATTTTATTATGTAAAAATAAATTTTTTTTTAAAATAATAATAAAAAATAATGGCAACAACAATATTCCCCAGCTATGTAACAACAATAGCAACATTGTTTTTTTTTTTTGTATGTGTTTTATAAGGTTAAAAATTATCGTTATTCGGAGTTTTTACCATTTATTTATTTAAAATTTTTTAACCTAATTAGGAAAAGGTAAAATTATTTTTTACTATTATAAAATCGTCCCTAAGGAAAAGTTTTTTATTTGAAAAATATCTAATTTAAAAAATGATAAATTAAAAAAAAAAAAAAATTAGATATTGAAAAATATCTAATTTTTTTTTTTTTTTTTTTAATCATTTTTTTTTTTTTTTTTTTTTTTTTTTTGTTATATTAATAAAAACCGAAATAAATATCGTATATAATTACTATTATTGTACAAATACAAGAAATACAATGATAAAAATCATTATATTTATTTTATTAAATATTATTTTATTTGTATGTGGTACCACTTATGTAAACTTTGATCCACATCCAAAGTGTTCACAAGATGTCGGTGTTGGAATAGGATATAGTTGGATTACAAACAAATGTTTAAATTTTGGACAAGATGGTAGTTATTTAGTTGAAATTGACCAAAATGACCAAAACAATGTAAATTTTTATTTCTTTAGTGATCCAAAGTCCCAATGTAATAAAGCAGAAAACAATGTTACCAAACAATACAACATAAACAACTGTTACCAAGTACAATGGAATTTAGACGGTGCTTTTTACGATGTTACAAACTATGCCAAAATGAGCATTGTAGAAGACCCTGGATACATCCAACCAGAAGGTTATCGTTATACACTCTACCAAACCCAAGATACCCAATGTCAAGCAGACTATTTATACTACCAATATTATACCAATGGTAACTATACACAATTAATTTTTTATAACAAATTTTTAGTTTATTAATTTTATATTTTTTTATTTTTTTTTAGGCATCAAATTCCATAATACTATGCAAACCTTCCTTTATGAATGTGTTGATGATGTTCCATTTGAAGTACTTTGTACCCAAGATTTACCATGTATTAACAGTACTATCGAGTTTAGATGTGTTACTTCAGAATCAGGCCCATATTTACACTCCATTACCTGCTAAATAAAATATTATAAAAAAATATAAATTAAAATAATAAATAAAATACAAACCCCCAAAATAGAAAATAAAAATATAATTTTTAAATTTTTTAATTTCTATTTTAATTTTTATAATTATTTTTAAAACTTAACACTAACAATATTTTAAGTTTACCACACACTTAATTTTAAAATTAATGAGAATTAAAAACTAAAGTTTAAAAAGATATTTTTCTTTTTAAAATTTTATTTTTATTTTAAACATATTTTAAAAAATGAAATTAATAAAACTATTTTCCTCATTAGGAAATATTATTATGATTAGTGGAGTATTTCTTTTAATATTTTCATTACTACTATTCATCAAAATTAAATTTCATTTTGAAATAAATCTACACATAATCTCAATACCCCTCTATTTACTATTAGTATTATCAATAATATCCACATTTACAACTTTAAAGAATATTATAAATTGGAAACCTGTAAGTATAGGAAAATTAAAATTATATAATAAAAAATTATAATATTAATAATAATTTTTTTTTATAGTTGTGGTGTATCTATATTGCGGTATGGTTTATTTTTTTAACAATTACAAATGAATCTGTTCAAAGAAAATGGGAATTCAATAAATATTTTAAAGGATTTATTGCTATTCAATCAACTATTCTATTTGCTCTATTTATGTTGGGTTTAAAAGATCTAATATTATTTATTGGAAAGATTAAATATGGTTTTAATATTAGATATGTAAAATACATATTTACAGTTTTAATATCAGTAATTAAAATACCTGCAATTATTTTATTCTGCTTAAATTGGGTACCATCAGAAAGTAAAGGTGAATACTACTTTTCATATAGTCTACTAGGATGCATGTCTTCTTTTTTTGTTGCTGATATAATTACAATTGGTTTTTGTATTTCATACATGTCATATTCTTTTTTTAAAATATTTACAAACCAAGCTGATTTATATCCGATTATGGGTTTTCCGATGATTATAATAATAATCATTTCTATTACATCTATTATATTTAAAATATTTGTTTCTCTAATCATAGATTATAAACATTCTCTTAATCTATATCTTTTATTTTCACCAATAGTGTTCGGTGAATCTTTAATTATTTTGCTAGGATATAGTTTAAAAAAGTCAGGTTATACACTATCAAATATTTTCCCAAATAGAGAAGAAAACATACCAATAATCAATTACATAATTTAAAAAAAATAAAAAAAATATAAAAATAAAAAAGGTAAATTTTTTTTTTTAGTGTGATATCAATATATATATTAATTGATATAATGGTAAATTAATAATTTTTATTTAAAAAATTTTTAATTAATAAATAAATAAATAAATAAATAAATAGTTTTTTTTTTGTTTTTTTTTTTTTCGGATTTTAAACTTGTTAAAATTTTGTGTTATCTATTTAAACGAGTTTCTTGAGACCTGGTACTTTTGATACTACACGATTAGCACCGGAGTGTGGATGGAATCTAGCAAAGGCTACAGTACCACCAACAGCAGCAATGATAACGAATAATGAGCAACCAGCAGCAATAAGACCAATTTGCCATGGAGCTAATAATGGTTCAACAATAATTGAACCTTTTTGATTACGATTTGAGAAATTGTTATTACGAGTTGACATGTAATAATAGGTACCAGTATTTGACATTTTTCTTGCACCACCATCGAAACGAGTTGGAGCGGCATTTAAATACATACAATTTTGTGGATCTTGTTCAATGTCATTATCATTGGCATTGGTGGCTAATAAATCTTCGTATGACTTGCAACCTGTTTGATCTAAAAGAGCAAATTTAAGACGAACATCCTTATCTGTGAATAATGGTTTACTGCCGAGTTCATCATCTTTTAATGGAATATTGTGATTGAGTGATTTAATTTGAACCATATTTGATCTATCAGTACCTTTACGACCACTGCCATCGTTACCTTGTGGATTGTAATCACAACCAGTCCATTGGAAGTGAATGTATTCATTCTTTTTAATTTTGAGTGCATGTGGAACAAACATGTATTCTTGAGCTGGATAAGAGTTGACAATGTTACCTCTTTTACCTTTGACTAAAAGATTCCAAATCTTTTTACCTCTTAATTCTGGGGTTCTTGCTTTAATACGGAAAACATGAGTACGATCTTGGAAAGTTCTACCATATTGATTTGGATTGATATTGATAGTAACATTATTACCTGGGCTGAGTTCGATATTTGGATCATTGTAACTGACTGAGGTATTTTTATTATCACGGTAATCAGTGAACTCATCACCATAACCCTTGATATCAGAAGTTGAAATATTGTAACGAATACGTAATACACATTGACAAGTGCCTGTTTTGATACATGGTTCTTGATCAATGCCTGGAAGAGTCCAATTGAAAGTAGCTGGAGCACCACCATGTAAAGTGTGACCGAGATGATTGACAGCAGTCCATTCAGCTTTATGACAGCTTGGTTTACCAATACCGTGTGATGGGACTTCAGTCCAAGTACCTTCATTAGCGCATTGTTTTGGATCAATAGTTGCAAATTGTTGATTAGAATTGGCACAATAGTATTTGGATTTAACATTTTGTGATTCTGATTGATAATATTTGCAGAGATCTTTGTTATCAGTGATTACGGCAACATCTTTCCATGGTGATGGAGCCCAGTATGGGTAGTAATCACGTTCTTCTTGACATTCATAACCATAACGAGTACCACCATTACTTTGACGAGTTCTATCGGCATTTTGGTTGTTATTTGGATCGAGTTGATTAGCAGTGAAAAGACCTCTATTACGTTGACGTTTTGTGCAATTTTGGTAATAATAATAGGATTCGTGGAGACCATAAACAAAGGTATCAGTATTTTCTACCTTTTCTACAGCTTGTTCTAAAGTATTTCCGATAGTATTTGTATTAGTACCATCACGAATTGACTCCCATGGAGCAGCTGTAGCAGAATCTGTACACATATATTGAATGACGATATTACATTCGGTTTCGTCACTACCACAACCATGTTGAACTGTCCATTGGACTGGAAGAATTGAACCTTCATACCATTCTAAAGCATCACCTCTGCAATAACCACCTTTGGCATTATTTTGAGTATTAAAAAGACGTTGAGCGTTATCTCTATTTTGGCCTGTTTCTTGATTACGATTATTACTAAATGGTGGAGCATGGCCATAAATATCTGCATATACCACAGATACAATAATAAATAATACTAATAAAATTTTTTTATTCATTTTTTAGGGTTACTATTATTATTATTGTTTTTAAAAAATTTGTTTGTTTGTTTTGTTCCCACAAATGATTAATAATATTTAAAAAAAGAAAATAGGTTATAAAAAAAAAAAAAAAAAAAAAAAGTTAGTTAGGAGTTTTTTTTTTTTTTTGAAAATTATTATTTTTATTTAAATTATTTTAACTTATTTTATTTTATTATAAAATAAAATTTTAAAATAGGTGTGGATATTTATGGGGTGTGTTTATAAATATGTGTGAAGGGTGCCTAATTATGACATGATTTGTGGATTAGCTATATTTATTTTGAATGTGGGTGTGTGGTGTTTATAAAAATTGATTAAATCTTAAAACAAAATGATTTTTTTATTGATGTTATTTTTAAAATATATGCAGGTTCTAAAATGATTTGATTAGATTATGTTTGATTTTAAACTTACAATAAATAAATAAATAAATAAATTAATAAATAAATAAATAAATAAATAAATAAATAAATAGGGGTTTTTTTTTATAATACAAATAAATAAATAAATAAATAAATAGGGGTTTCGTGTAATATAAATAAATTTATATTATACAGAAATTATTTTTTGTCTTATCTAAAAAAACAATCTGTGTTGTGAAAAATGAAATAAAAAAAAAAAAATTTTTAAAATCAACAAAAAAAAAAAAAAGAAAAAAAAAATAATTTTTTTTTAAATAAAAAAAAATAAAACTCGTAAAACGCGGTGTTTTTTTTTTTTTTTTTTTTGGTTGTCATATTGATATTAAATATCTATTACCCATGGGTTGTGAGGGAAAAAAATGATAAATAAATGGTTTAATAAATATCTTTTTTTTTTATTTTATTTTTTTTCATTTTTTTTTATTTTTTTTTTTTGTAAAATTTATTATAAATTGTGGAAATGAGTACTAACACGTTGTCTACAAAAAAATAAATTGAGATCTCCTATTTACACACATAAAAAAAAATCGATTTTCAAATAATTTTTCCCCAAATCAAGTTTAAAATTTTTTTTTATGATAAAAAACCATTCTTCCACACATACAACTTTGATATTTATTTATAATGATATAAATAAATTGTTTATTTTATAATAAAAAAAAAGATATTTAATTTTGTGATAAGGAGTTTGGTTTGTTGTTATAAATAAATAATATAATATCAAAGATCCATTTTACTATAATTCTATTAGGAGGCAAAAAAATTATCCCCCATTTTAAAATATCACTAATCACATATATCAAATTTATTAAAAATAAAAAAGTAATTGTTTTTTTTAACTCAATCCACAAAAAAGCCATCCACAAAAAAAATCAAAATAAAAAATATTATCATAACAATGTGATAAATTAACAATGTGATAAAATCCATGTAATGAATAAAAAAAAGGTAATTAAATAATTTGGATATGAAAATAAATAATAAATAATAAATGATAAATAATAAATAATAAATAATAAATAATAAATAATAAATAATAAATAAATAAGTTTTTACAAAATTTTTTTTTGTTTATTTGAAAAATATTTTATTTTATTTTTTTTTATTTTTTTTTTCCAAAAATTCAATAAATAAACAGTTTACTCCCATTATTAAATTTTTAAACTTGCCTAAAAATTTAAATTAAAAAATAAAAAAAATAAAAAATAAAATTAGTTTTGGTGGTTTTAGAGTTTTAGTTTTAATTTTAGTTTATAAACTTTATTTTTTATTTATTTTTTATTTTTATTATTTATTATTTTATTTATTTGATATATATAGAAGTGTTAAAACTATGGTTTGGGCTTAACGTATGATTCTATTATTGATTTATTATATATTTGATATATATAATATTTTGAGTATTTCGATTTTTCAATATATAGCAAACACATTTGCAAAATTATGGTGTTTACTCGAAATAATAAAAAATCTTTAATTTTATTTTTTTTTATTTTTTTTTTATTTTTTTTTTAGATTATTCATTCATAAGAGCCATTATAAAAATACCTCCTCTTTTTTTTTTTTATTAAAATAAAAATAATAATAATAATAATAACTATTTCTTATTTTATAAAATAAAGATATAGAAACTTTTTTTTTAAATCGGTGTGTTATTTTTCTTTTTTTGTTGTAATTAAAATAATATTTTTATAAAATTACTTTTTTTGGATTTTTCATTTTTTATTTATTTTTTATTTAAAATTTTAATTATTTGTTTTTTATTTTTTAATTTAAAATAAAATTTTTTTCAAATTTTTTTATATTATCATTATTTAAAAATTATTATTATTAATTAATATTATTTTAAAAATTTTTTTTTTTTATTTTCAATTATTTTTTATTTTATTTTTTTAATTAACACCTTTTAAAATTTTTTTTTTTTTTCTATCTTTTATAATCTTTACTAATTACTTAAATAAATAATAAATATTAGTAATTAATAATAATAAAAAAAAATAGTTATAATTCAATAATAATAATAATAATTTTTTAAATAGCTAAAAATAATAATTATTATATTTTAAAACAAAATTAAACATTCGTTTTTTTTTTTTTTCTATATACTCTAATAAACCTTTAATAATAATAATAATAATTTATTTAATAATAAATTTTAAAATAATAAAACACAAAAATGGAAAGTAACATTTCAATTTTAAAATCAATGTTCCCAAATAGTTCAGCTGAAACTATTGTTGCTTCATTACAAGCTAGTAATTTCGATTTGGACCAAGCAATCGATAATATGTTAATTCAATCTGCAGCTGAGGAGCAAAGAAAGAAACAAGAGGAATTGGAGAGAAAATTATTGGTTGAACAACAAAAACAACAACAACCAATTCCACCACCACCAATGCCACAAGTTGAATCTGAAGAAGACAAGATTCTCAAAGAATTTTTATTCCTTGAACAACAACAAAAGCAACAACAACCAATCCCAATCCCACCACCAATGCCACCAAAGGCCCAAATCGTTGCCCCACCACCAGCTCATATTCCAATCCCACCACCAATGCCACCAAAATTAGAAATTGTTGAAGAAAAAGAAAAATCTAAAGATGTTGGCCTTTTAAGAAACATTTCAAATACTTTAAGAGAATTAGAAAATGAAGTTAAAAACTTAATCATGGACCCAAGAAAAGAAAATAAAGAAACAATTGTAATCAAAGAGCAAGTTGTTGTAAATCCAAATGAAAATAATAATAATGAAGTTGTTGTTAACAAACATTACAGCGATAATAATAATAACAATAATAATAACAGCAATGATATCAAGAAGGATGAAATCGTTGTTAATCCAAATCCAAATAATAGTAATAATGAAGTTGTTGTAAATAAACACTTTGAAGAAAATAATAATAATAATAATAATAATAACGAAAACAATTCTCAAAAAGATGAATCAAATATTCCAAATGAAGTTAAAGTTGCTATTGAACAATTAAATTCAATTTTCAATTCCTCATTAGAAAAAACCGAAAAGATTTTATCTGAACTTAAAGATGAAATCCAAAGTTGGAAGATCAAAGACAATGTTAAAACTTTCACAGTTTCTGTCAGAACTGAACTCTCAGAAATTTTATCTTCATTGGCTATTTTTATTTCACCATCTCAAGAATATCAAAGTGTAAATACCAATGAACCACAACCAATTCCAACAGACCTTCTTTAAAAATTGTCACTTTCTCTTTCTCTTTTCTTCTCTCTTTTTTGTGTTAACTCTATCAAATATTTTATTTATTAATTTGTAAACTATATATAATTATATATTATCATTATATATTTATTATTTATATATATATCTATATATTATTTATTCATAATAAAATTATACCATTATTTTTTTAAACCTATCCTTTATTCTATCTTTTTTTTTTTTTTTTAAAAAAGAGCTGTGCATTAACTTTTATTTTATTAAAATACTAACTTATAAAATTTCTTTTTTTTTCTTTTTAAAATTTATAGGAAGAAGGTTTAAATAAAAGAGAATTAAAAAGAATCGAGTTAGAAAATAAATTAAAACAACTAAAAGAATATAACAGACAACTTGAAGAAGAAAGAAGAATTGCAATTGAAAGTAAAAATAAAAAAACAGAAAACAATTTAACAAATAATAATAACAATGCTAGTGATAATACCAGTGCCGTTGAGGCCCCACCAACTTATTATTATCATCAACCAACTCCACAATCTCACCCACAATTTTTTATAAATAATAACAATAATAACAATAACCAATAAATAAATTTTAATTAGTTTCTTTTTCTCTTATTTGGTATTTACAAAAAATTAATATTTTTTTAAAATTTAAAAAAATAAAAATCATAGTTTCTTTTTTATATAAATATTTTTAAAATTATAGTATTATTATTAAGATTTCTATTATTTAATTTTTATACTATTATTTAATATTTACTATTGTTATTAATTTTTATCTTATAATTTGATAGATGTTATTATTCTTTTTTAAAATCATACCTTGATTATTTAAAGTACCCAGTATGTCATCTAAATTATCATATGGTAGTTTATGGTCTTGAAGAATTTGTTTAAGTTCTTGTTTTGAAAATTCTAATTTGTTTTGTCTTGATGCCTCTTTTAGGAAAATAGAGAAATAGCTTTTAACTTTTGAACTATTACTCATACCAGAAGCTCTTCTAAAATCTATATTTCCATGTTCATCTTCGAATGTATCCAATAGAGAATCCCTCATAATTTCAACAATATCGATTGCATCTTGTTCGGTAACAATAATACGAAGCTCTAATTTAGCTCTTGCTTCTGCTAAACGAATAAGGGATTCTAATTGACGGGTTGTTACTGGCATTGAGTCCGAGCTTGATGAATTACCTCTTAGTTCTAAATAAAAATCTTGAATAACTTGAATGGCCTCTTCTGATAGTGTTGGATGTACATACTTTTTTGCATAGCTGATGTATTTTCTTAAAAGTGGTTGTGCTATTAGGTTCATCTTTTGACCCGCAGGTATTTCTAATTTCTGTTTTAACGGTAAGCTTTTGTCGACCTCATCTTCATCGCAGTAGGTAGATTCGTCAGTTTCACCCCCACCCCTTTGTGCTTTTCTTTTTTTTGTATCCAAAGTATCGTCACTATGAAGATTCATAATATTGCTCGAGATGATTTGATCTTTTTGTGTATTTGGTTTATCCAATAAAATAAAAACTAAATCGAAACGCGATAAAAGTGGTGCGCTCATTTTTATATTTTCTGATACTGTTTTTGCACGATTGTAATGCCCACCCACAGGATTAGCGGCAGCTATAACCGACGTACGTGCTGGTAAATTACAAACAATACCAGCTTTTGCAATACTAACAGATTGCTGTTCCATTGCTTCTAACAGTGCAGCATGTTCTTCTTGCATTTTATCAAATTCGTCAATACAGCAACAACCTTGGTCCGCTAAAACCAATGCACCTGCCTCAATAGCAAAATCACCAGAGCCCTTTTCTCTTAATAATGTTACAGTTAAACCAGTTGTACTTGAATATCCACCGCAAACATAAACACCACGCGGCGATAGATGGTAGATTGATGTTAACATTTGACTCTTACCCAAACCTGGGTCACCAACGATTAATATATGGGGATCAGATCTTGTTGAAAGTTTATTCCTGTCACTGCCACCACTACGCAGAGGGTTGCCTCCAAATAATGCAAGTGTTAAACCTGCTTTGACTAATTCATGACCATAGATGGATGGACAGATTGAGTGCGCTATTAATTTGAATATATTGGGATGGTGCGCAATTTCTTTAATACCATACATATCTTTTACAGTAAAGGATGTTGTTTCCAATTTGCTACCACCACTTTCGTTATTTGCTCTCTTTGGACTATCAATAGAGTTTACATCAATATAAATTAAAAATACAGGTTTGCCTTGATTGTGAAATCCACTGCCTTCTTCGGCCCTTAAAACTTTTACTACACCACTAATTGTTACAATATCACCAGGTACTACAGTTTCAACCAAATCGTCAGATAATTCGCATTCAAAGGATTTTGGTATACCACTGGATTCTTTTTGATCAACATCCTCTTGAATTCTAATTTTTTGCCAATCGATTGTAATGGCGCTTGATCTATCAGGCTCGAATGATTTACCTTTGCAGCCGTATGTAGGACAACTAGTGGGTAAAATAACTTTGCCTTCAGTAAAATGCTGCATTGGTGTTTTTTGACCACATTTTGAGCATGTAAACTGCATTTGTGTTACCAGTGGTTTTACATTACCAACTCTAATGATTGTACCTTTTAATGAAACAAATTTGTCAATTAAATTTGCCTTTAATTTCTTTAATGGCAATAAAGGTTCAAAATTAAATAACCTTACATTAATCTTTTTCTTTGGTCTTTGACTCTCTGATAAATCCTCGTAAAATACTTGATATAAAACCACACCAATACAATTGATTACCATCTCTGGCTCATCTCTTAATTTAATATCAAACTGATCTTCTGGTTTATAAACTTGATTTTTTAAAAATTGATAACTTAGTTCGATAGAGTTATTTTCATCTGGTGCATAGATTGTCTAAAATTTATTGGAAATATAAAATAATTTTCAATTATTATTAAATTGTTTTTTATCATATATAAATATTATCAATTGCACTTACTTTGTTACAAATTTCTCTAAAATATGGCAATGATGTCTTGATAAAGTTAATTCTTTTTTCTAATATTTCTTCATCACTAATAACTTCATCCTCGGAATCCACAGATTTTGATTTTTTATTTTGAAAATATAGTTTATATCCAATTAACTGTTCTGCAATGGATGATTCGTCATTTTCGTTATTTCTATTATTCCTATTATGATTACCATTGTTATTTATATCATCTCTATTATTATTATTGTTCCGATTAAAAAACCCTTTTTTATAATTATTATTATTTGTAATTTGTTTATTCATTTAAAGTTTAAAAAAATTCAAATAAAAAATTAAAAAAATAAAAAAAAATTTTTTATTTTTTTTTATTTTTTTAATTTTTATTTGTTTTTATTTTTCCAATAATTTCTGAAATAAAGAGAAAATTGATTAACAAATTAATTTGATATCAAATTTAAATTTTATTTTTAAATATGTAAATCGAAAATATAACTTCAAATTAAATAAACCACAAAAAAAAAAAAAAAAAAAAAAAAATTAAATTAAAACATAAATAGTAATTATATATACATTTAAAATTATTTTATATAAAAGAAACTATTAGATTAAAATTTCCCAAATAAACAAATATTAATAATAAAAAAATAAAAAATATAAATTTAGATTGAATGATGATGTAATACCACAACAAATAAAAAAAATATCTAAAATTTTTATTTTTAAAAAAAAAAAAAAGAAAAAAAAAAAAAATTTTAAAAACAACTTGAAAAAATATTTTTTTTTTTCCTACATTAAATATTATAGCTCCATACTAAATAAAAATAATAAAAACTACGCACAATAATAATATTTTATATGTAAATAATATTGCTATATATTGACCACCATAAAATTTATTACTGGTAAAAAAAATGTCATATCAACCATTAAAACAACCACTTTTAAGTGAAGATTCCAATTATGAGTATGAAGAAACACTTTTAAAAGAAAGAAACGAACAGGCCAAACAACTCGCACAAGATGTGTACCATTTAAAGGGCGCAATGGATGATTTAAAGTATGTTATTATAATTTTAGAAAAAAAAAAAAAAAGATATTAATTTTTTATTTTAGACTTTTGGTAGACGAACAAGGTGAACAATTACAAGTTGCCAATGGTTATGTTGAACAAGCCGATATGGATGTTGAAGTCGGTATTGAAGAACTCGAACAAGCATATGTATATAAAACCAGATCAAGAAAGAAGATGATTATTATAGGAATTGTAGTAGCTATTATTATAACTATTGTCGTGGTTTCCGCCTTAAAAATATTCAAATTCAAATAATCAATCACCAATTTTATTCAATGTATCTCGTGTTTTTAAATCGATTAAAAATTTCTCTCTCATTTCCTTTTTATTAATAGTGCAGTGTAATACCCAAATTTATTAATTTAAAATTGTATATAAATATAACCACCATTTCAAAACTCAATAAATATCAAAGTTATCTATATTTATAACTTTTCAAAATAAAAATAACCCTCCTTTCTTTTTTTCTATTTTTTTTTTTTAATTTTTTTTATTTTTTATTTTTAATTTTTAATTTTTTTTTCTTTCGTTTTTTTTTTTTTTATAAAAAATGGGATTAATTTTTTCATTTTTTTTTTCATATTTTTTACTTTATATATATTCAATACATAAACCATTATTTATTCTTTTGGTGGTAGAAAAGGATGAATAGAAAAAAGCAAAAAAAATTAAATTCTCTCAATTACCAAAGAACAAAGAATAGTGATAGTAATAAAGATGAGGCTATATTAAATATCGAGTTTATTGAGAATTTATCATTATTCAAATTCAAACAATTATTAAATTCAGCCAGTAGTAAAGATGTAGAAAGAGCATTATATTCAATTATTAAAACTATCAGAGATGAAAAAGAAAAGTCTTTAGATGAAGACGATCAAGACGATGATGAAGAAATTAAATTAAACTATAAAAATAAAAATTTATCGGTTGTATTCGAATATTTAAAGCAATCACCACAATTGACCGAATTATTCACCATTTGGGACACTTGCATAGACAAGTATCAAGTATATCAGACATGTTATGCATTGTTATTAGAGTTTCTTGCTATTATTATTACACTTAACGACGACCCAGCATTGCAATTCCAAACTAGAATTTTAGCAGACAGAATCATCACAAACAGATTTCTAGATTTACAAAAGATCATCAATAGTTATTCTGATGAAACTGTAAACTTAACCTTAAATTGCTATAGACTATTATCATCAATTGTGCCATTATCAATTAAAATTGCAAAAAGTTTACAAACCAATATTGATTTTAGTTCAAATGTAAGATATACTTTTAAATTATTTATTTTTTAAAAATAAAATATTAAACTAATACTTTTTTTAAAATTTAGGCTTTTCAAGAAGCAATGACAGATATACCAAGTAATGGTGCTTACTTAGGAACAAGACCATATGTTTTAAGATTTTTATTATCATTTTTAAAACATCACAACTTAAAATTAAGTGAATTCATTTTAGAGTCTGAATATTTATTATCAAAATATTGTCATAAAATTCAATTAGATCATCATAACGTAATTATAAATATTATTACAATAATCTTGTTTTTTTAAAATATCTTACTAATAAAATAAATTAATTATATAGGTTATATTGGATTTAATCGAATCATTAGAAACTAATATATTAAAAGTTGATATTATACCAAAGAAATTAAAAATTAAATTCTTTTCACCATCATTCCTTTCAAAGATTGGTTTAGTATTTTCAAAAGATGATATTGGAGAAGAAAGTCGTCAATCAATTTATAAATTTTTAACAACATTATGTTGCTCACCAATACATGGTATTTGTTCATCAGATCCAAAGTAAGAATTTTTAAAATTTATAAAATATTACAATTAATATATATACTAATCTTTTTTTTTATTCAATCATTTTTAAAGATGGACATGGTTTAGAGAGAACGATTTACCAAGTTTTGAAAATAAATCAATTGTTTCATTGATTACAGAGTTAAACCCAATTGCATATCAAACACATCAGTCATTATTTATTAAGATTATCAATGCATGTCCAGATTTATTTACATCATATTTAAAGAAATTAGGTTCATGTGAAGTATCATTATCGTTAAATTGGTTAAATAGAACAACAATGTTAATCAAAACACTTTCATCACCAGTACCAACAGCACCAGTTTTAAAAATCACCAATAAATTATCAGAATCAATTCCATCATCACCAATGGTATTAATTAATTTATTAGTACCCCCACAAGTTAGCAATTTATCATTTGGTTTTGAAGTTTCAAACTTGGTCACATATAACCAATTATTAGTATTGCAATTATGTTTAAAAAGAGTTAATACAGTTTTAAGTTCGCTAAACCACTTTTTAATAGAAAAACAACAACAACAAGAAGATAGTCAAAAGAAAGAAAAAGAGATAGAGGTATTAATTGGCTTTATTGAAAATTTAAAGAATGGTATTAAGGAACGTTTACCCTCATTTAGATACTTTAAGGAACATTGTAATGAATTTAAATCATCAAGTACTACTTATGATCAATATATTTCAATCATTTCAGAATATGTTAAATTTTTACCAATAAATGAATTTTTAACTTTAAAGATGTTGGATTTCAATTTAATAGTTAAATCAGATCTTTACACACAAAAGCAATTTATTCAGTTAATTGGTTGCTCAAAAAGTTTCAACACTATTCAAAATTTATTTAATAAACAAGATTCAGCAAACTGTGGTACCCAATCTATTATTAATATGGTTTTAAAATTATACATGGATTCAAAACCAGAGATTAAAGAACTCTACCATCAATTAATTTTCAAATTAATTTCAATTAATAATATATTTTCAAGTGTTGATGGTGAAATTGACTATTGGTTAGAGTTTATATCTTTGGATAATATCGAATTCTTTGAAGCAACTCTCTTGAATGCCCATCAAAATAAATTCAACTATGTCAATTTAATTCAAAATTTAACAAAAAAATTATTTGGTAGTAATTCAAATCAACTCTATATTAGTCCAGTTTTGGTATCAGCAATATTCCAATTATTTACTGGTCTTCACGAATCACAATTTAGATTCTTATCCCAAGTATTAACCAACGTTTCATCACTATCAAAGAATAATAGTTTGTTAATTTTATCTATTTTAAATTTCATCAACCAACAAAAAACTAAAGATAAGGTCGAAGAATTAAATGAATCAAATATTTATAAAGAATTAGAATCGAATGATCCATTCAAATTTAATTTACCAGCTATTTTCAACTCTGCAATTAAATTTATTTACTATCAATCATTTAATAAGTCGATTGAAGGTAGCAATGATAAAATGGAAGATTTAGCTCAATTAGTTTTAGATTGCCAAAGTCCAAAAGAAATTAAATATATTATATCAAATAATGTTAATCAAACATTTTTAACACTCATTTCATCAAAAGATAATGAAGGTTCAAGATTCATTCAAGCAATTAAATTTATACCAGTACATTTATTATTATCTCAGTTTAATTTAATCGACAGCGAGAATAAAAAACAAACCATTGTATCAAATCAAATAATTAAATCGCAATTAATCAACTCTATCTCAAATTTATCAATCAGAAAATTAATTAATATTTTACCAATTTTAGAAAATTTAATTAACAATCAATTTAAAATTAATACTGATGGTAATCAAGTTGATCAAGTATTTGGTTTTTATTTTGATATTGCAGAAATAGTTTTCAAATTAGTTTTAGAGTCAAAATCACTAAATGGAATCCGTTCAATTGAACAATTTTTATCAAATAGTTTAATTTCTTCAAACTACTTGATTAATTTCAAATTAACTTTTAGTATGTATTTAATTTATTATATGATATTTCCCCAAAGATTTTTTTTTCATATATTAACCTTTTTTTTTTTAGATGTTTCAAAATTAATTTTAGTAATTTTTAACTTTAACAAAAATAATAACAACAATTTATTAAATAATATATTATCACCATTTATAACCAACATATTTAATCAAATTAATAAGAAATCAATTAAAGAATCTTCAAAAGCCAAAAACTTAAGCAATCAATTTATTTTATCCATTAGAGTATTGGAATTAGTATTACCATATTTAGATTTTAAGTCTTGTGTTCAATTATTAGAAGAATTTAAGGATCTAGATATCAAATCTTTAACAAATGAATCAATTTTACAAATTTATTTAGAAATTATAAACTCCTTATTAAGAATAACAAGTAATAATAACAACACCAATATTTTACCAAAATATTTAACAGTTTTCAATTTTGGTGACACCTCCAATAATAACATTATTAATAGTAGTAATAATGGCGAATTATTAAAATCAATCTTTATACAATTGATCGAAATATCATTATCTTTCGACAATAATAATTCAAACAATAACAATTTAATATATAAAATTACAATTGATCAATTTATTTATCAGTTTTTATTAAATGATATAAATCAAATTAATTTATCAGTTAATTATTTGAATTCATTATTATATTCAAGAAAAGAACTAATTTCAAAATATTTAAATTACTGCCTCGAAAACTATTCCCCAGTAACATCACAAAATATAATAATAATATTATTAGTTAATAGCTTAAGAAATAGCGCCAAAGAAGAAGGTCAATCAATTGAACTAAACCTAAATTTATTAGATTTTAATAGACTATTAAAGTTTGATGTCACTATTTGGTTACCATTAATGTATTGGTTGGTCATTAAAGAATCTAAAGATGAAATTTTGGGAAATGAAACATTATTAAATCAAATTTACGAATCAATTTCACAATCAAATATTTTCGAAAGAGATATAAATTCAAGCTTAATTTCCATTACTTTAGAACTATTTAAATTTATTTCAAATAAATTACAAGCAACTACATCAAAATTAAATTATTTATTATTATTTACCCACCAAGAAAATGAAGTAGCAGCACATGAATTCGACAACTCTGTATTAAAATCAATGGTATCAAATTATTCAAATAGCTTGTTAATTTGTATTAAAAACAATTTCAAGGATTTATTAAATTTAAATATTGCAAACCTTGGTGCCTTTAAAGCAAATTCAATTAATTTTGAAAATATTATAAAATTAATATTTTCAAACATCAATTCTGAAGAAACTTTATCTCAAAATTTAGAAATTATAGAAAAGATAATAGAAATGGAGTCATCATTCAAATATCAACTATACATTGATTTGATTTTTAAATCTATTATAAATAGCGATTTTATTTTAAATATTATTAAATCCGAGCAAACTCAAGAATCATCCCACCAAGATAAAGCATTTACAGAAGAAGAGGAAGAAGAGGAGTCATCAATTATTAAATTTAAATCAACTACCAACAACAATAATAATTATGAAAATTTATTAAAATATAGATTATTAAATATTTTATTAAATATTTATTATAAAGAACCATCTTATTGTAATTCAAATTTAAATTCAAAATTAACTTCAATTTATTTCAATATTTATAATGCAACTGTCCACCCAATAGATAAATTATTATTAAAGATAATCTACCAACATGAAACTAATGGCTATTCAATCCTTTCAGAATCAAATTATCTTTGGGGAAAACATTCAAAAGAAAGCTCAAGCATTACCCAATTATTATTATCGAATACAATTTTTAGTGGTACTATTTTCGAAAACTCAATTAACAACTATCCATTCGAAATGAATACATTAAATGAAAATAAAGATAAAACCAATGAAACAGATGATCTTATGGAAATAGATAGTGATAGTGATGAAGATAAAAAGCAAGTAGAAAAAGAAAAAGAGAAGGAAGAGGTTAACGATTTTAGTATCAATAAAGAAATGATCGCTAAATCATATCAAGAATACTCTTACGATCCAAGCTTTATACTTAGATTACTTACTTCATTATTAGACAGCTATATTTCAGAATATTCAAATTTTGATAGCCAACAAGAAGATTTTAGAAAAGAAAATATTGAAAATCTTTGGAGAGTATTACAATGTTTCTTTTATAATGGTCCATTCTCATTCACTGTTAGATCATTAAGCTCAAAAGATGTTGCTATTAGACAAATTTCTTACCAAATTCTTTCAAAATATCAAACACTTTTAGACACCTATCAAGAAGAACAAGCCAAAACTTTAGAGCAAGCTATCCAATTTAGTAAATCAAAGAAATCAAAATCAAAGAATAATAGCAAAAATAGCAATAACAATAAATCAAACTTTAATAACGAAAAAATTATTATTAAATTAATTCAAGTATTAAAATCAAGTGTTTTCGAAAAAGATCAATATATTCCACCAATTTTTACATTATTCTATTGTTTATCAATTAAAGTAGTTTCACTCAGATCAGATCTTAAAAGAAAATCAATTATCTCTTATTTCAAAGGTATTAGTTTACTTGATTTAGTACATATTCCAATGTTTTCATTAGTATTAAACTTCACATTGAACAAAGCCACCATTATCTGGATTTTAGAAATGATATCGATTGCCTTACCAGACCAATACACAGAAACACTATTAAAAAAGAATAATTCAATTTCCTCATTGCTTGGTTTATTCGATTCAAATGTTTCAAATAGTAAAATCAAATCTTTAATCTTAGAAATCATTTTAAAACTTTCAAACTCTTCCTCTGGTGGTCTCTATTTAATTACTAAGCAAGGTGTACTTCCATGGTTGTCTCTATTAATTTCAAACTCAAGTTGTCCAAAATCATTATTTGATCAAATATTTTTAATATTTGTTAATATTACAAAAAATATAAATAATATTGGTGCAAACTATTATAACTTTAACGAACTATCACAAATTTCAATAATTTTAAATAATTTATTAAAATTAATATGTATGTATATAAAAAATATATTTTAATTTAATGATAAAAATTATAATTAAAAATACTAATTGTTTTTTATTTAGTAAATATAAATTGGGATTTAGAATTTAAATACATAATTAACAATTTATTTAAATCATTAAATTTAATATTAAATTCAAATTCAAGCTCAATCAGACTTTCAACATTTGATATGGTTTCACTAATCAAGAGCTATAACTCTGCCATCGATAAAGAGTTCTTTGAATCTGAAAATGAAAGATTAGAATTACAAGAATCAATTGTTTCCATTATATCATATTCTAAACTCTCCCAAAACTCTCAAGCTGATAATTTATTCATTTTTAGTTGGATATTTAATTTATTAAACCAAACCAATATTAATGGCAGTAATAATAAATTGTTAAATTCAATATTAAAATGGATACAAGAATCATTATTAGGATCAAGAAAACAATTTATCGAACAATTAAATAATAATAATGAATCATCATCAAAATTATTAAACCAACTATTCTTTATTAATAACCAAATTGATATTTTATTACAACAACAACAACAGCAACAAGAATTTTTAGAAATTAAGAAATTAATTTGTAATATTTTAATTTTATTATTATCAGAATCAACTACTGTTAAATCAATACTTTCAAAGAACTATAACCAAGAAAAACTACTTAAATTAATCGATAAAATTCCGACCCCAGCCAATCAAAAGTCCGACGATATGTTAATGTATAAAGAAAATATTAATGATGTTTTACTTTATATTAAAAACCTATTCTTTAACTAAAATAAAATAAAATAAAATAAAATTATTTTATAAAATAAAAAACTTGTGTGTATATTTTTTTTTTTATATTATTTACAAAGGTTTAATTTTTATTGAAATACCATGTGTTTATATTATTATCATTATATTATTATTTATTATCCCCAAGCTGGTAAATCTGAATAATTTATAATTAATTGGTCATTATGACAAAAACATTTATATAATTCACCTAAAATTTCATCGGGGCTAGGTTGAAATACTTGATTTATAAATAAAAACTAATAATAGAAAAAGGGTTAATAAAATTAAACTATAATTGATTTTTAAAGTACATTAATGGATGTTTATATTTACTAATGATTCGTTCGATTTTAATTTTAATTGTGATCTTAATTTATCGATAACATTTTGAAATGAAAGGTTTGCTTGTAATTTAAATTTCTTTTGTTTTAATGCCTGTGCTCCACCTGCATTCTTAAAATATACAACAACTAAATGAATAATTTAATAAAAGTAAATTAGTAAAGTAATTTATTTTATAAAGTTTAAAATATATTTATATTTATGTATATTGATTTAAATATTACTTTTACTATCTGGTGTAATTTTTACTGGCTGTTGTGGTTGCTCTGTAGATGGCTGTGGTGATGTTATTGTACTATCTGTATTGGTTTCTTTATTTATTTCTTTATTTTCGTCCATTATTATTATGTTTTATTATTTTTTTTTTTTTAAATTATAAAATACAAAAAAAATAAGAAATTAAAAAAAAAATTAAAAAAAAAAAAAAAAATTAAAAAAAACTTTATTTTTTTTAATTTTTATATTCATTTTTGAATTTTTATCCTATTTATAGTTATTTAAATAGAAACAAAAAATGTAAAATGTAATAAACTGGAATATTAGTTTTAAAAAATTAACAAATGTATGTTCAGTAATGCTGTAAATCTTCAGAGATAGTGATCACCCAAAAAATAATTGCTTCAGTTCTATGAATAAATTAAAACAATGTGCCTTAAAAAATTCCAAACCATTCCCGGAGAGAGAGCAAACCAACACATAACTAAAAAACAAAATAAAAATAATAAAAAAATTAAATAAAATAATAGAATATTTTATAAAATTTTATAAAATTTTATAAAATTTTATAAAATATAAAAATATAAAAATATAAAAGTTTTATTTATTTGTCTATGTAAAATTAATAGATCTATTTATTTTATATTATTCTACTGTACTGTTTAAATTTGTCCTCTTGATTGGTAAAGAAATAACAATTATATTTCTTTATTTAGTATTTATTATTTTTTTTTTTTTCAAAATTTTTTTTAATTTTTATTTTTAATTTTTTTTTTTTATTTTTTATTTTATAATTTTAATTATTGCAGAATGTCAATCAAATTACTATCAACATCAAAATGTTTTGGAGGGGAAATTAGAAGATACTCCCATCAATCAGATACATTATCATGTGAAATGAAATTCCATGTTTATGTACCACCAAAATCTGATAAAAAACCATCCATTCTTTATTTTTTGGGTGGTTTAACATGCACAGATGAAAACTTTATTCAAAAAGGTGGTGCTCCTCAATATGCCGCCAATTGCAATATCTTTTTAGTTTGTCCAGATAGCTCACCACGTGGTGTACCAGCTGGTGAAGAAGATTGTTGGAGTGGTCCTGGTGCTGGTGCTGGTAATATACATTTTATTCATAAATATAAATTACTATTTAAATCGAAACTAACACATTATTTATATTTTAGGTTATTATCTTAATGCCTCAAATGAAAAATACAAGAAACACTATAACATGTATGACTATATCACCAAAGAATTATACACTCTTATTAGTACCGAATTTAAAGATTTAACAAACACTGAAAAACAATCAATCTTTGGTCACAGGTAAATACAATATTTAAAATACAATATTGCTGTTATTTAAAATATAAACCAATACTAAAATTCATATAACTTAATCAAATTATAGCATGGGTGGTATGGGTGCTTTAAATATTTTCTTCAAAAATTCAAATCTTTATAAATCAATTAGTGCATTTTCACCAATTTCAAATCCAATTAATTGTGAATGGGCTAGTAAAGCATTAAAATCTTATTTAGGTGATGATCAATCAAAATTGGAAGAATATGATCCAACATTTGTATTAAAATCCTACAGTGGTCCAAAAGTTGACCTTCTTGTTGATATTGGTACTGCAGATGAATTCTTCAATGATCTTAAAGTCGATAAATTAAAAGAAGTAAACAATCAAAACATTAATCTTACATTAAGACATCAAGACGGTTACAACCATGGCTATTTTTATGTATCCACCTTTATGAAAGATCATATCGAATTCCATTCAAAATATTTAAATTAAAAAATTTAATTAAAAAAAAAAAATAGTAATAAAAATAAAAATAAAAATAAAATAAAATAAAATAAAATAAAATACACTTCTTAACTTTTTTTTTTTTTTGTATTATTTTTTTTTGTTTTTTTTTTATTTAAGAATTTATTATTAATAATTTAAAACTATTAATATTGAATTTAATATTACTTTTATAGGGAGATGGGTGAGGAGGTTGATTGGTTGGTAGTATTATAAATCGAATATATAAAAGAATTGAGAAATAAAAGAAATAAGAGTTGAAGAAAAAGATGGTATATTGATGATTATTTTGTATATAAATTATAACTAATATTATTTTTTTCTTTTTTTTTTTTTTCTTTTATATTTTCCATTCCTTTTTTTTTTTTTTTTTTTTTTTACAGATACATAAATTTAAATAATGGTAAGTGAATGTGTTTTTGGTATTTTTATAGATTTTTGGTTTTTCTTTTTTTTTTATGATTTTCTTTTTCTTTTTTTTTTGATTTTTTTTTGGTTAATGAGTCACAATTATTTTTTTAATTGATTTATCATTTTGTTGATTTGTTTTATATTTATGTTGTTGATATTTATTTTTAATTAATATAGCCAGATAATTGAGCTTTATAAATTAAAGATAAAAATCTTGAACCGAGACATGGGGTACTGATACCAAGAGCTTGAGCTTCACCAGTAATTAATTCTTTAACGCTAAGATATTTACTATTGTTAACTTGGAATTTACCGCCTGGTCTGTGAATTCTTTGATGTGAAATACTGCCATTCTTTGAAACTTTTGAAATTGTATAAGCACCATATTCAGAGGTAGAGAATCTAACTAAAAATGTTCCTTCTGGTTTTTGTCTTAATCTATTTTCACTTTCTGATGTTGAAATGTCACCATGGAACCAACTATAAAAAAAAAACTAAAGTTAATAAAAATGATTATAAAAACAAAGTGATCATGTATAAAATTCTACATACGCGCATTCCATTAATTGTCTAATTTTATCTAAGATTTGGGCACCATCTTCCTTTAAGTTGCCGAACCAAGCTAAAACTTTACCGAATTGTTCCATTAAAACAACTTCTTCTTCATGTGGACCTTTTGGTGAACTGACAATAATTGATTTTAAGCATTTAAAGTTTAACTCAATGGTAGAACCATTAAGATTTGGTGAGAATTGGAGAAGATCTGACATTGATGGTGTATTTGAGTTTGTTAAACCAACGAAATTTGAAAAGACATTGATAAAGTCTTTCCAGCTAACTTCATTTTCGATTTTAAAATGATTCTTCCAAAGGATTGAACCATATTCATCTGGAATACAACAATCAATAATAACTTCCTCTAATGCTGAAACAATACCATCAAAACCTGGTCTAACTTCTGGATTTGGATCCCAACATTTTTGAATTAAATCCCTTAAAATCTTTGGGCAATGATCTGGGATGGCTGGTCTTAATTGTTGGTCACAAACAGCTTGAACAAATTTGAAGAAATTATCAAACTCTGGGAATAACTCTTGTCTAGTATAAATTTGCCATAAAACAAGACCAAAACTATATACATCTGCTTTCTCATTAAATAATTTACCTTGTAAAACTTCTGGTGCCATCCATAATGGGGTCTAAATAGAAAAAGAATGAAAAAAAATTAATTTTGTGTTTTAAAAAAAAAAGATTGATATTTTAATACGTACACCTTTAGCACCATCTGTACCATCTTTAAGATTTTCACCTTTTTGTTTAATTTGAGATAAACCAAAATCACAAACTTTAACAGTAAGGTTAGCATCAACTAAAAGATTGCTTGTCTAAAATAAATAAATATAATTAATAAAACCATTACTATAATAAATATATAATTAATATAATTACCTTTAAATCTCTGTGGATAAAAACTGGATTTGATGAATGTAACCATAAAACACCAAGAGCAGCATCTTTAGCCATTCTCATACGAGTAATTAATGGAAGCTTAACTAATGGATCCAATAATAATGATTCAAGATTACCTTTCATTAACTCTGTGCAAATCATAAGTTTACCTGGGGTTGAAGTGCAAGCACCAAGGAAAAGTACAATATTTGGATGGAAAATTTTACTCATAATAGCAACTTCCTTTCTAAAATCTGATAAAGTTTTTTGATCTACTTGTTTTAACATAACCTTGACTATAATAAATTAATTATGAATTGAAAATAAGTTAGTCCAAGCTGTTCTTTATTATCCTAAAAAACTCCACATAATCCACATCATCTAAATAAAATTATAAATTACTATTCTATAAACATACCAGCTACATCCTTTAATCTATAATAATAAATAAAATAATTAGTATAATTTTATAAATGAAAATTGATAATATTTATTGATAAAATATAATAATAAATTGATATTTGATAATTGATAATTGATAATTGATAATTGATTATTGATTATTGATTATTGATTATTGATGATACTAACCTACAACGGCCTTTATATACAGTACCAAAACTACCATCACCAAGAATAGATTCGGTTGTAATTTCATTTTCTGAAATTTCTGGTGGACCTAATACATCAGCGTTCTAAAATGAATATAATAAATATAAAATATATAATAATTTGAAAATAAAATAAATAATAATAATTATTATAATTAATAAATTGATAAAAAACTAAATTTTAAAAAAAAAACTTTATGTTTAAGAAATTATTTATAAATAATTATTGTTTAAACTATAAAATATATTTTTTTTTATGTGTTTTTTATTTAAAAATTTTTACCTGAAGGATTTCTTTTCTTTTTATTTGTTGTTGTGTTTGTTGTTGACTCATTTTGCTATATAATCTATATATATAAAAGAAAATATATATAAAATATATAAAATATAAAAAAAAATTTCACAATAAGATAAGTTGTTATATAAAAAAAAATAAAAAATAATTTGAAAAAAAATAAAATAAAAAATTTATAAAAAAATCAAAAAAAAAAAAAAAAAAAAATTTTAAAAAAAAATTAAAATTTTTTTTTTTTAAATTAAAATATTTATAAGTTTTAAGGTTTTTTTAATTTTTTTAATAATTTTAATATAATTATTTTTGTTGTATACCTATTATTATTTTATTATTATTATTTTATTATTATTTTCATTTGTTTTTTCATTTGTTTTTATCTTTATTTATTAAGTTTAAAATAATAAGTTTGTATGTTATTATTTTTATCTTATTGTTTGTGTGTGATGTGGTGTGTGGTGTTTAAATGATTAGGAAAAAAGGAATATATAAATAATATTCTTCAAAGAAGTTAAAATTCAGATAAAAAAAAAAAAATGAAAAATTTTCTTTTTTTTTTTTTTTTTTTGTTCAGATACCAAATAAAAACTTTCCAAAAAAAAAAAAAAAAAAAAAAAAAAAAAAAAAAAAATATACAAACAAATAATAAGATATATATAATTCAAAAAGTAAATAAATTTAAAAAAGTAAACCAATTTATTTTTAGGTTTTAAAACACATAATCTTTCCCCCCCCAAAAAAAAAAAAAAATAAAAAAAAAAATAAAAAAAAAAAACGAAATAATTATTGTTTTTTTTTAATTTTTTTCAAAATTTTTTTTTCAAAAATTTTTATTTTCTTTAAATTATTTTAATTTTCTCTTTTTTATTTTTTACAAGTTTATTGTTATTTAAATATAATTAAAAAAAAAGTAATATTAATTTAGGAAAGATCTCAAATCGAATCATTATCGTGTTTTTTTTTTTTTTTCATCAGTTATTATTATTTCATTCTTCTAAACTAAATAACTAATAATAAACAATTATAATAATTTAATAATATTATACAGGAATAAATATGGATGAAGAAACTGCTTATGAAGGTGAAGTTAGCGTCAGTTGGGGCGAACTTTTAAAAAGTATGATCAGAGATCCAGAAACTAGAGACAGTCTTTTAGAAAATTTAAAGAATATTTCACTTTTTGTTGCATCATCAATGATTGTTGCTAAATATGCCGAACAAATCTCAGAACCAAAGTTACTTATGAAACTTTTCTTCTCAGAATAAATCAATCTATAAATAATAATATATAACACAGTACATACCCTACAGGGTTTAGTACAACTTTTTTTTCCCCCTTTTTCAACTCTCAAATATATTAATCCTCTAAAAATTCAACATAATAAATCACAAACAGGTATACAAACTTTATTCAAATTCACATACAAGACAAACACAATATTATCCAAATCATTGACGATATCAAACCCCTCCAACTCACTTTTTATAAATAAAATTAGTAAATGTTAAAAATCTTTTAAAAAGAGATTATTTAAAAAAAAAAAAAAGATTATTATTTATTTTTTTGTGGATTTTAAAATAGTTTATTATGTTTCTAATATAAAAAGAAACTATTTTTATGACCAAACTAATTAATTTATTTAAAAATTTTATTGTTTTATTAATCTCTATAATATATAAAAATTAAATTAATTATTAATAAAGTAAGGTTCTTAAACAAAGAGATTAGAGGAAAGACTACATAGTCGGCAATAGGTGGTAGAATTGAGGCTAGACCTTCGGGTGATGTGGATTTGCAACTAACTTCTTTTGGTAATAATAATGAAATGATAACATAATATATGAATCTAATTATTGAGATGGTTGTATTGACTTTTTTAATAAATTTTCTATTATTGGCTGTACATAATAATGCAGCGGAGCTGGCATTATTTAAAATAGATTGTGGTTGTGATTGCATTTGTTGTTGCTGTTGTAGTATATTGTTTTGGTTGTTAAGTTGCAATTGATTAGAGACCAAAATTGGGATTAAAGATAATAAAAGCAATGGGTATAGCAGGGTAGCGCTTGGATATGAGTTGGGATGGGTGGAACATTGATCAAAACATAGCCAAATTTGGAAAAATGCCAGAAGCATATAGAATGCTTGATGAACCGAAGATGAACCAACATTTCTTTGAATAACATTGGCAGCTCTTCTAAATCTGCCACTACGAGGTGCATCAAGAGGTAAAAGTTTTCTTGATGTAGCTATATTATTACTTGTGGAAATACTTCTTTTGGTTCTATGTTGAAGACCATAAGTTGGTGAGGTTCTATTCTTTTTTTCGATATTGCTTTTGTTTTTATTGGTGGTTTTGAATGAATGATCATCATTATCATCCTCTGAAGATGATGATTCGGAAGATGATGAAATTAAACTATCAGAGTTGGCAGAGCCATCATCATCGTCTATTACATTGTTTACAATAGCAGTGGTTGCTACTATATCTCCACCAATGTCGTCATCCTCTTCTTTAACCAATGTTCTTCTGATTGGTGATATACGTGTGTGGTCAGAGTCACTTGATTTCTTTGTACGAATTTTAGAATGATGGGTGTGTTTTGATTTCCTTGTGCCAGTGGAAACTATATGAATTGGGTGCAATGTAAAATATTTGGTTTTGGTTTGCATGAATTGAGTAGAGAGAATTTGTGAAATAGTTGGACGGTCATGGGGAGCTGCACGTAATAATATAGTAATCATATCTTTAAGATCTCTTGAACGTGGAGGTGATTGTGGAAAAACTAATCTTGTATTATTAAATTGTGCAATTTCTTCGACCAAATCGGGTATAGATCTATTTGGATCTTCATCAGCAAATGGATTACCTGAATATTTGTATGGAAGTGTTCCATATGCCATTTGATACAACAAAATACCTAGCGACCATACATCACACTTTTCATCATAGTCTACGGAGAATTCACCTCGTTCATTCTTTTGTAATAGTTCTGGAGCAATATATTCTGTAGTACCTGTGTTACCTGTTCTTTTCATTAAATTATCTTTGAATGCTTTGGGTGATATTGTATCGCATGTACCGAAATCACTAATCATTAAATGGGTAACTTGTTTATCTGATATTGAGTCGTAGCTTTGATGAATTAAAATATTTGGTGGTTTTAAATCTCTATGTATAATTCCAGAGTGATGTAAATATCCAATACCATGGCATAAATCAATGAAAACTTATTTAAAAAATTATTTATTAGTAAATTGTTATTGTGGGGTTTTATACTTTTTTTTTTTTTTAAGAAAAATACTTACAACTCCAAATTTCATTCTCTGGCATGGTTTCCCTTTTTTCATTCATATAGTCATGTAAATTTCCATAATTTGCATATTCCATTAAAATATAAAGACATGGTACTTTTGGTCCAAAATCTGCAGGTTGGTCATACTCGAGCCAAGAGTGTTTGTAGTTGATAATATTTCTATGCTTTGTAAGGGTTTCTAATGCTTTTACTTCTTTTAATACTCTAAATAACCATGGTATATTGTCGCCTACTGGTACTTTTTTTACAGCAAATTCTCCCAAATCAACGCCATTAATTAAATGTCTACATAAATAAACCGAACCAAACCCACCCGAACCAATTTTAACATCTTCTTTAAAGAATTTTTTATAATATCCAATGTTTAAAAATTCACTTCCTAATCCTCCAACTGGGGGTGATGTTTGATGTTGATCAGCATTGCCATTGTTGTTATTTTCATTATTTGCAGCTGAACCTAATAATAAGAAATAGTCTCTAGATATATATGGTTGGGTTGTAATTGGTGAACGATAATAGGGTGACGAGTTGAATGGTGCAAGATCTAAACTACCATTACTATTCATTTTGGATAAACCTGGAGGAGATCCTGGTGTAAAGCTTCTTTTGCATAGTGGGCAGCAACCAGGGGCACCGGTATTTGTGGTTGTAGTTGCTGGAGGTAATACTTGATGTTGTGGAGATAGTGATTGTAAAGTGCCACTTGTATTATGATTATGATTTAATTGCGTTGGTGTATTACCACTATTGTTTAATCTTGATATAGGGAGCAATGGTTGGTTTCTTAAGGTTGGTGATGGGATTATTGGAGAATATACATTATTGGCATCTTCGATCTGCTGCTGTTGCAATAACTGTCTTGATTTTAATCTAAGAGATTCGTTATTATCCTCTCTAACTATTAATGACTGATTATTAGGATCGTATAATACTAATCTCTGCAAATCTTCATTGTGCATAACAACTTGTAATTTGTCATCTGGGTCATTCATTTTGATATATTATATATACAAAAAAAAAAATATAAAAATTAAAAAATAATATTTGAGAAAAAAAATTAAAAAAAATTAAAAAATAAAAAACAATATATATTGTTGTATTGTTGATTTTTTTTTTTTTCTAAATAATTGCTATATTATTTCATTTAATTGATTTTATAAAAAATAATATTGGTTATATGAAAAAGAGTGAATATGGAATTAAAATATTTAAAATTTCATTCAACAAAAATAAAATAATTAAAAATAATTAAAAAAAAATTAAAAAAAAAAAATTATTTTTTTAAAATTTTTTTATTTATTTTTTTAAATTTTTTATAAAAAAAGTTTTTTTTTTTTGCTTTTTATCATTATTGTTTTTTTTTTATAATATAAATCAAAAAAAGAGTAATATTAAACTAAAATTAGTATCAGATACAGAATAGTTCGGACTAATCCATTTTAGTTTAAAAAAATCTTTTTTTTTTTTTTTTTTCTTTTTTTTTTTTTTTCTATTTATTTTTGTGTATAAATAAAATTAAAAATATTACCTATATATTTTTTTTTTTTATTTACTTGTAATTTTATTGTATTATAATATCGAAATAGCTCCCCCATATTTAAAACAGAATCCACACAACTTTGCTTTATTATCAAACAAATATATTGAGTAATAAAAGTAATTAATTACAATATAAACAACACTCTTTCCTTCACCCCCGTTAATTACACATACATCATCAACATTTAATATTATTATACCTATAACAACAATCATCATTGATAAACAAAATAAATATAAATAAACACAAATAAATAAATATAATTATATTTATACCAACACAAACAAATTAATCATCAAAAATAATCAACACATCCCACACAAAAAAAAGATATTTTAAAATAAAAAAAAATCAAATTTTTTTAAAATTGTTATTATTATTGTATCATAAAAATAAAAATAATTTATAATAATTAATATATTTTAAAAAAAACAACAAAAAACACATATACACATACACAAAATAAATAATAATATTAATTTTAATAAATAAAACCCCCATATTTTTTTTTTATTTGTATGCTTTTCTTTCTTTTTTTTTTTTTTTAAATTTTAAAAAATAACAAAAACAAAAATATTTATTTAAATTTGTGTTTATAATATAATATATTTATTTATTTATTTATTTATTTATTTATTAATTTATTTATTTATTTATTTATTTATTTATTTATTATCTATTTATTAATAATATCGAAAATTTTTATTATAAAAGCTTTTTGTAACAATACCAAACAACAACAAATAAAAGAAACAAAACAGATCAACAATATACAGAGTCAATATAAAATATAGCGAATAAATTTTATTAAAAATGAGTACAACAAGCAGTAACCCAACAACCCAGGTATTAAATAATCTACAAACAGAAAAACAATTACAAGCCCCACCACAACAAACCCAACAAATATCATCATCACCACCACAACAACAACAACAGCAACAAGGTCAACAAAATGGTAACCCACAAAATAGCGGAGAGGGTACACCGACAGTATTAAATTCAGTTAGACAAGCTTTAGCATTGGCAAGAATTGGTGTAAATGCTGATAATAGAGGTGACTATGCTGTAGCAATTCATAATTATAAAGAGGCCTCAAATTTATTAAACTCATCAGAAGATCTATCAACATTGAATGATGAGCACTATAGAACAATGATGGAAAAAGTACATACTACAACTTAAACCTTTGAAAAATATAGCTATTCAATACATCACAAGATTACTAATCAATAGTATTTTATTTTATTTAGGCAAAGCAATATTTAGATAGAGCAGAGATGTTGGAAACTTTAATGCAACAGCAAAATGGTAATGCACCATTAAAAGAAAATTTTGCATTTGTAGAGGAGATACCAACCCAATCATCTGGATTTTTAGACCCAATACCAGCATTCCCATCATACAAACCATTTTGGTTAATGAGAGTACTCTCAAAGACCATCAAGAGTGGAGCATATTTAACTCCACGTCTTTATATTCCAAAGTCAATTTGGCAGCAAACCGGTTGTAAATTTACAGCTGTCGAAACCAAAATCAAAAGTTTAGAAGTTTTATTAGATTGTCTTCAAAATTTAAAGAAACTACATGCCGATAACTCACCTTTACCATTCGATAAAAACAGTATTGAAGCTGTTTCAAAAGAAACTGACTCATTTTGCACTCAATTAGATGTCATTCAAAATGGTCTTCATTTCCATCTCTCTTTTATTCCAGAAATTAAAATTGAAAAAGTAAATGAAAAAGGTTGGGCAAATAAAATGAAAAAGTTTGGTAACTCATTAGCTAAAGGAGCTGTTAGATTAGCTCCCTCTTCAAAATTGTTTGTATATCCATAAAAATAATAAAAAAAAAGAAAAAAAAAAACTAATTTTATTTATTTACATTAAAATCATAATAATACAGAGAAGGTCAAGATTATATAGGTTTATTAAATTCAGTTTTTGAAGAAAGTCAATTTTTAGAAAGTTGGATGAATTGTTGTGAAAGTTTAGGACACAGTAATTTATCAAATCGTCTTCGTCGTGTTGGAGAGTTCTTTTCTGTTGTAATTTGCTCATTTGTGATGAAGGACTTTACAATTTTATTAGAAAGATTTATGAGAAAAAGTTTACAAAGTTTTATGACCATCAATAAATTTAAATAACATATCAAAAAAAAAAAAATTCCAAATTCATACATAATATCAATCAAATCAAACCTTATTCATACATAATTGCACAAATATAAACCCTCTCATTTAATTTTTTATTTTAATATTATATTAAATTATATTATTAAATAATTAAAAAAATAAAAAATAAAAAATAAAAAATAAAATAAAAAAATTAAAAATAACTTATCAAAATATCTTTTTTAGTGACTTCTTTATTTTTATTTATGTTTATAAATTAAATTTAATCAATAATAGATAAACTAAGTAAAGGTCCTTAATAGTGTTTATTGTGTAATGATTTGTAAATGTGGTGAATTGGATTGATCATATCAAAAATTAAAATATTATACCAAAAAAAAAAAAAAAAAAAAATTATACCAAAAAAATAAAATAAAATAAATAAAACAAAATAAAATAAATAAAAAAGTGGGTTAGTGGTGACTTAATTATTAATATTTTTATTTGAATTTATATAATATAAATATTTATATATAATTATATTTATTAAACTTATGCATTCAAGAACCAGTTTTATTTTTTTTTGTGTTGGGTCAAGACTTTGAAAGAAAAATTTAAAAAAAAAATTAATAAAAAAAAAAAGATTTTTTTTTTTTTTTTTTTTTTTTTTTTTAAAAATATTTTTAAAAAAAATTATAATTTTTTTTTTTTATAACTATAAATAAAATAATAAATAATAATATATAATAAGCAACAAAATCAACATCCTACAATTCTTGTTGTATATTTATTATTTTTTATTATAAAATAGTTAATTTATTTTTATTTTTTATTTTTTTTTGTTTATTTTTATATTTTGTTTTATAGGATTGGAGAAGTGAATATCAACAGTTGTAATAGAAGTAGAACTAAATTTAAAGGTTTTTATAGGAAAAAATTAGTTTTTTTATAATACAAAAGGTAAAAAAAAAAAGAAAAAAAAGAAAAAATTCAATTATTTTTATCACATAAAAAATATCATTTGCAACCATAAAACTAAATTTATAAAAAAAGTGTTTGAATATTTGTATTGTTTTATGTGTGTTTGTGTGACAATCACTTAACTAAATAATCATTTCCCCAACGAACAAAGAACAATAACCAAACAAAAATAAAAATAAAAAAAAAAAATCACAATTGTGATGGTGATGATGTTTGTATGTGTGTAAATTATAATATTATATCGAGATTTCGTCAATAAATAAATATAAAAAACATAACAAAATATTTTTATTTTAATTTTTTTTTTTTCAATAAAACTTTAATCATTTAAACAGCAAGTTTGTTTGAAAAAAAAAACCACTCCCACACATTAAAATCAATTGTACAAAAAAAAAAATTAAGTTAATTTTTTTATATTTATATCACACCCCCACACCCAAGCACACTAAAAATAATACAATGCATAAGGTATAATTACCACCACTCACTCACTTAAATAACACTTTTCTCAATAAAAATTAAAATTTTTTTTTTTTTTTTTTAATAATATTATAATAACACATATAATATTTTATATCATATTGTTGTATTTATTTTTTATCATTATCATTTATTTAACTTTGTTTTTCTTGTATATATATAATTTTATTTATTTATATTATATAATTTATAATTATTTTATATTTTATATTGACCCTTTAAAATTTTATATTTTTAATTTATTAAATTTGATTTATTAAATTTATTTATTTATTTAATTTATTTATTTATTTATTTATTTATTTTAAAAAAAATTGTATAATAGTAATAATAATAATAGTAATAATAGTAATAATAATAAAAAATAACAATAGTAAAGTAATTTAAATTGTTGGTTTTCTCATTTGTACGTTTTTCTTTTTTTTTTTTTATTTATTACATTTTTTTTTTTTTTTTTTTTATAAAATTATTATATTTTAATTTATTCTTTATTTTTAATTATATCACACATATTAAAAATAATATAATCAAAATTTATAAAACTTTTTTCTTTTAAATTGTTGTTTTTAGTAAATTTAAGAAGATTTTTTTTTTTTCTAGACAATTTTTTTTAAATATATTTAAATCTTATACTAATATTATTTTATTGAAATATTAATAGATTTAGGAAAAAAATAATAGAAAAAAAACAAGTTATGAATTTTTAATATAGGGTTTTTTTTTTTTTTTGTACATAAATAATAAACAGTAACAGCAATAGAAACAGTAATAGTTTTAAAATAGTAATAAATATTAAAATAGTAATAAAATAGGAGCATTTAAAAAATGAGTGTTCAACAACAACAAGATGTTGGTAATTTAATATCACCATTATCATTATCAAGCGAAGAACAACAAAACAGAAAATCAAGTACAGGAAGTACAGGAAGTACAAATAGTAGTGGTAGTTTTAAAAAGAATTTACAAATATTTAATAGCCTCAGCAGTAGTGTAAATAGTGAGGATGTAGGATCTACACTTATAAGTCCAAGGAAGAATAGTACTGGAAGTAATAATAGTAATGTCATACCTTATCATTATAAATATAACAATAATAACAATAATAATTTAGATAATATAAATAATACAAATATTAATTTTCCAAATAAACTCAAAGTTACAGATTTAGTGAAAACATTTAATAATAAACCTCTTTCTAATATTCATTCAATTCATAATAATATAGCTCCATCAACATTAGAGAAAGAAAAGAACTCTCTTCCAAATGGTTCAAATACAAAACAATTAAGTTCTGCATTTCAAATTTTAGATAATTCAATAAATACACCTTTATTATCAACAAACAATAGGGTTCGAAGTGGAAGTACAGGTAGTAAACCAATTATAATGCAAACTCAAATGCCTTCATCAATATCAATATCGGCTTCTTCCTCTCCACCTTTATCTTCAGATGATCAGTTACATAATACAAATAAATTAAATTCATCAAACCCATCTACAAATTCAACTCCAACTATTTCAGTTTCAGGTCAAAAACCACCAACACCAAAAATTAGTGGTTCATGTTTAAATATTAGCTCAAATAATTCTAATAATAATAATAGTGTGCTACAAGATCTTTTATTCAACTTACCAATGGCACCAACAAGTGTACCAAAAATTTCACAAACACCACCATCTTCAAAAAAGCCAACAACCTCGACAACCTCATCGCCAGCTACCATTGGGAAATCTACATCATCATCAACAACAAATACTACAAGCTCAGCAAATAATATAGCTCCAATTTTCCCATTACCAATATCGCAATCATCAAGTACACCATCGACATCATCATCGACAACACCAAATCAAACTACACCAAGAAATTTAAATAATAATAATACAAATACTAATAATACAAATACTAATAATACAAATAATGGTACAAGTAATATAAGTAATAATAGTTCAAACAGTCAATCACAACAAGTAAATACCAATTCAATTAATTTAATAACCAGCAGTAGTAATAGTAATAATAGTCAAATTAACTATATAAATGGTCACCCAGCACATATTAGTCATTCGAATAGTTGTAGTAGTATTATAAATCACCATGAATCATCATCACCATCACAATCACAATCATCATCATCGTCATCATCATCGAATACACCAGTTACAACAACACCTATTTTAATGAGTAATAGAAATTCACCGCTATTAGGTCGTTCTCCAACACAATATATTATATCAACCAATACAGGTTTGACAGCAGGCGAGCGTGTAAAATCCAAACAATATTCAATGCTAAATATTAGTAAGAAAACTATCATTGACGAATCAGATTCACTTTCATCACCAAGATCATTGACAGGAAGCCCAAATAGTTTAAGAGCATCTATAAGTAGTCAAGCACCAGCTAGTTTTGGAACATTACCATCAATTAATAGTAATAAGCCATTGGTAGTAAAGAAATCTACTTCAGAGCACAGTGCAAAGAAAGAAAATATTTGGAGACAAACTATGGCCCCATCAACTAAAGAGGATCATATTAAAGTTGTATTTGATGGTTTACCAGGTAAAAGAGTAATTCAAAAGTTTATAATCGATAAAACACCTCAAGAAATAAAGAGCAAATTTTTAGAGGATCTTTTAAATACTACAGATTTCCAACAACCACCACTTAATATACCAATAAATCCAGATCAATACGAATTGAAAGTTCTTTCAGTTAACTCCACAATAAATAATGAAACATTGCCATTAAGAAGACAAATGTTAATGCAAGCTTGTAATATCTCTAGATTATTCCCTAAACTTCATTTGGTTATTAAGGGATCCTCACCTTCATCTACTGCCATTCCATCACCAACTCCTTCACCATCAACTTCAAATACAAGTCTTGGTTCATTAATTACAAATGTTCCACCAGAATCATTAAGTAAATTAAATAAATCAAATTCCTCATCAACATTAATGATTGATAATAATGAGGTTATCGATGTTAAAGGTCATATTCAAGCAGAGTTGGAAATTTTCGAATTAATTGGTACCTCATTCACAAGAGTTTTAGATCAAGGTCAAGAGGTTGTTAGTTTTAGAAGAGATTTTGCTCATTTTAGATTAGCCAATTTCACTATCACCCGTAACGATTTATCACAAATGATTTATGTATCATCCGAACCACTTCCATTAATTATCCCAAACAAAATTACTATTATGGTATTATTACCAGGTGATGGTAAAATCATTAAACGTGTTGACTGTGATCCAAATGAATCAGTAAAAGAAGTTAAAAATCAAATCTTTAAAAAGTTTGCAATGATTGACCGTAATCATACAAAAGATAAAACTGCCGATGATTTTGTATTAAAGGTTACAGGTTTCCGTGAGTATATACTCTGCCATGCCGAGTTGGGTAATTTAACAAGTCGTCAAAGATTCTATCCAACCGGTGCCAATGGTGACTTTGCTTTAATTGATTATGATTACATTAGACAATGTGTAAGCAAAAATCAACTCATAGAATTATCATTAACCAACAATAGCATTTTAAAATTAAACCAAGTAGAAGAAAAAGTATCATTCATCGACAAGATTTTAGAAACTTCAGATTTTGATGATTATGATGATGAAGAATTAGAATCACTTAGTAATAATAGTTATGATGATGTTAAGCAAAACCAAAATCAGCAACATTCCCAACAACAAATATTCCAATCAAGAGGTAGCTTCGATAGCAGTGGAGGAGGTAGCGGTTTAGGCGAACAATTATCAACAAACAGTGGTGGCAGTAATAATAATAGTAGCAATAATGAACTTTTAGGTTCTGCTGCTGGTGTTGCTGGTACAACAAATAATATAGTCGGTGGATCAAATAACAACTCATCAAAATTACCAATCAACATTGTAAAGAGATTATTCAGAGTTAATATTGCAGGTATTAGAAATTTAAATTTCAATAATAATGAAGATGCTAAAAGTAAATTTGTTGATAAACAACCATATTGCTTCGTTATGGCAGAGCTTTATTATGGTGGTCAACTTTTAACAAATCCAGTTTATACACCAATCACACCAATTAACATTTTCGAAGTTATTGATTTTCCAAATTGGGAAAAAGGTATTGCCTTTACTATTCCAATTCGTGTATTACCAAGATCTGCACGTGCTAGTTTCACACTATATGTTACATCAGTTTCAGAAGCAACAGAATCTCAAATGGAAGATGTTGTCAGTAAATCAATACCAATTGGTTGGAGTAATTGTTTATTAATGAATCATAAAGGTATTCTTCGTATGGGACCAGCTGCTTTTAGACTATGGGAAGATGGTCGTAGAGCAAACCCAATTGGTACTTGTGTCGATAATCAAAGTGCAAAAGCTCCAGTTATATTGTTAGTAGAATTTGAAAGTTTCATTAGACCAATTGTATATGTACCACCCACTCCTAGTACAAGTAATAGTAGTAACGAGCTATTAAACTCACCACCAACTTCCCCTCAAACTGCCACAAAAAAACTAGACCCAGAAGAAGCAAGAAAATTAAGATCACTTATGGAATCTGACCCATTGGCCCAATTCTCTCCAGAAGAACAGAAGCTTATTTACAACTATAAACATAATTATAAGAGCAAACCAAAGGCTTTGGCTAAATTCTTATTATCAGTTTGTTGGACTGATCCAGAACAAGTCTCTGAAGCTTATCGTCAAATGAATGATTGGGCACTTTTAAAACCAGTCCAAGCTTTAGAATTATTAGATGCTAAATTTGCAGATGAACATGTTAGAAATTTCGCAATCAAGGTAATCAATAGTTTTTCAGATGCAGAATTTTCAGATTTCCTTTTACAATTAACTCAAGTTCTCAAATATGAACCATACCACAATAGTGATTTAACACATATTCTCATTCAAAGAGCATTGGCTAATCGTAGTAGAATTGGTCATTTCTTCTTTTGGTTCTTAAAATCAGAAATGCACACCCCAGAAATTGAAGAACGTTATGGTCTTTTATTAGAAGGTTATTTAAGAAGCTGTGGTTCACATCGTCAAGATCTCATCAAACAAAACCAGGTACTAAAATCACTTTATGGCGTTGCAATGGCAGTAAAGAATACTCATGGTGCATCAGAGCGTAAAAAAGTACTCCAAGAAGGCCTTTCTAAAATTAAATTCCCAGAGACCTTCCAATTACCTTTAGATCCACGTTGGGAAGCCAAGGGTTTAATAGTCGATAAATGCAGATATATGGACAGTAAAAAATTACCACTCTGGTTAGTATTTGAAAATGTAGAACCACATGCTAAACCACTCACTATTATCTTTAAAGTTGGTGATGATCTTCGTCAAGATATTTTAACATTACAGGTTTTAAGAATTATGGATAGATTCTGGAAGAATAATGGCATGGATTTAAGATTACAACCATATAAATGTATTGCAACAGGTGATGGTATCGGTATGTTAGAAGTAGTATTGAATTCAAATACCATTGCAAATATTAATAAAGATGCTGGTGGTACTGGTGCTATTTTAGAGGAGAAAACTTTGGCCAATTGGTTAAAAGAATGCAATCCAACCGAAGCCGAATATAATAAAGCCGTTGAAACTTTTATATTATCTTGTGCTGGATATGTTGTAGCCACATATGTTTTGGGTATTGGTGATAGACATGCTGATAATATTATGATAACCAAATTTGGACATTTATTCCGTAAGTTTTAAATTTACTTACTCTAGTTAGTTATTTTAATTTAATATTAATTTTTTTCATTTTTTTTTTATAGATATTGATTTTGGCCATTTCCTTGGAAATTATAAAAAGAAGTATGGCTTTAAGAGAGAAAGAGCACCATTTATTTTTACACCACAATATATGGCAATTGTAGGAGGAAAAGATAGTGAAAATTTCAAACGTTTTGTTACCACCTGTTGTTTAGCCTACAACATCCTTAGAAAAAATTCAGATTTGTTTTTAAACTTATTCCAATTGATGTTAAGCACAGGTATTCCAGAACTTCAATGCGCTGATGATATCGACTACCTTAGAAAAGCATTAGCACCACAATTAACTGATGAAGAAGCTGCCGAAGAATTCAAAAAGAACATTATTGTTGCACTTAATACTAAAACAGTAATTTTAAATGATTTATTCCACAATTTCGCGCATTAAAAAATATAATTAATAAAACACAAATAAATAAAAAAATAATAATAAAAAGAAAATCCACATAACAAACTAATAATAAATTTTAGAAGGTAATAATAAATAACTAAAAAAAAAAAAAAAGAAACAATTAATAGTAATAATAAAATAAACAATATAATAAAATTTTGTAAATTTAAATAAAAAAAAACTATAAATGTATTTTTAGAAAAAAATAAAATAAAAAAGTTTATTTATAAAGCTTTTATATTTAAATAGAATTCAAGATGGAGTTTATTAATACTAGGTATCGATACCAATTTCCAATTTTACTTTAGTTTTGGGTTTTTATTTGTGAGTCATTCCTGTATCTAATAGGGATATTTTGTTGGTATCGCCAATAATATATGTTATATATTCCACTTACCTTTAAATCTACCTATTCCTTTTAAATGAATTTTTTTTTAAAATAAAATAATATTAAAATAAGAATTTTAATCAGAGAAAATTGAAAAATTGATTATTTATTTAATTAAGATTATTTTTTTTAAACAATTATGTTAATTAATTTATTTTAATAAGATTATTGTTAATAAAGATCAATTTTTTTTAACCCATTTTTTTTTTTGTATAAAATTATTATCTTGATAAAAAAATAACAAAAATTCATTAACTGACATACACACTACATATTAGATCACCCTATTTATGTGTGTGTGTTAATTTTAATAGTTAGTGTGATATATAAATCCCCATATTTAAAATCCTTTTTTAATTATTTTTTTTTTAAAGTAGTACAATATACTTATATATAATTTTTTAATTTATTTTTTTTTTTTAAAGAGTTATTATTTCTTAAATCAGAATTTAACATTAATTCACCAGTTCATAATTATTATAAAATTATATCAGATTACTTATCTGTACATTTTTATTTTTTTAATAATAATTTTATTTTATATTACTTTTTTTTAACGTGGTTTTATATTTAAATAAATAAAATTTTTTTTTTTTTAAATTTTTTTATTTGTTTTAAATAAAATTAAATAGTTTATTTATTAACTTATTTGTTTAATAATAAAATGGTTAAATATTATTGTTATTTTTTAATAATTTTATTAATAATAAATATTGTTAACTCATTTCATACAGATAAAACCTATGATAAAAAATTCGAAATTCAAAGAGCATCTTTTTTCTTTTTAACAGCAAATGCATATAGATATTCGTTAGAGAATGAACAATGGTGTGAAGAGAGTAAAGTTGCAGGTGGTAGACCATATGTATGGAGTGACTATAGAAATACCGCAATCAGTTATCTAGATCTTTATATTGCCCTTCAATTCGATTCAAGTTGTGAAGATAAGCTCGTGCAATTAAGAAAATGGTATGCTGATAATGTAGAACAACCAACTTCGTTTGCAAAGAATAGTGAAATGTGGGAAAGTGATTATTTACCAATGGTTACCGATGCCTTTACCTGTGGCTTTAATGGTAGCAAACTTGTAGACTATGATATTGTTTCTCACGATCTTCGTGAAAACTTTGACAACGAACCACTCAAACAAAAGATCTGGCATATGATTGGCCCATATATGACAAGTATTTACAAACAACGTGAAAATGCAAATAGAAGATTAGATTTGGATGCTGGTTTATATATTCCATTCTTAGATAAATACACCGGTTTCCATTATACAAAAGAGCAACAGATGAGAATTGGTTTTCCAACTTATATGGGCCGTGCACTTTGGTACATATTCCATACTTTAGCACAAAGAATTGCCGATAATGAATGTTCAGTAGATATCAACGACAAATTATTTGAAATAGCAAAAAACTTTGTTGTTTACTTTACAAAAGGATCTCACCCATGTCCAATATGTAAAGAACGTAAGTATTATATAATAGATTGCAGCAATCTAATTTTTATATTAACATTTTATTATTTTAATAAATTTTTATTATTTTAGATTTTATCAGTCGTATCTTGGTAAATGATCGTTTTGCCCCTGACTCTATTGATAATGAAGCCATGCGTTATTACCCAATTGAACATTTGCTATTAGGTGGTATTGCTGGTGATGCACATGCTAAAATTTCAACTATTAAGGCATCAGATAAGAATTCATTGGCCGCTTTCTTCTGGATTGTTCACAATGCCGTAACTGCCTCTGTAGATAATGGATGCTCCTGCTTTACTGAAGAAAATGAAGATGATAAACCATATAATTGTGTTATGGATTACAGGTTCCAGGTTCAACAACAATTCCCAAGACAACAAAGATCCTATCCATTTATGAAACGTTTCGAATTTATTTTAACACCAGACCACAACTATACATTATTTGACGATGCAAGAGACCAATTTAGATCAATTTTAGGTCAAATTAATTCCTTAGATACTTTTGCTTTAAGAAACGAATTAATTTCATATTGGCAAACTGGAAAAAACATCAGTGCTGATGGTCAATCTAAAGTTACACAATTATTAGAACTAATCAATAATATGACAAACCAATTTATTGCATCCAAAGTATTAGAAAAAGTTTATACTTATTCAGATACTGTTCCACTAAACTGTGATATAATTTTAGAAAAGCTAGATTCATCCCCACAAGTAGACACTCCAACCATTGTATTTGATAAAACCCCAGCAGTTTGTAAACCATATCTACAACCATCATTATGCGACCAACAATATCTATATAGATATTTTACCAAACCCCCAACCAACCCAACTTCATCATCTGTATTGACTACAACTAGTGGATCAACTGCCCCAACCTCATCATCCACAACCTCATCAGTTACCTCTCCACCAAGCCAAACAAAGAATGTTGAACAAACCAGTAGTAACTCTTCCCAATCTATATTCAATTTACCAATATTAAATATTTATTTATTTATTACAATATTTATTATTTTTATGTTTATGTAAAATCAATAAATATTATTTGTATTCATTCATTTATAATAAAACCAATTTTGGAATTATTTTAAAAATAAAAAAAAATTTATTAAAAAAAAAAAAAAATTTTCATTTTTCATTTTTTATTTTTTTAATTTTTACAATTCTTTAAAATGTCAAATGATATAAATAACAATATTAACAATATCAATAAAATTAAAATAAATAACCTATATAATCCTTATTCACCATGTAGAAGCGTAGATTGTTATAAAAAACTATATACCATTAACGAAGGTGCATTTGGTGTTGTGTATTGTGCGGAAGATAAAGAAACCAATGAAATTGTAGCACTTAAAAAGATCAAAATGGAAAGAGAAAGAGAAGGCTTACCAATTACAAGCGTAAGAGAAGTTAAAGTATTAATGGAGCTACAGCATGAAAATATAGTAAATATTAAAGAAATTGTATTGGGTAAAAATATTAATAGTATATTTATGGTAATGGAATTTATTGATCACGATTTAAGAGGTTTAATGGAAGTTATTAAGAAGCCGTTTTTACCATCAGAAATTAAAACATTAATTAAACAGCTTTTATCAGGTGTAGCATATATGCATGAAAACTGGGTTATACATAGAGATTTAAAGACAGCAAATTTATTATATACAAACAAAGGTATTTTAAAGATAGCAGATTTAGGTTTAGCAAGAGAATATGGTAGTCCAATCAAGCCACTATCAGAAGGTGTTGTTACTTTATGGTATAGAGCTCCAGAATTACTTTTAGGTTCAAAGATTTATACATCAGCAATTGATATTTGGTCAGTCGGTTGCATTTTTGCCGAAATAATTTCAAAAGAGGTTTTAATACAAGGCTCATCCGAAATCGATCAATTAGATAAAATATTTAAACTTTTGGGTACACCAACCGAACAAAGTTGGCCCAACTTTTCAAAATTACCAGATGCCAAACACCTTAATCTTGTACCACAACCATATAATAATTTAAAATTAAAATTCCCACATATCACCGACAATGCTTTTGACCTTTTATCTAAACTTTTAGAATTAAATCCCGAAACAAGAATTACAGCATCAGATGCTCTAAATCATCCTTACTTTACCGAAAATCCACAACCAAGGGACCCAATGCTTATGCCCACTTGGCCATCATCACATAAAAAAACTTAAATAAAATTTAAAAAAAAGCATTTTTATTTATATATACATAATTTTATTGTTTTTTAGAATAAAAATTTAAAAATATAAAACAAAACACAAAGAAACGAGGATAATGTTGAAAATTGACATTGGGGATAAAATTGACGAGCTTGATGGGAAATCTGGGTTTCCAATGGTGTAATTAGATGAGACTTGATCAGCAACAGTAACTACAACACTTAATTCATAGCCATCTTGTTCAGAAATTAATTCCTCGATTGTATCTCTGGGTATATTTAAGGTAACACTATCAGATGAAGTAATATATAAGGTAGTTGTTCTATCAAAATAGTGAATAACTGCTGTATTTTTACCGATAGTTGAAAAACCAGTGCCCTAAAATTAAATAAAATTTATATATTAATATTGAATGATGTAAATTATTTTTATAATTAAATAATATCTTACCATAAGAGTTATTGAATCGGTATTAACCTTTTGATCATTAATAACTGGTGGTTCATATGAAACTGTTAATTCAAGTTCAACTCCATTTAAATTATATTTAAATAAATTGCTTGAACCTTCACCTGGGAAAGCATTAACGGTGATTAAAGAATTTAACTTTGAAATTGATAAAGAAGGGGCAATAACAATTTTTCCATTAGTTGATGATAGATTGGTTTCAAAACCTAAACCTTCAATTGATGTTTGAGCTCCATTTGTTGAAACTTTAACTTCTTTTTTATTTACTAAATAAATAAAAAAAACTAATTAATACTCCTATAGATAAAATATAATAAAAAACCAAACACTTAATACATACCACAAGGGGATGATGGCTTTGAAAAACCATTTGGTAATAAAACTGATGAAACTTCATCACTATACATGGCACATGATAAACATGATGGAGCTGATGTTAATTTATTATTAAATAATCTATATTTTCTAAAATTAACTGAGCAATAACCATCTGGAATAGCACCATTAAACTATATTGGAAAAAAAAATTTATTAATAACTAATACTTTATATTTTTCTAAAATTATAAAAACTTACACCACTATTAATAAAAGCTGCATAACTAATTTTATCATAACTAATTGCTGGTAATGGTTGTTCAATAGTATTTCCTGTAATGTGAATTGTAACGAAATTGGTCAAATCAATATTAGTAAATGAGTAACTGGAATCAACAGTACCGATTTTTGAATTTGCATTTACTTTAATGCATGGCTTTTGTGAACATGAAAGTAAATTTGATAAACCATTGAAATCACTAAATTAAAAATAAAATATTAATATTTAATATAAAAAATATATAAAATAACACAGCATTTAACTTACAGTCTAATATTTTGATTTTTAGTGAAATCATAATTAAAACCAGATGATGGAGTTGCAAAACCATTACCAGAAATGAAGAGGGATTTCATTGATGGGATATTTTGAACACTTGATGGGAAAGTATAAACTGGATTATCAGTGGTGAATAAAAATGATAAAGAATCAAGATTTGAAAGTTTATTAAATTCATTTGGAATTGTGAATGCTGATAAACTTTTTTGATTATCAATCTTTAAACCTAAAGTATTAAGACCCTTTAAACCATCAAAACCACTTGGGAAACTTGAAGTAACAACCAAATATAAATTTTGTAATTTGCTATTTGATGGGAATTGAGTATTGTAGGAAAAACCTGATAAAGCACCATTAATTACTAATGACTTTAAGTTTGAATTAAAGAAAACATCTGAAACTTGACCACCATAATTATCAATAACACTAAAATAATAATAAAACTATTAGTACCAATCAAATATGTTTAGTATTTCTCCATTTCTACTACTTACATTTCCTCTAATTGTTGTGGGAATGATGTTGATCCAATTGTAGATGATTGTTTTGAGATTCTAATCTTTTTTAATTTGGTAAATTGATCAATTGAATTCCAAAAACTGTCGCCAACTGTTACTTGGTCATCAATAATATTTAAATACTCTAAGCTGAGTGCAAATGGTGATAAATCACTAATTGTATATTGCTTACCAAGGTTTGAAATATTAATTTCACCTACTACTTGTCCTACATATGCAGTTGGATCTTGGTCATTCTTTGGAATATTGTAACATGAAAAAACATCATATGAACATGGATCATTAAGTGCAACACCATAAAGATTTAAAATGTCGGTTGTTAAAGGTTCTATAATAATAAAAAAAGTAAACTTAATATTATATTCATCAAAATTTTAATAGTTAGAAAATGAATAATTACTTTGATCATCTTTTAATGGTTGTGATAAAGGTTCAAATTCACCATTACAAATGTTAACAATAAAATTTAAAGCAACAAACACCAAAATATTTTTAATATTCATTTTTTTCTATAATTTTATTTTATTTTTATTTATCTATTTTTAATATTATTACACAATTTTATATATATATTGTTTTATTAATATTATTTTTTAAAAGTTAATAAAATTAAAAGGTATATATATGTATTATTATTTTATTAGTTGTACAAAGAGATTTCCTTAGAGAAAAAAGAAAAAAAAATTAAAAAAAATTTTTAAATTTGTTGCAACTGTATTTTATAGTTTTTTTTTATTTTTAATTAGAAATATAAATCCTCATTACACAAATCACTCTTTTAACAAATTAATTATAATAATATAATTGATTCGTTTATTTACACATGACGCAAACCTTATCAAAAATCAATCGGCAAAAAAAAAAAAAAAAAAAAAAAAATTTAAATATTTTTAAAAAAAAACGAAAACAAAAATATTTTTCAATTATTGCATTTAAATAATTCAGTTAATTATTTTATCATAAAAGAGAAGATTGGGGGCAACTGCTGTCAAAAAAAAAAAAAAAATTAAAAAAATTAAGAAAAAAAAAAATAAAACCATAGCACTTATTCATTGGTCTGATGCTAATTTTAATCCTCCTTATTATCATAATAATCTGATCAACTGCTCAGCTGTGTGTGATTTTTTTTGTAAGATTACAACACACCAGAGCATAAAAAAACTCAGTAATTACTTTTTTTCAAATTGTTTTCTGGAATATTTTAACATATTTCATAATTTAAACACATATGACATTTAAAATATTAAAAATTATGACACTTTATGGGTTAAAGAGTATATTATTTGAATTTTTTAATAATCGAAAATAATTATAAACTGTGTGGTAAAAAAAATGCGCAAAAAAAAAAATAATAAAAAAAAAAGATAAGAATTTTTTTTTTATATTATTGTTTATTTACATTCGAATTTAATTATTTAAAATTATTTGGAAAGAAGGTTTCCATTAAATTTAAATAAGCACCTTTATTATAAATATTTTTAATTTCTTTAAAAGTTTTGGGTAAAGGTAAATAAACTTTATCTTTTTCGACTTGATATTTATCTTCTTTATTATCGTTGTTATTTGATTTATTTCTTTTCTTAATTTCTTTATCCTTGCTGCTACTGCTGCTGCTAGTTTGAGATTTGTTTTCTTTTTTTCTTTCTTCTTCCTCTTTTTCTTTAAGTTTTTCCTCTAATCTTTGAATTTTAATTTGATCTTTTATATTTTCCCATTTATATGATTCATTTGTGGTGGTGTTTCTAACTATTAAATAAATATGATAAAAGAAAAATGATAATAAAAATACTGCTATAACAAGACAAAATACACCAAGTGGTAAAATAGATCTTGATTCGAATGCTAAATATTTGATTATAATAGTGGTTGGAACTGGGGTCCAAACACCATTTTTAGTGTAGCCTAAATTTTTGATATCTTTGACTTTGATAAAAGTATACATTGACCATCCACTTAAATATGCACCATAAACGCATAATAATGATGTTGATAATACAAATAATAAAAAGTATCTTAAATTATTTCTTCCAACACAATTATTGATCCAAGGACAATGGTGATCGAATTTACTAACACATCTATTACAAATTCTACAATGTTTGGATCTAGCTGGTCTATAGTAAAAATTGAATTAGTATTTTTTTTTATTTTTTTGATTATAATTATTTTACATTTGATATTTACTTTACAAACTCACATGTTTCGCAGTTTTTTTTAATATAAAGAAAACGGTCATATGGATAGAGAACACACTCTTTATGATTTTTTTCGTCAATATAGTTTGGTGATGAGTAACTTGCTACAATAAATGTGAAAAGGGTGAAAAGAATTGAGGCATATGCACCATATCTATGATATTCAGGTATATATTCGGTTCCAATATATGGGAAACAATCTTTATGAAATAAAAAAAAACCAACTGCAACTAATGATAAATAAAATCCTTGTAATAAATGGTTTGGTTTAAACATGAAATAATTATAACATGAATCTGACATTTTTTTTAATCTTTTTGGGCAAATTTTTGAAAAACATCCTCTTTTTTAAAAAAAAAAAAAAAAAAAAAAAAACAGAAAATTAGTAAATAAATAAACATATATTTCCTCATTTCATAAACTACTTACACACAAAATTCTTGTAAACCCGAGGTTAAAAACATATGACACCAACCAATGAAACCATCTTTGTGGAATTGAGTTTGACCCATTAGTAAGGTATACAGTACAAATACAGCAAAAATAATATAACATATAATAAATGTAAATAACCAATCCATTATTCTTTTTATTATCTTTTTATATTACAAGTATAATATAATATAATAAATTAAAAAAATAAAAATTAAAAAAAAAATTAAAAAAAATATTTTTTTGAAAAACTAGTTTTAAAATAAAAAAAAAAAAAATTAAAATAATTTTTTTTATAACCTAATTCCATTGTTATTTATTAATTAATTTAATTTCAATAATTACTTTTTTTATTTATTTTTTACTAAAAGTATTTTGTTTTAAATTTTTATTCAATCAAATAAAACATTGTTTATTCCATAAATAGATTAACACACACCATTTAAAAAAAAAAAAAAAAAAAATTTTATTTTTAATTTTTAATTTTTTTTTTTTTTTTTATTTATTAAAAATCATATTAATTTTTTTTTTTTTTAATTTTTAATTTTTTATTTTTCGTTCAAATAATAAATATATATAAAACATGGAAACTTTTAATTTTTTATCAATTAGATATAATAAAGAAGAAAAAAAATTAGAAATTTTAGATCAACGTAAATTACCAGATATCGAAGAATGGTTACTCGTAAATGATCCAAGCGATATGATTACATATATTAAACAACTATCAGTTCGTGGAGCCCCATTAATAGGTGTAGGAGCCTCCATGAGTTTATACAATCATGTTTTATTAAACGAAAGTAAATTAACCAAAGAAGACATCACAAGAATTTCAATGGAACTTAGAGAAAGTAGACCAACAGCAGTTAACTTAATGTATTCAATTGACGAAATGATGCAAGTTAAACAAGCAGAGGATAAACGTGATTTATCAGCAGAAAATTTAGGCAGAATTGCAATGTCAATTATAAAGAACGAAGTTGAGATGTGTAGAAAAATGTCAGAATTTGGTGCATCATTAATCCAACATGGAGAGTCTATCCTCACACATTGCAATACTGGAAGTGTAGCTACTGTAGGTGCAGGTACAGCCTTAGGTGTAATCAGAGAAGCCCACAAACAAGGAAAAAATATTCATGTTTATGTAGACGAAACTAGACCACTCTTACAAGGTGGTCGTCTCACAACCTACGAATTAGAGCGTGAAGGTATTCCATACACCTTAATCTGTGATAATATGGCAGCTACATTAATGCGTAGTGGTAAAATTCAAAGAGTATTAGTAGGTGCTGATCGTATTTGCCGTAATGGTGATTTTGCAAATAAAATTGGTACCTATGGCGTTTCAGTTTTAGCTCATCACCATAATGTGCCATTCCATGCTGTCGCTCCAATGTCCACTGTAGATATCAAATGTGAAACTGGTGAAGATATTCCAATTGAAGAACGTTCATCATCTGAAGTTCAAGGTGCATCTGGTGCATTTGGTACTGTTCGTTGGGCTCCAAAGAATTCAAAAACTTTTAACCCTGCTTTCGATGTAACCCCAATGAATTTAGTTACATCTTTAATTTTAGATATTGGTATTATCGATAAAAATAATTTAGATAAATTAAAATAAATAAATAAAAGAGAATTTAAATTATATAATAAATTAAATACATTTATTTTATTTTTTTATAGTTTTTTAGAAAATATTAAAAACTATTAAAAATAGTATTGATAAAACAGAAAGATAGCTATAATTAAGTTTTACAGAGCTACTATGGCTGCTATGATGGCTACTGGATTTTTCTTCTTCTTTAATAATAGTTGTTGTATTGGTTTTATACTGTTTATCACAGGCTGATGGTACAACATGTTTTTCACAAAGTTCTGGTATAATAGGAATTTCAAAAAGAGGAGCTTCAATTTTAGATGTAGAGTTTAATAGGTCATTTAAATACTGGGTTGATGTTTCACAATTTAATGGGTTTGTAGTATAGGAGTATACTGAAAGAATTGGTGAATCTAAAAACTCTTTGGTCATTTTTTCAATTAAATCAGTTAGTTTTTGAATTGTTTTATTTGTATCTTCACTGACTTTAGTTCCATTTTTCCAGTACCAGAAAAGTTCTTTTCTTAATTCCAAGGTATCGAGTGCATTTATTTCATTATTTGTTGATTTAAATGATTCTCTTGTTTCTTTATACAATGTGAAGTTGTGGTCTGGTGTTAAAATGAATTCGAAACGTTTCATGAATGGGTATGATCTGTATTGTCTTGGATAACGTTTTTGCTCTATTGATTCACTGTTAAAAATACACTTATAAGGATCAGTATCATAAGACTCTTCCATATAGCAAGAGCAAGAGGCTTCGACAGATGATGTTACAGTGTTATGGAGTTTCCAAAAGAAAGCTGCTAAAGATCTTTTATCTGTTGATGTGATTGTGGAGAATTTGGCTTTAGCATCGCCAACAACACCGCCCATTAACAAATGTTCAATTGGATAAAAACGTACAGCTTCACTTGATAATGGATCTTCTGTATTACGATCATTAATAAGTACATGGCTTGCAAAATCTAAAATTATTAAAAAAAATTAAAAAAGATATTTTTAAAAAAATTTTATAAAATTAGAATTAGTTTTTTAGTTATATTATTTAATAAATATTATTACTTACGCTCTCTACAAAATGGGCATGGATGTTGACCTCTTGCAAAAGCTACCATAAAGTTTTTGAATAGTTCAGTGATGTGTTCATAAAATGAAGTATCAGTACATTCACTATCAGATATTCTTTGAGCAATTGTATGGAAAATATGCCAGAGACTTCTACCGATATAGGTTGGGAAACCAACTCTCATATTTTGATCAAAGGTATATGAGGTATTGCTTAATGTATCAAGGAATGGAACATAAAGCCCAGCATCAAAGTCTAATCTTCTATTTGGATTTTCTCTTTGTTTGTAAATACTAAGCATATAGTCATTAATCATATGCCATATCTTTTGTTTAGTTTGGTCAGTATTAAAATCTGTTAAAAGATCATCTGATACAAAGTCAAAGTCTTCAATCTTACTACTGGTAAAGCCACAGGAGAAAGCATCAAGCATTTTTGGTAAAAGAGTACCTTCCCAAAACTCTTTATTATCATTAAATGGTGTAGGTTGTGCAACTTGGTCAAAGTATATTTTTCTTAAATCTTTCAGTTGGGTTTCACAAGCAGTATCAAATTGAAGAGCAATGTATAGGTCAATATAGTTAATAGCCATGGTTCTGTGGTCACTCCATAGGTAAGGTCTACCTCCGACAACTTTTGATTCTTCACACCATTCTCTACTTTTTTGTGAATTTCTATAGGCAGATGAAATTAAAAACCGGAATGATGCTTGTTGAATTTCTTCAACTTTGGTTAACTCTTTACCACCATGAAAAGCAATATTGAAATTATTATTAAAAATAATAAATAAAAATAAAACAGTTATAATCTTATTCATTTTATATATATATATTTATAAAAAATAAAACAAAAAAAAAAAAAGGTTTTAAATGTATCAATACTAAAAAAAAAAAAAAAAAAAAAAAAAAAAAAAAAAAAAAAAAAAAATTTATATTTTTTAATTGGAGAATCCGAATTCAACATGTTGGGTGTTTAAATATTGTTTTTTTTTTTTCCACTTCACTTTCTTAAAAAATCAGTGGTACAAGTTAAAATTAAAAAAAGGATGGTTTTATGATAGGGGTGACTATCAAAAATTAAGTTATTATTTTTGATTATACCCCATTTTTTTTTTATTTTTGGGTGTGGGTTTTTTTTTATTAAGAAAAAAAAGGGTTGGAAATAAATTTAGATGATGAGATTGAATTAAAAAAACTTTTGATTTGATATTAATAAAAAAAATTAAACCCATTTTTGCAACCATATTTTAAACAGTTATTTTTCCCCCCCAAAAAATAATACAAAAAAAATAAATTTTAAAAAAAAAAAGTTAAGTGTTTTATTTATTATTTTTAAATAAAATTTTAAAATAATTTTGAAATATATATATTTAATTTAAAAAAAGAAATATATAATATAAAAGTGAATCATATTGTTTGTTTTTGATTGTCACAAGCTAAATTTTAAAAAAAAAAAAATAGATCATATAGTTTTTTAAATAAATAGTTTTATTCAATATTTTTATTATTTAAATCTTTCCATTTTGATTTTACCACCAACCATCTTTTTTGATTTTATAATACGTTTTTTATTTGAGCATTGGAAAATTTTGAGGTGGCTATATTTTTTGGCAACAAAAATCATTGATATTGATATTACACCTATGACAAAGATAATAACGGCTGCTATAATTGCATAGATTTGAGATCTTGATAGACCAAAATTGGTACATGTTGCAGTTGCTCTTTCTGAAGCCAAAGTACTTTCTAAAAGAATTGAAAAATCTGGATCTACTTCAGCTTTATTTGTGTAATATGGGATGAAAATGCCAATTTCAGTACGACTAGCATATGGGACCGCTGTTCTAGTTGTTTTATTGATACCAAGGCTGTTTACAGTTTTTGTAATTTTACTATTTAATAATTGTCTCTTTAAGAAACGACCATATAATGCATGACCATTGAGTTGAAGTTTAAAATAATCAGAGCCTGCACTATCTTCACCAGATTCAATGTATGAGCAAATATCGGTATGACTTGTAGATTCTATAGATGCATCCATAATTAATTGTAAATAGCAGTTTTCATTTTTGAAAGAGTATTTGCCAATATGGAAAATATATTTTAATGATGATGGGTTTAATCTGTAGGCTATATCGGCAAAGGTGATTGATAGTTTTCTTTCATCTTCATCAAACCATCTGAGTGTAGCATTAAGTTGTGTAATGTAACCGTCACTTGATAGGAATAGTGTTGCGTATGTGTGTTGATAGTTATAAAGTGAGTTGCTTCTATCTATAAATCTCCAAGATTTATTATTGAAATAGGTTTCTTTAATGACTTCATTTGTTGATTCATCTATTTCACGAATACCTAAAACATTGATCGACGAAGAAATCCTGTTATTTGTTTCCAAAACTCTGGATGGTTGATTGTAATCAATGGTTGGGGCTGGTAGAGATACGGAAATCGAGGTACAATCTGGACCAGCGTAACCAAAGTTACATCTGCAACCAAAATCGGAATCGCATTCACCATTAGCAGGGCCACCACAATTATTTGGGCACGAGAATGGCTCGGTATTGTTAGAATCATCTGGAATAAATGGAGTTACAAGGAATTTATTACTTTCAATACCATCAACGCTAACTATTACTGTAAATTGACTTGCGGTGGTATTTGAGAGATAGACGGTAATTAATAGACCTGATTTGAAAGCAATTTTTTGTGTTACATAACCATATCCAAAATCAATCTTTACAAATATATTTGAATTATCATTTAGTTGCGACTGGAGATTATGACCGAAGATTGTAAGAGTAGTTGGTGAGTTTTGACTATAGGATGCTTTAGAGATGATTGGTGATGGTTTATAAGTTGTTTGAATAAAAGAGTTACTAATATTGGAAGCGGGATACCCAATTACATTTAGATTATTATCACATAAATTACCGACCGATAATAATAAACCATCAGGATTACCAAATCCAAATGGGACGTCAATAGTAACATTATAAAGGGCTCTATAGTGTCTAACAGCTCCACTTGATGGCTCTACACCTTGAATAGAGGAATAAAATGAATATTTTTCACCTCTTAAATTCTCTAAATAAACTATTGGGTTTTGCTCCATTAATATACCAGACCCTCCATCATATACGACAAACCAAATTTGAATAGTTCTATTAATTACACCAACATCAATTACATTTGTAATGGTTTTGAATGATTCTAGAATTGGTGGATCTTTATCATCTCTTATGGTACTTAATTCTATACAAAATAAAAAGGTATTAATATTTATAAAGTAAAAATTAAAATAAAATTAAGCGCTAATGAATATTTACCTCTTGTGCAATTTAAAGTAATTGAATAATTTGATAGTAAATCTTTTAAGTTGCCATATGGGAATATTGGATTAATATAGTTTGGTAGGTCAAATAGGGTGCTACTGTAATGTCCATTTAAATCCATTAATGAAAGAGACGAGATTGTAAACTTTTGATCTCTACAAGATGTAACTGGGAATCTCCATGCAAATGATGGAGTTTCGATGTTTGTTAATTTCTCTAATGAATCTTCTAATGTAAAGAATTTTTGATAACCTATTAAATTTAGATTACTTGTAATTGAAATGTTACCCGATTGGAAACCATTCTTTTGATCAAAAAATGTAATATCCCATCCAAAGAAATTGGTTGAATCTGGGTCATAATTAAGTATACCATTGGCTGGTACTGTTGTAATCTTTTGAATAAATGGTGGCATTTGATCAGAATCTAAAATAAAATATTAAAAAAACAATTAATAAAATTATAATTTTAAAAGACAACATAATTATATTAATTAATTACTTACAAATATTTTTTGGTGGTGGTCTTAAAACTATTTGATTTAAACCAATTAATGATGATAATGATGACGGATCATAAATTTTACCAGCCGAAACTATTAAATATTGTAATGCTTGATTGAATAAATTTGGAGGTAAATAGAATTCTGCAGAGTAATGGTCGTTTAATTCGTTGTAGGTTAAAAGCTTATAGGTAGGCGATGCTTTAAAGTTGGATGCAGTTTTGGTGCTATAGAATAGTTGGAAACCTGGTGTAAACTTTTTCTTGTCACTAATATCAATATTGGAATATGATGAATATTTGATAAAAACCTTATAAATGAAACCTTCTCTTTCACTTGATGCTTCTGAGGATGGTGATATGTAGTCAGTTTCTTCAGTCTTATTATCACTTTCACTGCTAGATTCATTCACTAATTTAAACCAAACATTAGAAAGAGTACCAGGTTCTGTAACTGGCCAAATTATTTGAAATGGAACAACTTTAATATTACCAGCACCATCTTGTAAATAGATTTCATTGATATTTGTAAGATTGAAATAATTTAAATATTTTTCGAATAAACCTTCATAAACTGTTCCTTTGGTTAAATCTGAAGAAGTGAATTCGATTGATCCTGCTCTAATTATACTAATACCTGACGAGTTATCAAAAGCACCAATACGAAGAATACCATTCATTTTGTCAATTTGATCAATTTCTACTTTTGTTAATGTTGGTGGAACATTATCGATTGTATGGTTGGATGAGAGAGGAACAATGTCAATGAATGTTTGTTTAATTAATTTGCCATCTTCTCCATCGTACTCTTCAGTTGGATCATGACTATCATCGGTAATATAGTCAAAAGCACCCTCATCATTATTCTTGATAAATACTGAAAAACTAACTCTTTTCTTTGTGTGAGTTGGTATAATTTTAGAGATTGAAAATTTCCAAATATTTGGATTGTCGAAATTTCTTTTGAAGAAGCCGTATGGAAAATCTAATGGAGTACTATCGAAAGAATCATACTTAACTCTAATTTGATATTGATTTTGAGCTTGTTGATATAACTGAGGGAAAGATGTAGTATTTAAAATGAATTCAACACTTAATATTCTATAAGAGGTAACATTTAAACCATTAGTTATATTAAACGATTTGATTGTCGAAAGAATATTTGAATCACCATCACTGATTATAGGTAAAATTTGATCTACTTTTATTGATTCTATTGGATCTACAGTATAGTTGTAAATATTTGATTCCATATTATAACCAAATGTATATAAATCTATGTCACTTTTACCCTCTCTTATTGAATTGCTATAAAAACCATAAAAAGTTGAATTAAAACCATTACCATAAACTGGGAACAATGAATTCGATTCTATATCATTAATTGAAACTCTTGGATATACCATATCTTCCATATTTCCTGAATTTGTTGTTCTTGAAATTGAAAAAAAGTAATTTACTTGTTTATCATTGTAAAATTTTGTTAAATTTGAATATTTGATTCTACCATCATTTAATGTAGATGTGTCTAAAGATAAAAAAAAAAAAAAAAAAGTTAATAACTATTTTTATACTATTATTAAATTATTTTTCACTTACAAATAAATGGATTATAGAAATCGAATATTTCTGTCTGTATATTATAATCTGGATAAGAAACTTCTAATTGAATAATTGGTTTACCATAATATGAACTATTATCAAAATTTAAAATATTATCTGGTTTGAGAAGCTCATAAATAATTTTAGTTTGACAAACTAAGAATGTTGAGTTTGATGAATAATAATCTTGATAGCTTTTAATTATAATGTTGTCAGTTGATAAAAATTTAAACTTTCTATTCAAGTGATAAATTGGTTTGGTTGTCGCTAAGACTATTGAATAATAGCTTCCTTCTTTGTTGTAAATGGGGTAATATTGTCTGTAATTTAAAAGATATGGAGAAATTGGTACTGGTAAATAGATTGGTCCTGAAACTTCTCGACATTTTAATGTATAACTATGTGGTTCGAATGTAATTTCGTGATCTAAATATTTGAATGTTATATTATGCTGTTTTATTGTTGAGTGAGGCTCGGTTATTTGATAGTTAATAAATACTACTGGTTGTGAGTTAATATATTCTATTTGTACTCTTTTCGAATTATTTGCACTTATAAAATGATAGCTTGAACTATTAAAAGTATACTGTATGAAAATTTCACAAGACCCATTTTTTGTTGAATATGATTGATTTAATAATTTATAAATTGGTAATTCATATACTATTGATTCACTACTATTATATATTGTTGAATCACTACTACTAGTGCTATTATTATTACTACTACTACTACCACTATTTGCATTACTACCATCACTGCTTGTATTATTACCATCACCACTACCACCGCTACTATATGGACATGTTAAATTAAATCTACCATTATCATATATACCTGTTCCATTACAATCAATCGGAAAAGTATAAACTGTATTTGTACATGTTGGGCTTGTGTAAAGTGATATATTATATTTAACTTGTTGATCAATTGTTGAATTTGTGATAATAAGTGATCTATACGGACACCTAGTTACGCCGCAATTTGTGCAATTACTAATTATAGTACAATGGTTTTCTGAAACATTTAGTTTTGTAAAATTACATTCATTTTTAAATGATATATTAAAAGTTGGTGGTGATATAATTGGTGGTTCGGTACTATTATTTGTATTATTGTTGTTATTTGTAAAATTAGAGTAAACTATTGGACATATTATTTCTATACCATTAGCCCCAGTTTTATTTGTATTTTTTGTTATATTACTATTTATATCTGTATATGGACACAGAATGTAAACAGTAGTAAGGGATTCTGTGCAATTTGAACCAAGAGATACATTGACTACAGCATTATAGTTATAAATATCACCAGGTATTATTTCTTTTGATATAACTATAGAGTGATACGCGCATTCAATATCTAAATCTAAACAAGTATCATATGTTGAGTTTATTATTTTTAAGCTATTACAATAAGGTCTATCAATAAATAGTTGATATTCGTTACTAAAGTTTGTATTATTATTATTATTATTATTATTATTATTATTATTATTATTATTATTATTATTATTATTATCATCAACATTTGTACTATTGCTGTTTGATATATCTGTACTATTGTTGATGTTACTACTACTACCATCTATTAGAAACAATAATAAAAATATTATTATTATATAAAATATATTTCCACCACCACTTTTATTTTTATAGGTTATCATTTTTCTTATTTATATATATCTACTTTATTTATTTATTAATCTTATTATTTAATTATATGATATATTTTGTGTGGATGATAATTTGTTAGTTTAAATAAATTAAAAAAATTATTTTTTATTTTTATTAAATTATTATTATTATTTATTTATTTATTTATTTATTTATATTTTAATGATATATGTACAAAATTATTATTAAATGTGTTTTTTATTATAATAATAATATTTTAAAATTGAAAAAAAAAAACTATTTGTATGTGTGTGTATGTGTGTGTGTATGTGTGTTTTTTATTTTGTGTGTGCTTATGTGTTATTGTATGATATTTTTTTTATTTATTATAATTTAGGATTAATTGAATACTTTATTTATACATAAGAATAATTAAGATTACATCAATTTTTGTTTTCTATTTTTATAAAAATTAATTTATAAAGGAAAATAAAAAAGAAATAAACTGTAATATATATAATTATATATTTTTTAAAAAAATGGTATTAATTTTTTTTTCTATTTTTTTCGTATATAATTTTTTTTTTTTTAATTTTTTTAAAATTTTATTTTATTTTTTTTTTATTTTATTTTTTATTATTTTTTTAATATTTTTAAATTTTATTTTTTCAGTTGAGTAAATTTATCACATTTAAATTTTTAGACCTAACACAAATTAAATTATAATGAGGAATTTTTTTGATCAAAAAAAAAAAAAAAAAATATCACAGTTATATTAAATTATCAATTAAAATATTCCAATAAATATGTGAAGAATTTAATAGTAATAATATTAATTTTTAATAAAATTAATAATGGTATTAGGTTCAATATTATAATAATAAAATAGTATAATTAGATCCAATAAATAGTAATGTAATACTATTCAGTTCAAATATAAAAAAACAAACAAATAAAAATGGATAATCATAATTCTGTTTGCTGGATATTATGTAACAGGTTGCAAAATATTTTTGTACCAAACTTTATTAAGTTTTAATTTAAATTGAGTAGACTAAGTAGTTTTTATAGGCAATTAGCTTTGTCCCCTTGTGTTACAATAAACCCACATTTTGTTTTTATACCCTATTTATTTAAAGTTTTGTTTGTGTATTTTTTAAAGTCTATATATGCATCAGTAATAGAAAAAATAATTTTATTGTTATACCAACACCCTAATCCTTAAAAATAGAAAAAAATAGGGGTTAGATTTCATTTTAAATATTTATAAAAAACTAAAACAATCTTTAAAAATTAAGATTTTTCAAAACAAATAATAAAAAAAAATATTTAATTTCAATTTCAATTTATTTATTTTATAATCATTATACTAATAAAGAAAAAAAATGCTTTTTTTAAAATTTTTTTTAGTTTTCTTCATTTCTATAAACATAAGTCATTTTATATTTGCATCTGAAACTCTTAAAGGTTATACCTGTTCTAGCCCTGGTTCAGTTTGCTCTTTTATTGAACACTGTCCACCAGGATATAGATGCATGGATAGAAAATACCATAATGAAACAAATCAACATGCTGGTATTTGTAAACCATCTAAACAAAAGGGTGAAATATGCTACGATAGTGAGGAATGTGGGTTTGGTCTAATATGTGACTCATTGAAAAAGGGTGCTCCATTTTATTGCAGAGGATATAATTTTGTAGGTTTTGGTGAAGTGTGTTCAAGATCAGATGAATGTTTGGGGTCTTTAGAATGTATTAAATCAAAATGTACAAATACAAAAACAAATGACTGTGGTTTTATTGATAGCTGTCCAAGTCAACACTATTGTACTGGGGGAGAATGTGATATAAATTGTACCGAAAATGTAGAAAGAATTTGTAAACCCTTTTCATCTACTGGTGGGTACTGTCATTATGGATATGAATGTAGTGTCAATGATACCTGTGTAAATGGTAAATGTATTAAAAAATACTCACTAAAAGAAGGTGAAGATTGCTCAACTACTAACCTTGACACAATGGATGCATGCGAATCTGGTGAAGCAATATTTCAGTATGATGAAAAATTAGGTGAAACCGTTTGCAAATGCACTAAACCCGGAACAATTACCAACAGTATTAAAAACTGTGTTACTCAAGAATGCCCAAGAAACTATTTTTGTGACGGTAAAACAAAAAAATGTATTCCAGAATTTTCATCAACTGATAAATGTAAACGTCTAAGAAAAGAAAGAGACCAATGCTATATCAATCACCATTGTGTATATATAAATACTGAGCCCCATTTGGAAAGATACTTTGTAAAAGGCTCCTGCCACCAAAAGTACTGTGAAAAAGAATCAATCAGCTATTTAAATCAATGTACAATGCTTTATAGTATCTGTAACAATTAATAAACAAATTACATCACACATTTAAAAAAAAAAAAAAAAAAAAAAATATTTTTAAAATATAGTTTCAAAAAAGAAAAAAGGAATAAAAGTTTCACTTTTTGAAAACAAATAAAAAATGCTTGTGTATATTTCTATTTTATTTCCAGAATGTATTTTAATAAAAAAATTAAAAATTTAAAAAAAATAAAAAAATAAAAAAATAAAAAAATTTTAATTTTGGTTTATTTTTATTTTTTTATAATTAAACATTTGGATGGAAAATCAAAATAATTTATTTTTAAAAGTTTGGAGGAATGTTGTTTTAAGAAATGAAATTATAAAACATTTTAAATATTATATATATAAAAATATTACATTCAAATCAAAAGGAGAGTTTATAGCATATACAAACAAAGACTATTTAATAAATGTAACAATAGATTTTAAAGAAGACTTTAGCTATGATTTATTGCCAGCAGTTGAAATCATTAGATTAAATATTCCCAATGTACCATATGACTTTAAAAAAATATCACCTACAATTAAATCATTGGATTTGGGTTATCATTTCAATCAACAACTTGAAGCATATGGAATTCCATCATCGGTAGAGACATTGATACTGGGCAGTCGTTTTAATCAATTACTTAAACAAGGTGATATACCCTCATCGGTTTCAACATTAATATTTGGTGTGTTTTTCAATAGGCCACTAAAAAAAGGAGAAATACCATTATCTGTTAAGAAAATAATATTTGGTAGAGATTTCAATCAGCCACTTAATAAAGGAGATATTCCGATATCAGTTACAGAATTGCAATTTGGATTAGGATTCAATCAGTCTCTTAGAGAAGGCCATATACCAAGTTCAATTACAAAATTAACATTTGGTAGAGATTTCAATAGACTACTTAAACAAGGCGATATACCGTTATCAGTTTCCATCTTAACATTCGGTTTCTATTTTAACAAACCACTTAGAGCAGGCGACATACCACACTCAGTTAAAATCTTAAAGTTTGGTAGAGATTTCAATCAACTACTTAAACCAGGGGACATTCCCTCATCGGTTTCAACATTGGTATTAGGTTTTCAGTTTAATCAAACACTTACGCATGGGTCTATTCCCTTATCAGTTTCAACATTAGTATTTGGAAGCTGCTTTGATCAACCACTTAAACCAGGGGACATACCAATATCAGTTACTAAATTAACATTTGGAACCCACTTCAATCAAATACTAAAACAAGGTGATATTCCATCATCAGTTAAAAAATTAAAATTTGAAGGTTCTGACAGGCCACTTAAAGAAGGTGATATACCATTATCTGTTACAAATTTAAAATTAGGTCTTTATTTTAATCAACCACTTGGTCCAGGATCTATACCCCCATCAGTTTCGAAATTAGCTTTAAGCTACCACTTCAACATCCCACTAAAGAAAGGTGATATACCCTCATCAGTTTCATACCTAAAATTTGGTGAAAAATTTAATCATTCACTTAAAGAAGGCGATATACCCTCTTCAGTTACAATTTTAACATTCGGTACCAATTTCAATCAACCAATTAAAGAGGGTGATATACCCTCTTCAGTTAAAATCTTAACATTTGGTAGAAATTTCGATCAACCACTTATTAAACTTAATCTCCCATCCTCGAGCAAAATAGTATTCAATAAAATTTAAATAAATCTAAAATCTCCATATATAAAATTTACCAATAAATCTAAAATAATAGCACAAACACATCATAAATTTTTCATTTCCGCCCATTTTCAAACCATTTTATTTTTATAATAATTGACATTTTAAAATACGTTTGAAAGAGAATTCATTTGTTTGTTTAAAGAGGTATTTAAAAGTGATCTATTTTACCAGATTCACATAATTGAATTGGTGGCCTGGTATGTTCGTATATTGTAATAAAATAAATAATATTTATAAAAAATAGATTTTAACAATTCTATTGTTGCTGTTATTATGTTATTTATTTTTGTATTTTCGTCTAATTTGGTCATTAATAATCTTTTGACATCGTTTTCTTTTGTATCGATAATATATTTTAACTCCTTAAATATATATTTTAAGGTTTATTTTATTTTATTTTTATCGATTGTATAGTTTTTAAATTTCTGTTTCAAGATAAAGAGTCTGGATATTGACTATGCTCTTTTTGGGTGATAGTATTTAAGATATCTGAAATTTGTTTTTTATTTTATATTTTATTTAATTTTAAATTTTTATTTTTGGATGTTTGTAGTTGAAACTATAAAAAATTTTTTGATCGGGGTTTGAAATGGAGTTAGGTTCTAAAGGATGTACCACATCCCCTATATAAATAGAAGTTATAGAGTCAGGAATAATACCTTTTGTAAAACGTTGGGAGAAACCATAATCAAAATTAAGAGAAAGTAAATGATTTGGGATTGAACCAGGTATTAATTCATATTTGATGTTATCTAAATACAAGTATTTTACGGTGGGTGGTATAAAAGTAAGAGGTTTATCAAAGCCATCAAGTAAATATAAATGCGTGACGGTTGCTGGAATTGAATTAAGTGTTGATTGATACTTGATGTTTTGTAAACCCAAGTGTTCTACGGTGGGAGATATAAAATCAAGTGGTTGATCAAAGCCATAAAGTAGATATAAAAGTGTAACTGTTGTTGGAATTGAATCAGGTGTTAATTGATATTTGATGTTATCTAAATACAAGTGCTGTACGGTGGGTGGTATAAAATCAAGTGATTGATCAAAGCCATTAAGTAAATATAAATGTGTAACTGTTGCTGGAATTGAATCAGGTGTTAATTGATATTTGATGTTATCTAAATACAAGTATTTTACGGTGGGTGGTATAAAATTAAGAGGCTTATCAAAGCCATCAAGTAAATATAAATGCGTAACGGCTGCTGGAATTGAATCAGGTGCTAATTGATAATTGATGTTTTGTAAATGCAAGATTTTCACGGTGGGAGGTATAAAATTAAGTGGTTGATCAAAGCCATCAAGTAAATGTAAATGTGTAACGGTTGCTGGAATTGAATCAGGTGTTAATTGATACTTGATGTTTTCTAAATACAACCTTTGTACGGTGGGTGGTATAAAATTAAGAGGTTGATTAAAGCCATCTAGTAAACATAAATCTGTAACTGTTTCTGGAATAGTTTTGGGTAAATGTTGGATAGGTCCAATAGCAATGTGACTAATTTCTAAATGACTAATATCACACCCCTCTTCGTAAATTGCAAATTCTTTATTTAATACTTTATAAAAAGGAATTAATTAATATAAAATAAAAATAAAAAATTTTAATGTTAAAACTTACATTTTAGAGTTTTTAAATCTTTTTTAAAAAAAGGAATATCAAGTACTTCTAAATAGCTATTTATTAGATCTTTGATTGAATCGAGATCATTTTCTTTAATTATTAACTGAGTATCTTTATATTCTTGTAAGATATCATTATTTATATTTGATAAAAGATTGTTACATTGATGATTGTGTTTTAAAAGCTCAATAAATTCATTATTTTTAATATTATTATTATTAACATCACTATTATATTTAATAGCACTGTTAATTTTATTATTATTGTTTTCTATTGTTGCTGTTATTGTATTATTTACATCTTTATTTTCGTCTAATTTGGTCATTAATAATCTTTTGACATCGTTTTCTTTTGCATCGATAATATATTTTAACCCAATAAATATTTTTTTAGTTTTTTCTAAATTCTTTTTATGGTTATCGTTAATTTGTTTAAAGTGATTGTTTGATTCGTCCAATATTTTATTATTATTTTCTATATAGTTGTTTAATTTTGGTATTGTTTGATTTTTAAAATCATGTTCTATTTGATTTCTAATATTATCATCATAAATGTCTTTAAAACTATGACCATTATGAATACCAGAAATACAATATTTACATACAGGAGGGTTGTTTGGACAATTTGAGCATATTAAAATAATATCTTGGTGGGGATGATCTGAGCATTTGGTATCATATTGTTGATTATTTGACATTATTTAATGTTTATTTTTTTATTAAAATTTTTGCGTTGAAAAAATAAATTATTTTTATAAAATTTCAAAAAAAATTTTTTTAATTTTTTTTTAATTATTTTCCCATCGAAATTCAAACTTCTTAAAAAATAATCATAAATAATATAAAAATATTAACAAAAAAAAAAAAAATTAATTCATTTTTTAATATTAAATGTTAACTCTTTTTTCTTCTCAAATGGAGCCAAAAATATTTTATAAGGGTTAATAATTATGGTTTGGATTTTTTTTTTTGTTTTATTTATTTTTTTTTAAAATTTTTTTTTTTATTTTTTGTATTTTTTCAATCCTTATAAAAAACTTTTTTTTTTTATATCTTTGAGGAAATTTTTTTAAAATTTTAAAAAAGATTATATATAATTTTGGTGCTTAAAACTTTTCCTCAACAAATTTTAAAAAAAACAGGTTTTTTTTCAAGTAAATACCAATTTATTTTAATTTCACCAATTTAACACTGCAAATAAATATTATTTTAATGTCTTTAAAATGTAAAAAAAAATAAAAAAAAATTGGGGGTTATAAAAAACAAAAAAAAGATAATTCATCAGTTGGAATAAAAAAACAAAAGAGGAAAATTTGTAAATTAGAATAAAAATATTTTTTTTGGATATTAAAAAAAAAATTGTTTAATAAATAATTTTTTTAATATTAAAAAAAATAAAAATTGGGGCTTAAAAATTGGATAATTTGTAAATTCGAATTAAATTTTTTTTTTAATATTAAATTGTTTCATTAAATAAATTGTATAAATAGTTTTTTTTTTTCATTTTTTTTTATTAAATAAAAAATAAAAATCAAATATAAAATATTAGAAGTATGTGATAAAATTGAAAGTGAAATTGTATGTATATAATTAATAGTTTTAATTTAATTTGATTTGATTATAATAATATATCTAACTTAATTATTATATTTTTATAGGTATTAATGATACAACATTATGACAGAAATGAAGATAGAAGTTTAACTAGAAAGGAAGTTGATGAAACCTTAAAACAGAATAATGTTAAGAACCCAAATATTTTGGCTGGATTGATCTTTAAATTGTTAGATACCAATAAAGGTAACAAAATAATATATTTATTTAAAATTTAATAAATTAAGAGTTGTTAATAAAATTTTAATTTTTGTAATTGTAGATGGCACTATTAAAATTAGTGAAGTTAGAGAAAATGTCATTAAATTTAATAAAAAGAATTTAGAAGAAGCTATTTTCAATGATTTAAAACAATTTTTAGATACTCATGACAAAAATAAGGACCAAAAAATCACATTTGATGAATTGGTTGAAGGCTTAGTTAGAACTCGTAATTATGATAAAGAGAGTAAATTTTCAAATTTATAATTTAATTAATTAAATGTTATAAAACTAACTAATATTTTATTTATTAGCTGCTAAAGATGTTGCAGAATTAATCTTTCAAAAACGAGATTCTGATAATGATGGAGTTTTGACTGTTGCTGAACTTGAAAAAGTAAGTAATAAAATATTATATTATAATTATACTTTGAAAATTTTAATTTAATTTTTTTAAATTTTTTATAACTTTTAGCATTTACGTGCCACCATAGCAAAAAATATCTAATTAATTATAATTGATAGTTTTGCTATTAAAAATCACTTTAAGGTGATACAATTAATATTAATTAATAAAAACAAAATTATACTTAAAGGTATTTTAATAGTTTAATAAAATTTTATTTTTATTAAATCTTTTTTAATCTAATAAACAAGTGATTGAGGATTTCTTTCGATTGGAACCCGGATTATGAAATCTTTTATGAAAAACCTATTATTTTGGTGGTTTGCTTTGAGAAATTGTAAGTAATTGGACAAGGCCCCAACTGATTAAATAGAAAGCAAAGTTTCATAACAACAAAATATTTTAAAATTGGTGTTATAATATCTTTTTTTCTTCTTTAATTTTATCTATATAAATTGTGAGGAGCTCCATTTTTAATATTTTAATGATTTTTAAACAAGAAACATTATAAAGGATTGTTAAAACGAAACTTTTCTTTTCGTCTTCTATAATTTGGTATTTAAATTTTGTAATGTATTCTCTAAATCCATTATATCCATATTTTAAACCTTTTTGTTGTTCTTAATTTGAATGATTTTTTTTTCTAAATCCTTTTCATTTGATGGGTTTTCTTTTTATCTTTTCCCTATAAACAAAAATATAAATATTAATTATTACAGTTAGTACTAATTGTATTAATGTTGGAAAACAAATAAGGTACTTAAATTATTATTATCATTTTGAGAAAGAATGTAAATCAACAACAATTAGATAATAACTATCAACAATTAAATAAAAAGATGGAACAAAAAAAATCATTATATTTAATGAATGGTTTTGATCAACCACTTGATTTTATATCTCCCACCGAAGAACACTTGGGTTTACAAAACATCAAGTATCAATTAACACTTAATTCAATTCCAGCAACCATTACGCATTTATATTTACTTGATGGTTTTGATAAACCACTTAATTTTATACCACCCACCGTAAAATACAATTGGATAAGCATTTGGATTAGCATCAGCATCAGTATCAGTATCAGCATCAACATCAACATCAACAACTATATCTTAATGTTATAATGTATTAATTAACATTAGTAAATATATATATATATATATAATAATAATCATTTTTTCTTTAAATATATATAAATATATATATAACTATTCAAATATATATATATATATATATATACACCATATATACATATATTGATACAGATATATATCTATATATATATACACTATATACTCACTATACTCTATCCTCATACACTATATATATAAAATAGATATTTACTATCTAAAAATATACATAGCTAACTATATATA